CAGACTCGACGACTTCCAGTCTCCTGAACAAGCCGGTTTCCGAAAAGGCTTCAGTACCATAGACCACATACATACCCTGCGGCAGATTGTACAGAAGACCGAAGAGTACAATCTGCCACTTTGCCTGGCGTATGTGGACTATGAGAAAGCCTTTGATTCCGTCGAAATTTGGGCGGTGCTACAGTCCCTTCAGCGGTGCCAAGTTGACTGTCGGTATATCGAGGTGCTGAAGTGTTTGTACAGTAGGGCTACGATGGCTATCCGAGTACAGAACCAGAGTTCGAAACCTATCCAACTGCAGAGAGGTGTAAGACAGGGTGACGTTATATCCCCGAAACTCTTCACCGCTGCGTTGGAAGACGTTTTCAAGCTACGGGACTGGAAAGGATACGGTATTAACATCAATGGCGAGTACATCACTCACCTTCGATTTGCCGACGATATAGTCCTTATGGCATAATCGCTGGAGGACCTTAGCACTATGCTCAATGACCTCAATGGTGTCTCCCAACGGATAGGTCTTAAGATGAACATGGACAAAACAAAGATTATGTTCAATGTCCATGTCACACCTATGCCGGTAGTTGAGGGGAGCACTATGCTCGAAGTTGTTGACGAGTACGTTTACCTGGGACAAATAGTCCGACTAGGTAAGTCCAACTTCGACCGAGAGGTCAATCGACGGATTCAATTCGGCTGGGCAGCGTTCAGGAAATTACGACACATCTTCTCGTCAGGTATACCTCAATCTCTGAAAACTAAAGTGTACAACCAGTGCGTGTTGCCAGTGATGACTTACGGATCAGAGACGTGGTCCTTCACTGCTGGCCGTTTGAGGACGCTCAAGGTCGCCCAGCGAGCTATGGAGAGGGCTATGCTCGGAGTTTCTCTGCGTGATAGACTCAGAAATGAGGATATCCGCAGTAAAACCAGAGTGACCGACATAGCCCAACGGATTAGTAAGCTGAAGTGGCAATGGGCCGGCCATATAGCTCGAAGAACCGATAACCGATGGGGAAGAAAGGTTCTCGAGTGGCAGCCTCGTACCTCGTAGTGTAGGGCGCCCCCCACTAGGTGGAGTGACGACCTGGTAATACATGCAGGAAGTCGATGGATGCAGGTGGCTCAGGACCGTGCTTTGTGGCATTACTTGGGGGAGGCCTATGTTCAGCAGTGGACTTGTGAAGGGCTGTAATGATGATGATGATGATGACTAAAAGTATCGGGAATAGAATATTTCCACTGTTCCTGTCATATTAAAATCTTTTTAATTGAAAACTCTTTGGTTTTAAAAATCGAATACCATTTATTTATTTAAAAAAAGATTCTCGGTCTTGTCACAAGGTTTTGTCAAATTTGTTTAGTCGTTGAAAAAATGGAATTGACTCGAGAAAATTCAAGAGCGATGATTTATTATGACTTTCGAAGTGGTTTAACACAAAAACAGTGTGTTGACCGGATGATTTCTGCATTTGGTGATGAAGCCCCATCCTCCACAATTTATCGCTGGTTTGCTGAATTTCAACGTGGACGTGTCAAGCTCGTGATAATCCCCGTCAAGGTCGTCCAAAAACTGCAGTCACCCAAGAAAACGTTGATGCTGTGCGTAAGCTGATTAAGGAAGATCGACATGTGACATACCGCGAAATTCAGGCAACTTTAGACATTGGCATGAGTCAAATACAAATAATCTTGCATGAACAATTAGGTGTAAAAAAGTTGTATTCCCGATGGATACCGCATTCGCTCTGTGAAGAGCAAAAAGCGGCTCGCGTTACTTGGTGCGTCAGAACTCTCGAAAGATTCCACGCAGGATCCTCAAATACTGTATACATCGTATCAGGTGACGAATCCTGGATATACCCGTAAGACACCGAAACAAAAAACCAGTCACGAGTTTGGGTGTTCGAAAATGAGTTAAAGCCAACAAAAATTGTTCGTTCACGGAGTGTTGCAAAAAAAATGGTGGCCATGTTTGTCTCCAAAACCGGCCATGTTACGACTATTCCTCTTGAGGGACAAAGAACGGTTAATGCAGAATAGTATGCTAGCATTTGTTTGCCACAGGTCGTTTCTGAACTCCGTAAAGAGAACTGCAACCGCCGCATCATCCTCCATCACGACAATGCGAGTTCTAACACGGCACACAGAATAAAAGAGTTTTTAGAGCAAGAAAACATAGAATTATTAGACCATCCGCCGTACAGCCCCGACCTAAGCCCTAATGATTTCTATACTTTCCCTAAAATAAAGAATAAATTGCGTGGACAGAGATTTTCATCACCTGAAGAAGCTGTGGACGCCTACAAAACGGCCATTTTGGAGACCCCAACTTCCGAATGGAATGGTTGCTTCAATGATTGGTTCCATCGTATGGAAAAATGTGTCAAATTTCGCGGAGAATACTTCGAAAAGCAATAAATACATTTTTAAATAGTAATGTTGTGTCACTTCCTTGATTCCCGAAATTTTCAGGGCCGCCCTCGTATGATGTCATCAGTGTGTCGTCTATCCTTGACCACGGCGCCCAGCGCGTTCCATCGGGAGAATCGATGACGCCCTAAGGATGCGCCAGAGTTGAGATATTAGATTTATTATGCGAAATTGATTTGATGAAATTTTCTTTTATACATGTAGCTGATGATAGTTTTATGTTTCTTACCTTTTGTTTTATTCAAATCGATAATTTAAAAAATAATACATTCGCGTTTAATTTTGAATAGTTTTCAATAAATCTATGCTTAACGCATTACAACACTAGCGGTCAACCATAGACGACTTTGGCGTGCTGGACATAGTATTTGCTTGGATAAAAAACCATATTTTTTAGTTCAATGTTTCTGAGTACTTGTGGCTATAAGAGACATGCTTTTTAAACTTACACATTGCTGGGATATTCTATATTGAGGAATGTAGAATCAAAATACCAGTAATAACTTGTCTGTATCTATATTTCATATTTTTGTGGACCGGGTTTTTTTTTCGACTATAGAAGTCGTTGGCGCACAGGACCCGCAAGTGCTGGTCCAGTATAGGAGACTTTGGCGCTCAAAAGGTTAATAATCTAAGTGTGGTTTTACAGTGACGCTTTTGCCAGCGCGGGTGGTAAGCGCGGCCCGTAAACGCGCGGATGACCCGCTCGAAACTATAAAACAATCTTAGTCGCGCGGTTTCGTATACTGTTGAAACGCGCGGCTGAATCCCGCCAGCGCTGGCCATCCGCGCGTGTTGGTTACACTACGTAACGATTCAAGAGACGCAACGCTCGTGGCCCGCGACGCTTAACCGCGCTGGCGAGAGTCACTGTAAAACCACACTAAGTAATTCGTAAAATAAATGTTTTGCTCTGGTTTTAAAGTTTGCGGTTATGTTTCGGTTGTTTTTTGTGCATTCAGTAGCAAGCCACTACCACTGATATCGATATCAGAAAACGGTTTTCAAAAACGATATGAAGTCAATATTGGTTATGTAACCGTTGCAGCTAAAACCTGAAAACGCCCATGCTTAGAACCCAGTAATTTTTTAGCTTTTTTAACTCCTTAGGCTGATAAAATCATATACAACGACCGTCTGTGGGCCGTCTCCTCGAAGTCCATGTCGGCAAATGACACTTCGATTTAAAAAAAATTGTCACTGTCACCCTTCGTGAGCGCACTCCGCTTTGGAAACGTGACGTGACAATTACAACAATCACCAGAGCAGCTAGCGTCCTTAACAAAGGTACTCTGTGGTCTTACCGTATCCATAATGTCGGAAAAGATTCTAATGCGATGAAAACAATCAATAAACAACACTTATTTTGATAAAAGAATTCAGTTTTTAAATAAAATTAATTTGTAATTAAAATTTTAGCTAAACAAAAATTGTTATGATTTGAAATGGCCTTGTATTGCAGAACGTTATTTCATAGGTTTTTGAAATTATATTATCGATATAGAAAATATTTTAAATTATTCATCTGTATGCCGTTTGTAATTACAAGAAATCGTTTGAAGGGAGGTGGGTGGGCTAGCTTTTGTAAAGTAATATTTGTTAGGGTCACTAAGTGTGACTTAGCGTGACGAAGGGGAGGGAGGGATGATAAAAGATGAAATTCTGAGTGATGTTTTTTATAAACAACGCCTTACAAACTAAACTAAAAATAACAATTTAAGCATTTTGACGATTATTTATTATGAACCATATTATTACAACTAATCAAAGTAATGAAATCTAATTATAGTCTTAAATTTAGAGATAGAGGCGCGCAATACTTCCTCTGATATCACAATATCCACTGTTACTCGACGCCTCGACCCCAATCTTCCCAAAAGTGTAACTGAACCCGTCATACTGTATTGTGATATATATTTTTCTATGTAACAATGCTACGTAAATACAAAACAGGTTTTTACAACAAGTTTCATCTGCCATAATAAATAATTTAAATAATTTTAAAAAATCGAATGCACAGTTGAAAAAGCGATTAATACCACTACGTTGATACAGAAATAAGAGACTGTTAACTACAATTTGGAAACGATGAGCTTATTCGTCATAAAATTGTCTCAAGTAGATTTTATTATCTCAATGATATATATTATTTTAAAATGAAACATACAATTTGTATGGAATATAATGTTTAAAATTTTGAGATTTTAGATTTTTATTTGAACACTAAGTTTTGAATTAAAAAATGTATTGTTATAATTAATCGCTACATACTTGTTTTTTTACGTTTCGTGGCCTTTTTTTGTTAAAGTTAACATTAACATTTTTTAATTTCTTACTCAGTCCAAAATAACTAATTTTAAAATTTTAATCAAAGATTCGTCAAGAGAAAACGAGACATATACAACAGTGTACGTATACTACCAATTATGTGATATAGGGGCTATTTTATGGCGTATAATAAATACAAGACATAACGTATCCATACACCTATCATGGAGGATACAACGGCAGTCTTATATGACTGGGCTTATAACTAAATTACATAAATGTCGGTGGCAAAATGGCGTCTACACGAAGCCGAAATTTTTAGTTTTGATAGCAAGCAGTAGCTTATGCTTGAGCACATGTCGTGAAGAATACAATGGGATGTATAGCCGAGAGATACAAGTATTGGCAGTGGGCAGGTGAGCATCGTCCGCCGGCCGGATAGTCACTGATGGCATTGGTTGGAAGCCTTCCTCAGACGCAGGCAACGCCGGTGAACCAGTCCAGAAGTATACCTGCAAAAAACGTAATATATATATTCGAGTTTATTCATTAAACACTAACATTATAATTTTTAGAAAAATGTTGACACTAAAAGTAACAAAGTGCAATTGTGGCAACTTAAGCAACAATTACTACGTCGGTTTTTAACATGCAATTCGCACTTACTATATTTCTTGAACAAATATAGTTTTTATTTTCTTCATGATTTTAGTTCACAACATTCATTCGAATAACTATTGTATTAAACTTTTCAACTAATTAATTAAAAAATGTGAAAAAATCGATCATCCATTTTTTCCCGTAGTAGGTGCCGTAAATATGACTGTGCGAAACTTCAGAAAGATCCCATGGCCTCCGATAGATGACGCAATAACCTTCTCGTTTGCGCCAGACTTAAAGTATCTAGACCGGCGACAGAAAGCATTGCACTTTTGATGCTGCTTTCTGTCGTGCGTGTGGTACTGCGATCGCCAATCGGCCTAACAAGCGTGGCAACTAAGGCGAGGTATTCCTCTGGGTAGAGGCCTAATGCCCAACGTTGGACTTTTATGCAAGCTAATGAAAAAGAAGAGGAAGAAATAAAAAATACAAAAAAGAAAACTGTACTTTGTAGATCTATGTACTTACTAGATCTTGTCGTTCGAGATGGGTCATCTTGTCCACAATAGCCCATAGCCATCGCTTGAATCGGACGAGTCGTTCTGGTGGTTCACCACTTTCGTCATTAAAGCTTGTGTAAGATACTAATGCGGCGACGTTGATATCGCCCACACCATTTAAGAGAAGCCTCAGGTCTTCAGCTGTCAAGCCTTCTAGAGCCGACTCAGGTAAGACGTCAAGTACACCTACACGAATTGCCTGAAAATAGGAGCATATTTACAATGAAAAACATGCAGACATCTGAAAATATATCTAAGGCCTATCTGGTTATATATACTATTCATAAACATTTTAATAAAAAGAAAAGTAAACTATTAAAGAGATAACATAAGATAATTATCAAATAGATAACTGAGATAACTGGTCTTAGGAATGGAAATATCTTCATAATAGGTTGAATAAATTTGAACCATTTACAAAGACCGTTTTGTGTTCTGCGACGATGAAACCGTTTTGTTTTACGTCCGTACGTATGTGCAACGAAGACTGTTTGAACCCCAGTCTTCGTTGCACAAACCAGTCTTCGATTTACTTGGTGCGATTTTTTCGTTTACAAACATAGACAAAGATTAAACAGTCTTTACAATTGTTTTTTTTTTCTAAAGAAATACAGTCCCTAATGTTAATGGTAATGCTAAGTCTGTCCCAGCCAGATCTAAGCCTGGAAAAGTACGAAGGGAAGTGCATCGTTCAGTAAAGTCCATCAATACAACTTATTTCGTAAACCATTTTATACATTTCAAATCGACTAAAACGCACTTCTATACCATGTTGGATAAGTTTCGTCCTTTAAGCCGTCTTCAAACAAGTTGCAACGACGACCGTTTTCTGCAACCGTTTTCGTCGTCGGGAAAACGGTTGCGTTTCGTCCGTCTAAAGTTCGATAACGACCCATTACTAGAATAAATGGTATGACAATTTTGCGGAAGTTGCGAAAAATCCTCGATACTCCTTACTATTCTGCTCACAAATTATGATTCGATTTGGTTGTTTAAATGATTGTAATACTTTACCTCTAACGCCTTTTCCTGCGAGTGCAACATGCGGTGTTGCGCGTATTTGCGCACGTAATCGTACACGTTGAGCGCTGTCACTTCGATTTCGCGACCACCTGTGACTAGTTCTACACAACCACCTCCTTCTTCTTCACACATTTCCAAACTAAAATAACATAACATGGTCATAAATAAATTATCAGGATGAATCTGTAGGCACGGCAATGCCCCCACCAAGTCGAGCAAAAAAGCGGCACAGCCGTACCATCCTATTCTCGAAGCAATTCAGTCCATTTTCTACCCCTTATAACTTCGTTGTGGATAAAACTAGAAGCCTGAATTTTAAGTAACCAAGCAGGCATTATATAAATAAGACATATTTCAAATTTCATATAATTTGAACCACTAGTTTAAGAATGATAACTATTCAAAGTGAATAACTAGTCAAAGTTTCTTAATTTTGTCATTCACTCACTGACTGACTGACCAATCATCAAAACTCTAAGGCACTTCTAGCAGACATAGAAGCTTCAAACTTAAAATGAATGAGGATATTCGAAGTAGAACCAGAGTGACCGACATCGCTCAACGGATTAGTCAGCTGAAGTGGCAATGGACCGACCATATAGCTCGAAGAACCGATAACCGATGAGGAAGAAAGGTGAAGTGTAGGACATCCCCTCACTAGATAGTGACAACCTGGTAAGACATGCAGGAAGCTGATGGATGCAGGTGGCTCAGTATCGTGCTTTGTGGCATTACTTGAGAGAGTGCCAGCTATGTTCAGCAGTGGACTTGTGAATTGCTGTAATGATGAGTGATGCATACATATACATACATAAACACTCACGCCTGTCACCCAGAGGGGTAGGCAGAGACTACAGACTTCCATTTGGCACGATCCTGACACACCTCTCTCGCCTCCTTCACATCCATACACCTCCGCATACATGCTCGTCGGTTAAGGGTACTCCTAATTTGGCCCGTTTTCAATAAATCGCCAATTTGGTCGATAAATTTTCGCCTAGGACGTCCCTTTCCGACTCTGCCATTCACTTCTGCAACATAAATTTTCTTTGTCACTCTTTCCTCATTCATTCTTTCCACATGACCAAACCACCGAAGCATTCCTTTCTTAATCCTGGTCACAACATCATCTTGCAAACCACACTCTTCTCTTATTACACAATTTCTTACCCTGTCATTAAGATTCAGCCCTAACATACTCCTTAACGACCGCATTTCTACTGCGTTCATTCTACTCTCGTGCTTCTTCTGCCACACCCAACTTTCACTACCATATGTTAAAGTAGGGACCAACACAGCATTGTGAACTGCCATACGTGCCTTTTTCGACACATTTTGACTCTTCACAATAGAGTGCAGGGCCCCATTTACTCTATTTCCCGCATTCACTCGTCGTTCTATATCCTTATCATATCTCCCATCCCTGCTAAATACGCAGCCCAAATATACAAACTCGTCTACTTGCTCGATCAACTCCCCTTCTATTCTTATTTCACAAATCGTTTTACTTTCTTCTCTTTCAAAAACCATAACCTTCGTCTTACTTGCGTTCACTTTCATACCCCTTTCTTTTAATGATCTGTTCATTAATGTAACCATCATTTGCAACTCGGCCGCGGACGACTAACTTGATCATCGGCGTACAAAAGGCATTTGACGGTTAACTCACCCATTCTTAATCCGCATTCTTCAACTTTCAAATTTTGCAAACAACTGTCCATAAATAGGTTGAACAGCCACGGGGAAGCTACACAGCCCTGTCTGACACCTTTATGGATGTCAAACCAGTCCGAGTAGACCCCGTTGATCCTAACACAAGCACTAGAGTCCCTATAAAGGGACTCCAATGCCCGTATCAAGCCAGCGCTCAACCCAAATGAGTTCAGTGTTTGCCATAGCACATCCCTATTCACTCTGTCATAGGCCTTTTCCAAGTCCATGAACGCACAAAAAACCTTTTGGTTTTTGGCCAAAAACTTCTCCGCGATCATGCGCATGGAAAAGACTTGATCTGTACATCCCATTCCCTTTCTAAATCCTGCTTGCACATCCCAAATTTTTCCATCAGTTTCTTTCATGACCCTTTCAATCAGTACCTTAGCATACAGTTTTCCCACAATGCTAAGAAGGCTGATGCCACGGTAGTTTTTACAGTCCTGCTGCGACCCTTTTCCCTTATATACTGGGACTATCACGGCTTTGCACCAGTCTACCGGTACCCGCTTCAGTTCCCAGCATAAATTAAACATGGTGTGCAGCAGGCCTGCCACCACTTCCTCTCCAGCCCTTAGCATTTCGAGTGAAACTCTATCATATCCGGCAGCCTTACCTGCTTTCATGCTTTTCATTGCTTTCATTATTTCACCTACACTAATCTCGCTACCTCTTTCCTCTTCCTTCGGAATTTCTACTTCACTTAGTACACACGTTGTCTCCTCACTCATAAACACGCTTTCAAAATATTCCTTCCATCTCTTTAAACTCAAAACTTCATCATTCAGAATATAGCCATTCTCGTCTCTTATAGCATTCATCATAGGCTGTTTTGAATGTCCCCTGGCAGTTCTTACAAGTTTCCAGAACATTTTAATATTTGCCTGGAAATTATCCGATATTCTTCTATCATTCTTATCCGTTCTTTCTTGCTTTTTTCTTTCAACTACTTCTTTTACTCTCTTATTAAGATGTCTAAAGACTGCCTTTTTTCTTTCAATATCATCATTCGTACCGCTAGAACCAGCCTTTGTTGCTAGTAAATCTAGCCATGCTCTCTTCTTTGCTTCAACTTCCATACGTACCTCATCATCCCACCATAACGTATTATTTTTCCTTTCATTCTTTCTCTTCATAATTCATCCAAACCACTTATATTTTCTTTCAGTCTACATTTGAACTTCTTTTTCTCACCTTCATCTTGTAACCTTTCTGTTCTAATACGCTGTAACGCAGTGGTAGACACAGATGACCGATGGCGCCAACGCCTGAATAGACCATTAATTCGGCATAGAACCAAATAATGATCCGTTCCTACGTTAGAACCCCGGTAAACCCTTGTATCTACAACTGCGCCCCTCAATCTTTCATCCACAATTATTAAATCTATCATGCTTCTATCGTCACCTCTTTCCCAAGTATACATGTGAATCCTCTTGTGGCGAAAGCAAGTGTTCGTCACAAAAAGATTCTTTTCCATACATACGGTGAGGAGACTTTCACCATTCTCATTTATACTTTCATCACCAAACGTTCCCAATATCCTTTCATAACCAAGCCTCCTCACCCCAACCCTTCCATTAAAATCTCCTAGCATAATAATATTTTCATTTCCCTTACACTCCATTAACACCATCCTTACCATTTCCCAAAACTGCTCTCGGATATAAGTGGGCTTAGACATGTCTGGGGCGTAGACCCCTAACACAAACAACTTCTTTAAGCCCACTTTCATTCGTATCCACAGCAGTCTTGGGCTTACACATTCATACTCTTTCACACATTGGCCCATTCTTTCTGAAAGGATGATACCTACTCCCTGGCATGCCCGCTCGATCTCGTCTACACCAGACCAGTATGCGGTATACATGCCATGTGTAGTGACATCCTTTCCCTTCCTTTTCGTCTCATTTACACATAACACATCTATTCCTCTATCATTCATCATATCGCATACTTCATCCATTTTATCATTCATTGCCCCACATACATTCAACGTAGCCAGACGGACCTCTGCAATCCACTTTTCGCCTCTCCGGGAGACAGAACGTGACGGGTGGCGAACCTCGTCGCCATGAGTGATGAGTGATGATGGCATTATAATAATATGATACATAAATAGAATGGACGTTATCGGTAGAGGCCTACCCGTAATGTCCATTCTATTTATTTAGATATAGGTAGGGTATAGAATTTTTATCGATATATTTTGTCACACTTTCTTATCTCTATTACGGCCGATCCTCATTTGCCATTCACGGTTCGTTCTCTGTCTGATATATTATAATGGAATGGGATTCGACCGAAACTTGACTATTACCGGATAGTATGAATGCACACACATATTTCTTACTTGATAATATTTTATCAGACCGAGACCGAACTGTGAACGGCATTATAATAAGGATCGGCCCTTATTAGTTCCGTGAACGTTCACTTATGCTGTCAGTGCCAAAATGGCGCAAATCAAATCGCCTCATTACGTCACGGTGTATAGCGCTCCCATATATTATATAGAGGTCAGTGGTGTAGCTTCAAAGAATAAATTATCAAGATTGAACGATTTGAACAATTAGTAAAATTTAATACTGATGGAAGAAGCTTCCAGGAGATTGATATTGAAGTCTCCGCATACTACAAGAGATTTATTTTGTTTATTAAGCTTAACTAAAACTTTTCTACATTTTTTCAAATGTATCATATCTCGAACATGGTCTTACACTGACAACAATGAGGTGCTCAAGCTCAACACATGCATTTTCTACAGTTCGCTCAACAGAGAGGCTCACAATATCTTTACGTTCTTTACATAATATGGATTTATTAGTTAATATTAACCCTAGAACCCTACACGGGGTGCTGGAGCACCCCATAAGATTTTTTTGTTGGTGTGTATTCCACTGATTTCACCTTCCGCGTATTTTAGTCTATGGTCACGGTGTACAGATCTGTAAGTGTCGCGGCGACAGCCAGTTAATGTGAACGCGTGCACGAGTATAGTGGGGTGCTGTAGTTCAGTGAAGGAACAATGTAAATGAAGTGATTTATTCCAACTATTAGTTTAAGTCATATTTTGCTTACTTTGGTGAACGTAACCGCTCTCATTTGTATATTTATTACTAAGATTATAACATAACATTAAATTAATGAGATATTTATAAACTTTTTGGTTTATTTTAACAAAATATTACATTTTTTTGTGTTATTGTCTGCAGATGGCTGTAAACAGAGGACTGAATTATGATGAAATATGTTTGTGTTGAGTCAAGCGATGAGGAAGAAGCTGCTTTACCGGGGCCAGTTACAGAACAAGCTGAGGATGAACCGGATGGTTTGACACATTTTCATGCAGTAGGTGACGTAGGGAACTCTAGTAGCGATGACGATATGACCACTCACTCTTTTGTCATATTGCCCACCAAGATCAACTAAGAACGAAGTTGTGATGATCTAGTTCACACTTCGTGACACTTCGGACAAAAACAAGGAAGTGGAGCTTACAGAAATTATTGATTATTATAATAAAACAAAGGGAGGTGTGTATGTTTTTGATGCAATGGCAAAAAAATACTCCGTCCTAAGAAAAACTAAATGCTGGCTCATTTGCATTTTTTTGGGTTAATAAATACCACAGGCATTAATTCTTGGGTTCTATACATATATTCAATTAATGCTTTCGGTAAGCCAGCGATAAATTTTCGACTCAAACTTTTGAAGGAATTGGGACTCAATCTCATACAAGAGCATATGGAGCAACGCCTACAAAACCCTAATTTGAGGAGGGATATATAACAAATTATTGCAGCATTCCTGAAAAAACCCATTCTAGTCGATCCTCTTGTACCTGAACGTCACTCACGGGGACGTTGTGGTTTCTGCCCAAGAAATAGGGATCGCAAAAGTAAAACTAGGTGCGTCAAGTTTAAAATTCCGATTTGCTTAGAGCATCAGTTAAAAGTGTGCCAAAAGTGCTCAAATTGATATTTTATTTATAAATATAAGGTTGATTTCTAATCCCATTACTATAATGAATAAAAATAAAGGAATGTTGATTTAAATTTGTTTTAATTTCATTCAACTATAGACAATTTAGTACTGAGGAACCCCTATGTAGGAATAAGAGTAACGCCAGTAAGTGTAGGGTTCTAGGGTTAAAAAGCCACCACGAAATTTAGTATCTCTATTGAAATAACAGACCACCTGGTGATTACTGAAATTAAATATGGAGTTGTAATCTTTCAACCAAGGTTCAGTAATACATAAAATATGTATATGGTTACTATTTAAAAATAATTCAATTTCTAGTTCTTTGCCCAACATATCTTGTATATTTTAATGCACCAGGTTAATAGTTTTTATTATTGCTATTTTGTGAAATTACACAGTTAAGTATTGGTGAGTTATATTCTAAGGTATTAAATGATCTTTGCTCGAGATTACCTCTATTATATTATTATCTAATTTAAATTACTTGGAACTGATTCTAAATCATTTGTAAAATTATTTTGCTGCTTAATAGAAGCAGGTGTCAAGGTAGCCAAAAATTTGGCTGGGTAATAAAATATAAATAATAAGTTATAGCATTTGTACCAGTCTTAAACTATACTTTCATAGGTAATACCTATATTTTGTCAAAAACTTCTTAGTTATTAAATTATTAATATCAATCAAATAAAATTTATCATTATAATCCCTACTATTAATGTCAAATTATACATTATTAAATTTGAATTATAAATTACTTTATTTTTCTGTGGTCACACCTCTATGAAAGGCAATATAAACAAGATAACTTTATGCACATTTAAGTTATTAAGATATATAATTTCATATTGTTATCTAATACATTGAAAAACAAAGATATTTTTTAATGATTTACTACTAGGTTAATGAATATCGTAAATCTATTTACTAAATAAAACTCTAAGTTATTCTAACGAACAAAATATAAATAAGTATTTTACCTAAAGTTGAGATCAAGAGCAGCAAAAAGTGAGTGAGAATCGCCAGTTTCAGCATCTACGACGAGTTGTCTAAGGCTCTCATAAACGACGGGATCAAAAAATGCGAGATCGTGGAAGCGTATTGGTCGAGCCAGTATATATTTTAAAACATGCCGGTTTAGGAACATTGGACACAGTTCGTTTTGTAGGAGACACAGTCCGATTATTCTGAAAACAAAACAATGTTTTTATTTATTTATTTAAATCGAACTTAATATATATATATATATATATATATATTATATATAATGTATATTATATATACCCTTAGACACCCCAATTAGTATATTATGTTATAATCATAATACACACACTGAATTTTAGTTAAACATTTTTATGCACTGATTATTTATCAAATTAGTTATACTGATTCCGGAAGAATGTTATGGTCACAGTACAAATCTTTAAACTGCAATTTTTTTGTACTGTTTTATCAATTTTAGTTAGAAGGAGGTTATTCCAAGAGGCACGCTGAATTGAGAGACATTTTGTAACCTATTACATTTAGACAACTTATAGTGTGGGAAATTTCAGAAATAAACGGCTTTATCGGTAATAACGGGTAGTGGATATTCTACACCTCTACTACACTTATGTATTTATTCCTTTTAACCTTACTCAACTACTACCCTATCGAGATTAAATCAAAACGTTTTTACAAATGTGCAACTGATACATATTTTGGATTTTTTGATCTACTAGATTTTTCAATCCTATTATAGCGCACTTTCTGTTCCCGTCTCGCCCCGCCCCGCATCACACAATAGGGTATTACACCCATTTTCAAAAATTGTTTTAAATGAATCCTAGAGTGATAACGAACCGCTATAATTTTTATATAACTTTTTAAAACCGAATAGTTCCATAAAAATTACTTTTAATATATCGTTTTAAATTTTCGCGTGAAAACGCTAGCTCTGCCATGCTGTTCAACTCGTGACGTCACTGTCCTCGATTTTGCCGATTTTAAAAAAATGAAAAGGAATAAGATACTTTTTAATGTTTAATAATGAGTTACCATCTAAATCATTGTTGTACCTGAATGAAAAAATACGTGTATAAGAACGCCGGAAAACTTATGGATTCAAATGCAAGTATTTAAATATAAGAAATACTTGGTTATAACTATAACTGGCATGAAGATACCCAAATATATTGTCTACAAAAACCAGACTATACAGTATGACTTATATTTAACTATCGTTTAATACAAAACAGAACTGATGTTCTGTTTTGTATTAAAGGAGGTGAGGTGGGGTCGCAAGTCAAATTTTGTTAACTTAGATATTATAACAAATGATTGCTAATGATTGTAATTATAGATAAACTAAACTATGATAGCTACTAAACTATGTTTTATCAAAATACACTCAGACCTGGTATTGTGCTTTTGTATAAGCAATAGTTTCCTTTTCAAGCATTCCTCAACTCAGCAGAACGAAATTTGGGATTGCATGCAAAAAATTTTTTGCCACCATCAATTTATTTATCATTGGTAGATTAGTACTTTCTGCTTTTACGAATTCGTTTTCCATGATGCCTTTTCAATAAAATTCGGAATAAAACTCAATAATCGTAACGATAACTTGAAAAATTTCGAAATAACACAGCACGTTAGCTAGTTCTCTTAATCAGTGACACAGAACACTAATATACCCTTAAGCTGGATCAGTGACGTCACGACATGTACTAATATGGCGGACACCGTTTTACAGATTTAAGGTACAGACGAAAAAAATATTCTTAAAATTGAAATATAAAATTTATAATGCAATTTTATAAACAGAAATCAATATTTCTCCTTTACTTTTTACAAAATCTATTTTAAATGTATATTTATTGAATTTATTTTACGTGGTGTAAAATACCCTATTGCCCCGTCATAACGCGATCGAGGACCGACTGTGAGTAGTAGTTAGAGTGCGACATGTTCGTATAAAGTTGTAAAGTGATGGGTTAATGCGCGCGCACCTGCCGACGTTCCGGAAGGCGTTGATCCGCTCGGAGGTGGCGCGGCCCTGGCGCGGCGAGTAGTAGCCACGCTTGCCGGGCGAGTAGAAGAGCGGCGCCGCGTCGTCGCTGGCCGCACCCGACGGGCCCGCACCCAGCGCCGCGCCGCCGCCGCGCTCCGACAGCGAGCACACGTCCAAGTCTACAAGCATACCTTCATTTATTGATATTTTTTTTCATTTATCATGGCATCGGCTACAAGGCTTTCAGCCAAACGGAACACATCAAACAATAAATGTATAAATATTATTTTCATAAACGAAAGTCGAAGGATGCAGGTGGCGCAGGACAATGCTTTGTGGCATTCCTTAGAGGAGGCCTATGTTCAGCAGTAGACTTGTAGGGCTGTAATAATAATGATGTTAATTGATGATGTCACATTAAGTTTTTCAGAAATTTTGACAACCACTGAACCCTGTAGAGTAGGTCTATGACAATAATACGGCAAGACTGATAGATAATTTTAAGGATTTTATCACCATCGAAAAAAACTCGTGTATCCGAACTCACACACCCCAAGTGTACTAAGACCCACGTTCAGCATAACGCTCAGGATGAGAGTAATCTGAAATGCAATGTCATATTTACGGCTCCGTGGCACAGTGGCTTAGCAATGAGTTATAGCCCTGAGGGCGGCGGGTTCGAATCCCGCATGGAACATGTATTCGTATGGACTACAAGTAATTGTTCCAGGTTTTGATGTTTGTCTTTGTGCAATTTATGTATGAAAAAACTGCCTCCACGAAAAATCCTAGTGTGGAGGTAATGTTTAAAACAATATATATATATATATATATATATATATATATATATATATATATATATATATATATATATATATAATCGGAATCTCGGAAACAGCTCCAACGATTTTCATTAAATTTTGTGTGCAGGGAGTTTCGGGGGCAATAAATCGATCTAGCTAGGATTTATTTTTAGAAAAGGTCTTTTTGTCCGTGTTTTTAGGCAATGAAAAACTGCTACAATATCGTTACAATAAGAAGGTAAATTTTGACATTTTATTAATGATTACAAATAGCTTAATTGGTACAATGGGCGGTCACAAAATCGTAATTCCATGGTTCGAGCCCAGACCGACCTACCGACTTTTTTTAAATTTTTTTTTCAAGTTCCTTTCTTTTTTGAGAAAATCTATTTTTTCGAGCCCTTTTTTTAGTATTTTTTAAAAACACGAAAATTTAAATTAAACTAATTACACTCATGATTTTTTATTCAAAATGTCGCTACGATCAAAAAATATTATTCGTATTTCATCAGTATGTAATTTGTATCTAAATATAATTTCCAAAACACACGAATTAAAAAAAAACCGAGCGAAAAATACCGAGCAAAGCTCGGTCAACCGGGTACTATATATAATATTGTGCAGTATACTCACAATAATCAATATAAAAATTAGAGCTTCAGTTTTGGCTTTGAAGTAAAGATGCAACCGGATATCCGGTTCTATCTATTATTCGATTACTACTGTTACTCTTTGGTCTTATGATCTAATACTATAATAGACTTTACCCTAATGGATTACTCTCTCAATTATCTCTAACATTTTCTTAAAGAAAAGGTGAATGACAAAGTTAACAACATAAAAGATTCATTGGGAGTATTGCAGATATTCACAGTACAGTATAATAATATAATATAATATAATATTCCACAACTATCACACAACGCCATCTAGTCCCAAGCTAAGCAGAGCTTGTGTTATGGGAACTAGACAACTGATAAACATACTTATATATTTTTAAATACATAAATATTATAGATAAATTACACCCAGACACAGAACAAATGATCGTGCTCATCACACAAGCATTTGTCCTGGGTGGGAATCGAACCCACGACCTCCGGCTTAGCAGTCAGGGTCACTAACCACTAGACCAACAGGCCTGTCTAAGTACACAGTACTTCATTATGTCGTGTGCAGATGGCTAATAAAATTAAAAAACTTGAAGAGATGCATTGATTGTAAGGTGTGATAATACTGGGTCAGTCATGAAATTATTGTATTGTCGGATTATATAACAACATCCAGAACTGAATTCTGGAACAGGTCAAGCTAATAAGTGTGTTAAAATTGCCTTTTGCCTTTGATGAAGATAAAAAATGGGTCAAGATATGTGGTACAAACCAATTTATATTATTACCTAGTATTGCTTCCGAAGGGTGCATGACAATTAGGTCCATGGCTTCGCGAACTTTCTGTCTGAGGGCATCCTCACTGGCAAGTAACACTAAAAGTTGTGCAGGTGTAAGCTCTAACAGCATGCCAGTAATTTTGCCAGCAAATGTTGGATGCAGAGAATGTACCTGATGAAAAACATAATATATTGAAATGCATTTACTTTGAACTCTGGAGTGTATAAAACCAACTTATACAGGAAATTGCTAGATATCTTACTCTTGGATAAAGTCTTTCGCCAAGTTGCGCTTGATGGAGTGTCAAATGCTCGTTATGTCCTCCAGGTCTGTCTCCACTGTATCCCGCACCCTCAGTTCCAGGTGCAGCCTTAAATAACATGTGTTTAATTAGCGACATGATAAAAAAGTTAATATACATGATAATGTATAATGAAAGTTGGTAGTTTTTCTATGAATGCAAAATGCTTCCATCACAGAAAGTTGCCAACATTATGTTTTACGTAGCCAACAATGTTTGACAGTCAGTAATGAAGACTGATTTTTAATATAAATCTTAATAGAATTAAAGCAGGTGAAAACCTGTATAATAATTTGTATTTTTATATTACTTGTATAATAATTTGTATTTTTATATTATTTGTATAATAATTAGTAATGAATAAGGTTTTTGTAAATTTGTGCGTATCGTTTTATATTTACATGATAAAAAAACAACCTACGAAATATCCACGCACAGACATCCTCGGTTTAGGAGGGGTTTGCGCAGGAAATAGTCCACCCTGCCGCCCCAATTGCGTGTAAGGGGACTTCAAGTGCCCCCGACAAATAAGAAATTTCCTAGGCATACAAAATCTCGCGATGTTTCATTCAACGGCTTAACAATACTATTATTTACTATCTAGGCAATGATAAGTGAGCATTGAATGAGTTGTTAACACGACGCAATTTTTATCATCTCTTGATCAAGTTCTAGAGATGATTAAAATTACCTTTCTATAGTATACTGTCAATATTAACCATTAATTTAAAAGTTTCAAAATAATTTATATTATTAATGTTACATAGCTCAATCTTGTACTGAATTTCTTAGGGTTTTTGATGCTTCGGATAACAGAAGTCCTGGGATTAAGTAAAAATAATAGACACTGTTGTCTTAAAAAGCATATGTCTATCCCGGGACTAAGAAATTCAAGGATGTGCCGGTTCTGTTCCCTAACGGAAGAAACGCATCTGCACATCCTAACCAATTGCGGACCCTTAATGCACAACGTAAGGATAATTTTAGTTACATAATAAGAATTATTTTTAATAATAATGAGTGTGTGTAATCTGTAAAACTCGTTACCAAAAAGAAAGTGGAATAATATTCCACAATTAAGTGAATTTGCAGCTAACATTGAACAAATTAGAACTATTTGATAATATAGGTACTAAAAATTTGTTATTAATATTAATATCATAATTACCAACATTTTTAGCTGTATAATAGTGAGTTTTGATAAACAATAAAACTCAATAGGGTTCTCGAGTTCCTTTCTATATAATACTTATCGATGTTCTTTCCTACCCATATCTGTTAACAAGCAAAGTCGCCAACAACAAATAATTATCAAATGTTTATTAATAAACAAGTTTCCAACTGAACCTAGACTAAATTTATGCCCTAAAAGCATAAATATTGTGAACTGGCATCCGAAACAAAATGATCATCTTTGTTCTAAACATTTCACAGAGACTGTTTTATTAGACATGAGAACCGCACTACTTTGAAAAAGTGCAGTATACTGACAACATTTTCTGTTAGTACCAGTACCAGTAGTTTTTTTATTTCTTCTCTTCTCATTTCTCCCCAAATTCGAGGGCCATAGCCAAGTGTAGAAAGGTCGCCTGATCAAATGACGAAAGGATTATTAACGTCAATATTAAGGAGTATTAACGTCAATGTCGTGTACGTCACTCATCTTCGATTTATTAACGATATAGTCCTTATGGCAGAATCGCTGGAGGACTTAAGCACTATGCTCAATGATTTCAATAGTGTGTCCCAACAGATAGGTCTCAAGATGAATATTGAACATTTAGTAAGCTAAATTGGGAATGGACCGACCATGTAGCTCGAAGAACCGATAACCGATGGGGAAGAAAGGTGCTCGAATGACAGCCTCGTACCGGCAGGTGAAGTGTAGGACGTTCCCCCACTAGATGGAGTGACAACCTGGTAAGACATGCAGGAAGTTGGTGGATGCAGGTGGCTCAGGACCGTGCTTTGTGGCATTCCTTGGGAAAAGCCTTTGTTCAGCAGTAGACTTGAGAAGGGCTTTAATGATGATGAATGATAATGGAATTACATTAATACGATATATAAATAGAATGAACGTTACATCTATTCATAGAGCCCATTCTATTTATTTAGGTATAGATAGGGTATAGAATTTTTATCGATATATTTTGTCACACTGTCTTATCCCTATTATTAGTTCCGTGGACGTTCACTTCTGCTCTCAGCGCCAAAATGGCGCAAATCAAATCGCCTCATCATATCACGGTGTATAGCCAGTCCAGCATACTTGTATATATAGTGGTCAGTGCTGCTCTCTCTCTCTCTCTCTAGACCTACATAGCCGCTCACACATAAAAAGGCTTAGGTCAGAATTTGAACTTCAGCCGGACACTAGCAATAATATGGTGACAATGACAATAATAATGTTGTAAGGCCGCGTTTCCACTTGCAAGAACATTCGCGGAAGTTTTGCTCACATATATACTATCGACACTAATCGCAGAAGTATTTACATATGAGAGCTAAAGATGTCACTGTTAAAAAGATTAAAAATCTCACAAATGTCGAGACATCTAGATTAGTTTATTTCAGTTACTTCCATATCATAATATCTTATGGGTTTTTGTAATTTTTGTTTTGCAGAAGAGGGCCTTAAGAGCTATTCTCTCCTAGTGTCTTAGAGAAATTTTTTATAATAATATATATATATATATATATATATATATATATATATATATATATATATATATATATATATATACAACACATAATATAATTAACGCACTTTGAGAAAGTAGTTTGTTCAGAATCGTTTACTGAATCGTTTCCTATCATTTTTAATATAGGTAATTTTGTATCCCAATAATAATTAAAACTACGTAAATTACAGTCACACTAAATCTGTACAGTCAAAACAAACTGAAATGGACCGTAACTTTAGGCAATAAGACTTTTAAGAGTGCAGTTTTATTTGTATTATTACTAATTCTGTCATTCAATAAAAAATAAAGAAAAATGAACTTTATTTCAAGCATGTTAAAGTCTTTGCGTTCGTGGATTTATACTGATAAATAATCAGTGCATAAAAATGTTTAACTAAAATTCAGTTTATGTATTATGATTATAACATAATATACTAGTTGGGGTGTCTAAGGGTGTGCGTTAATTACGTTACATATTACATATATATATATATATATATATATATATATATATATATATATATATATATATAAAACTATGGTCTATATATTTCATTCAATGTATATGCTATAGACATTTGTCAATCATTTATTTCTAGTGACCGAATCATTATAGCACATTTCGTCAGGCGTATCGGTATATTCGGATTTTGTTTCTTTTGTAAATTTCATTCCTAACAATACTCAATTTCATCTTACTGATTGATATTATATATTTTGTGTTTAGGCAATCTAGCATGTATTATGGCGTACCACCTAGTCTCATCAATTTTGGTTCGACTTCAATAAAATGAGAATGACTTTAATCTTTAACTACAGAACTAAGCAAAGAAATTTTAGTGAAAAGTAAATATTGTTTTGATTTAGTATACTAAAATTTGGGCTTTACATGTCTAAAATTTTTTAACGTCTATTTGCTACAAATTTAAACTTTTATACTTATATAAGGTGGTTGAAAATTATCATATTAAATAAATCATTTGCCATGAAATCTTTTGAAGTGTTAATTTTAGTATACCCTACGAAATGATTCCTTTAACTCATAGATGTAACAAATAAATATAATACAATGTAAAATAATTTTTATTAAAGCTACTTTTACGGTTTAATTTGTAATTATTTTTAATTCCCGACATTGACTATGGGTGCTTTCCAGCACCCATAGTCACGGGGGACTGAGATGACTGACGTCCCGATGTTATTGTTAAACCCTGAAGGTACTCCTTCAGCTTTTTTGTTATTTTGTATATTGTAATTATTGTTTATGGTTCGATATATGCAAAAACAACTGTTCCATTTTGCATAAATCGCACCGAGCTTATCTCGAGTCAACAATTTCAGGCAGTACACACTTTTTAAAAACGTTTGTAACTTGGGTAAAATATTCAAAATCCAAAATTTGTCGTCTTTATAGATTTTAGTACTTTTACTGCATAATCTTGGCCAGTCCATATATATAACATTGTTATTCTTCGTTATTATTTCTTATTTTTTACGTTTAGTGGCCACATTGATAATTGTATTTATTTTTCCCCATATCGACTGGTAAGAAAGCTCAGCTACAATCAATATAACTATAATGAGTTAACTATCTGGTATAATAATAATGTGCGAACTCTATACTAATTGAAATATACTCAACGAAAGTAAATACTTCCAACGATCAAAAACCCCAGCGATCGTAGTTGAGTTATATTTCGAAACATAGGCCAAAATAGCAGCGCCTATAACGGAAATCGACACACACTACGATAACAATACGAGACGGAGCGTGCGAAATAAATTAACACATGTCCAAACTCGACAAGCGCCCGCGCGGTAGTGAATCAGATTGCCGGCGCAGTGAAATATATGGTATTTTTATTACATTAAAAAAAAAGTAAATTAAAGTACCATATTTTTTTAAAGTCCTCCTTGCTGGTTTTTCCCAAGACAGAGGTATTTTTCTGAATCATGAAAAATGTAAAGTAAAAATGACTTTCAATAAGAACGGGACTACATGTGATTATTATTCTATGCTATTTTATTCTATGATGACAATTTAGTGTTGTTTGCAGGTGGAAACGCGGCCTTAAAATTTATTTGCCATATCTCATATTATATATGTATATATATATTATTCTTTTAAAGAATTGAAGAGAGCTGTGAAGTATTAAAAAAAAGTTAGTATTTGACCTACATAAAACAGCAATAACAATGCACACCCACCATGAACATATAAATGGACAAAAGCTACTTTCCTTTCATTGCGAACATGATCATCGATATGGGACGCGAAATAGTCGGCCCGTAAAATGGGATGTAGCTAATGCATTCTATAACAACAGAGCAGCTCATCAATAATGAATTACTCTAAATACCCAAATAATAATAGAAACTAGATCGATAAACAGCGAGATCTGACGCAAGTTGATCTGAACATATTTAGAATTGCAATCTATTGTACTCGCAACGTAGTGTACATCTGCAAGCTACTGTATGACACTTGGTCTTGTTGCAAGAAGTGCACGACAGTCTGTCGTGGCCTAAGGCTCAATTTACATTGCGACGGAAGCGTAAATTTCGCTGCGACGCGCGGGAAGGCGTGCAAATTCTTCAATACTTCGCCTTGGGGCTATACAACAGTCACCTTGGGACTGTAGAAAAGTTAGTCTAGATTCCACGCCCTTAGCGTCACTTCCCGCGAATTCCACAGACTTCGCCGACAGTAGCTACGGGAACCCTCGAGAATTCTCCGGAAGAGGCGCGACTTCTTTTTTGGCTCATTTCTAGTTTCCGCGTTACACAATTTACATAAGACTCGTTTTACTACATGCAATTTAATTACAAAAATTCGCTTAGAGCCTAAGAAGCATATGGTTAACCTGTGGCGAGTAAGGTCTTGCGTCGACGCTGAGCACGCGGCGCGGCTCGCGGGCAGCGGGCGGGCGTGGTGCCGCACGCCCCGGTGCCCGCCGCGCCGCGTCCTTCGCACGCGCGCGACCTGCTCCGCTTCTGTCAAACAATTACTTATTAAAACATAACGAACAAACACTACTCTACTACACTACACTACTACTCAATTTTACTATGTCGTTAAGTCTCGTGGTGTCACAGTCACTGCCTTAAGTGATACAGACAGCGCGAGACTTCACGGCATATCATGAATTATAGAGTATGGGATATATGAAGGTTAATTAGTGATTGACACTCAATAACAAAATTTCAATTGAGGTTACCTCTGGATTTTGCTGTTAGGAAAGTCGTGTCATTATCATCAACGCTCTTGTAGATTAAGAGAATTTTCTTGTCGCAATCGCCTTTATTTACCTAAATATGTTTTAGATATGGCAATTTTTATTTGTATTCTGTCCACTTAAGAAATAATCAAACAGAATTCTCACAAGGCCACCAAATAAAACCACAAATGCAATTTCTGCTAAAGTTTTATTTTCTATAATACCTAAAAAAAAAAACTAATTATATACATACCTGGTTCCACTATTACTGCTAGCACTACCGGCGTTTGCGCCACCTGAACTTGAAGTACCATTGGCAGCGCTGCTATTAATTCCGCTGCCTGAAGTAGGCTCCAAGGGAGGAAGTTTTTCATTAGCTAATAGAGCCTGCCAAATAAAAATTGTAATATGTAATAATGGTTAAAATTACAAATAGACATTTATATACTAAACATATTGCAGTATGTCAAAATGAACTTATAACATTGATAATGGCGAACAAAACTTATTTAAATTTTCTCATCCCTTTCCCTATCAACCATTCTTATATGTAAAAATTTGTTACCGTGCCACTGGACTATGAGAATACACCTGTGCTTGCGCATATACTTGGGCACTATAATTTTGTCCTGCACAAATGGCTAGTCTACGTTGAGATTGGCCGCCGTGATCGAAATTAGGTCTGGAGGACATAACAATTATTATTATTTATTCGTGCAATAAACAGTGTCAAAATATCCACTACCCTATATCATCTCGTAGCTTTCGTAAGAGGCGACAGAGGGAAAATGAAACAGTAGATGAACAGCAGCACCTTCCTAACAAAAGAATACTATAATACATACATAATATAACGGGGGAGTGGGCGGAGCCCGTGTAGCCACTAACTGACGTGTTATTCACATGAAAATGCCAAATTGCACGCTATTTACAAATAAATATGTATTAAAATCCGTCTGTCAACACATCGAATCGTGTTTGTAGTAGTGATTAACTGATAATACGACGTAATTGCTTGCATGTGTGCTCCCGGCGACGCCTATCCTCGTACAAAATAAGGTTGACAGCCATTCTATTATGTAATATTCTATGTTCCTAACAATTCAAACTAATAAAAAACTACAGTTGCCAACTCGCTTGCCAAGCGTTGCAACTATGCCAAAATGCCCCATGTTTTTTTTGCAGATCAAAATGCAGAACTAACATAAACTGCCTCGTTTGCAGTAAAAAGTGTATCCGGTCCTCTACTCTCACCGTTCGAAACACAGCAGCATTAAACTGCTATTTTACGCTGGTATTCAGTGAGATTGGTCCTAGCCCGGTCGAGCTGACCCATTCATAATACAATTATAATATAGCTGTAGGGTGGTTCTACCGCGTGTAAATCAATGGGGGAGGCCAATGTTTAGCGGTAGATTTTTATACGCTGTGAGGAATGGATAGGTGTATTCGTACAATAAAGGTATTTATTGATTGTTGGTTATTCACCTCGGCGACGCTGGTGTAGAAGGAGCGCGCGACGCCGCTGCCCTCGCCGGGCTCGTCGCGGAACGTCACCTTGACGCGGTTGACAGCGAGCGGCGGCTGGGCGCTGTGCGCGCGCCTGTTCTGTCCCGCGAACGCGCTGTTCAGCTCCGCGAACGTCTGCTGCAGGAGTTTCGCGCGGTCTCGTTCCATCTGGAATAAAATATTACTATCAAATCAGCATTGTGGTGTCGCCGCCACAAATAACACAGTAATTAGGGCGGGCGTTACTCTACTCCTAACATTTTACATTATCAATAGGACTAGATTAACACCTATTCTGCTCTCCTGTCCGGCGAGCAGTTTGGCGAATGGTTCTGGGGGAAAGCGCAGTTCGTGTTGATCCCCAGGGCGTCTGAGGAGTTCTTCCTTCACGTGGTTGCCGCCTGTTATTTGGTCTGGTTCAATAGGAAACAAACAGAACAGAAACACTCAGACCTCTTTTTCTTTTATCCCACCCCCTTTTTCCTATTCTAACCCAAGCCAAAGCGTCAAGCGTACCGTGCCGATGGATGCGTGGCTGGGGGAGTTTAGACACAAACTGTGCCTACCCGAGTCCAGGGCGATTCGGGTAATATTTTAGCCCATCCCTAAGCATTCGCGGCTCTGCCGGGGTGACCGGATATTTCCCTAGTTAATCGTGGAACCAGAATGGACAAAAATCGACATTTTTCACACAATATTGAAAAATCTCCGTTAATGGAATTATTATTCGTAGGTTCGGAAGAGGCTCTTTTAGTCTCACCAATACCCTGAAACACTACGCCCCAACCTGGGACGAGCCGTGAAGCCGAGGGCACGTCTGCAACCGAACCACAATCGAAAACGAACCAGGGAGGGGAAAATAAAAAGTTCGCTAGGCCTAGTGGGACAGCAAGGAATGAATTTCTGCAATATCATGGGACTTCACTCTAACATAAACGCCGTCCACTATCATCGCGAGGCGGCGAGCCCGGCTCTGCTCTTTCTGACCGAGACACAGGTGTCCTCTCCGGCTGATGTCTCGTATCTCTCCTACCCGGGGTACAAGCTGGAACACTTCTTTGTGCCTCGGGCTGGAGTTTGCGTTTACGTCAGAGAAGACATCTGTTCTCGACGCCTCGGCAGTATTGAAGGTTCAGACCTGTCCATCTTTTGGCTACGCGTAGACAGCGACGACCATCCACGAGTCTACAGGTGCCTCTATAGGTCCCATAACGGTAATGCCGAAACAGATCGACTCTCTTCGACCACGTCCAAATGGCTACAGATTCGTTGCTACAACAGATGCCCTCCGCAGAGATCGTGATCCTCGGCGACTTTAACGCCCATCACGCCAAATGGCTTGGTTCACGTTTAACCGATCATGCGGGGAGATATGTTGATGATTTTGGCTTGGCATATGGTCTGACACAACTGGTTACTTCGCCTACGCGGATTCCAGTTGTGGAGGATCATGCATCTTCCCTCTTTGACCTTCTGCTGACCTCTCACCCAGACGGATATCAGATTTCCGTCGACGCCTCTTTAGGATCCTCGGACCATTGTCTTGTCCGGAGTGTGATGCCACTCACGCTGAAATCGCAGTTGCATTCTACAGACTGCCGCCGTGTTTGGTACTATAGGTCAGCCGATTGGGATAGGATGCGGTCTTTCTTGCATCCACCCTTGGGGAGACTATTAGGGTATGGATTTTGGTTTTTGTGTTTAAACACCAGCGCTCTATTCCTGCCGGGAAGAAATTTGTCTGGAATCTGTCACCATCTCTTCCATTTCTGCACAGGGAGCATACCTGCAATTCCTCTGGTGTTGCGGTTGATCATGGGTGGCGGTAGTCACTTAACATCAGGTGAGCCGCATGCTCGTTTGCCCCCTCTTCTATAAAAAAAGGACGGGGTACCGAAGGCTGATAACAGCTGAGATAGGAGCCGAAGAGGCCCTCTATTCCTGCTAGAAGCCCTAGGACGAAATTCCTCTGCCCAAACCTTCCCCAGTTCCGAAGGCGAAAAGACGCAGTCGGTCTGAGGACAAGCTCCCAGCCTAGGAAGTTTGTGAAGCTGGCAACGAGGCAGAAGAAGCTCAGCTTCAGTACCGTAGCTGGCTCCGCGCGTGTAAGAATTCGCAATTTGAATCCTATGAGTGTGCAGCAGATGCGAATAGTCCACCGGGCACTAACACAGGCCATCGCTAAAACGGCCTGTAGGGCGCAGCCGGGAATGGGACTAAAATTTTCAGGTTTCACTCACAAGCCAGGTTGGATTCTGGTAACGTGCCTGAATAAGCCAGGACTGGATTATGGGTGAAATTGGAAAACTGAAACCATGGCCGGAGGCAGAGCTCTCGATAGTACCCGAGGGCGAACTGCCTAAGCCTCAGCTGGGCATCACCTATCTACCCCGCAGCGAAGCTGACTCTCCAAAGAAGGCTGCTGTGATATTGAGGGCACAAAGTGAAGAGTCCCATACCGAGATCTGGCGAATCCTCCACCGCAGGGATGAGGAGAATGGGTTCCTGGTAACCTTTTCTCAGTACGACCCATCGACGAAGGCTCTTCGGAATGCGGGCGGCAGAATCATCGTTAGCTTTAATGATAACTTTTAAGGTCAAGGGAAGCTCTGACGCGGCCATGGAGACGGAAGCGCTCCAACTCCAATCCCCCCAGCCCTCCACCTCGCGGAGTGAGACTGGAACGCCATCAGTGAGTGACGAAGACCAAAGGCGCTGATCTCGTCTCGGTCTGACGGCGTCCGCGGGGGTCATCCAGGGGTACAGGAAGGGAGGTCGGAGCAGTAAGGCGGGGGTCAAGAGTGCCGGTAAAGGACGTCTTCGTCTCCAACAGGCGCAAAAGTCCCTGCCCACCACGCCCATAAACGGTTAACCCCAAGGGTAAGAGGAGGGTTCTCCAGGCAAATATTCACCATGCTGCAGCTGCTTCTGCCGTGGTGGAGGTTTGCTTTGCAGAGGATAACATTGATCTCACCCTCATACAAGAGCCTTGGGTGGCCAACGGTCAAATTCTGGGATTGTCGGCTGCCTGTAAAATTCTAGTCAATACTATAGGCAGTAGACCCAGAGCTTGTATAATTTACAATACAAATATTGATCTTTTAGCTGTTCCAAAGTACTGCAACGATGATATGCTCACATCCTTCATAAATCTCAAGGGATGCACAGGGATAAGAGTAATCATTTACTCAGCCTATCACACCGGAGAGAACTCAGATCCTACCATCGAGTTAGAACGAGTGGCGGAGTTCGCCCATAAACACAACGCCGAACTTGTGGTGGGTTGAAATGCTAATGCTAACCACACAGCCTAGGGAAGCACTAACATCAACGAAAGAGGTGAGTTACTTTATGATTTTTTCATCTCCAACCGCCTGGTAAGTATAAACTTAGGGTGTTCACCAACCTATGCAACGCGTGCTAGACAAGAAGTGTTAGCATAACCTTTGCTACTAATAACATGTCCAAGCGGATAAATTACTGGCATGTTTAGTAGTAAAAACTCGATGTCAGATCACAAACATATTAAGTTTGTGACTGGAGCACCACCAACCTATTAAACCGTTGCTTTTAGGGATCGAAAAGAGACCTCTTGGGATATTTATAGAGATAGCCTAAGGAGAAATTTGGAAACGTTTCCTAAATGCATCAAAACGATTCAAGGTCTGGAGTTAACAACGGAAACAGTAACCATGGGTCCATGAAGCCTTCAAGGACAGCTGTTCCGTCAAAACCAAGACCTCATCACGAAAAGTTTCTTAGTGGAATACTAAGCTAAAAGAACTTAGGGAAAACACTAGGAAACTATTTAATAGGGCTAAAAAAAAGAGCGGGATATTTATAGTGCAGCCCTAACCGAATATAATCAAATCGGGCTTCTTAAAAAGTCTGATGGTAACTTCACTAATAGTGAAACAGAAACATTAGGGTTACTAACGTCAAACGTCACGTAAGACTTTTGCCTTAAATTCTTTCAGAGCCCTACGAAGGCCTTGTAATGAGGACCGGAGTAGGGCTGCAAAGATATTAAGGCCAAACCTGATGCAGTGGGCTGTTGCCTCCTTTAAACCATTTAAAACAAGCAGAAAAGATGGAATAATTCCCGTGCAGCTACAGAAGGTTATCGATATCCTTCTTTCCTGTCATCAGAGCAAGTTTTGCATGGGGATATATTCCAGGACGATGGACAATTATCAAAGTTGTATTTATACCTAAGGCTGGTAGAAAGGATTACGCTTTACCAAAGTCCTTTAGACCTAAAAGCCTATCTTCCTTTCTTCTTAAGACATTGGAAAAGGTTATAGATAGATATATAAGGGATGTAGCTCTAGCTACAAGGCCCATACATTACTACCAGCATGCTTACGGCAGACGTAAATCTACAGAAACAGCCCTGATCAGTGTTTATAGACAAGGTCGTAAAAGCATTTGAGGATAAAGAAATATCTCTTTGTGCCTTTCTAGATATTAAGGGCCCTTCGACAGTAGCCCGACATCACTGCTGATTGGGAGCCTGACATCTAAAAATGTTAACCCCACAACCATCAGGTGGGTGAAGTCGATGCTCTCAAACAGAAAAGCCAAAATAGCGCTATTTCAAACGTCAATGTATCTGTATTTTGATTATTAATCGAGGATAAATGTTGATGTCTTTGGCCACAGTATCCACTTACCATCAGGTAGACTGAGTATTTAACCAACTGGAGAGGGCATACGTGTTAATTCCTGAACAAAAAGTCTGTCACTTTCGACGGGGGCGAGGAAAACATACTACTGTATACTATACTTCACTACAAATGCAAATATACGTCATTACACACGCACACTACAGCATTTGTGTTTGTGTTTATTGCATTTACGCATACCACCAAATTGTACACTAGTGCCGCTGTCTACATGGATAAGCAACGTAGGGCGAGGATGATCGATATTTTTATCGATAAACAAATCATCGTAGTCCGCATAAGTTCAGCGTTGGTAAAAGTGATTTTTAGTGTTTTTTTTTATAATTAATTTTTTTTTATTTTTTATTTAAAATATTACAACCCTTCATAAGTCCATCGCTGAACATAGGCCTCCTCCAAGGAATGCCACAAAGCACGGTCCTGAGCCACCTGCATCCATCGACTTCCTGCATGTCTTAACATGTCATCACTTTATCTATTGGGGAGTCGCCCTACACTTCGCTATCCGTTACGAGGCTGCCACTAGAGAACCTTTTTTTAACCTTTTATCAACGTTTGTCAGTTCTTGGAGCTACATGGCCGGTCCCAATAGACGCCTAATGTATGTATTTCTGCATCCAAACCTGTCTGTCAAAAGTCTGAGGTAAGCGGTACGGGGGAGGTGGGTTGAAATGCACGCTAATTGGTTAAAATCAAGGTTGCGACACTTGCTAATAAGCAAATAGTGATGGGAACTTTAACTAATAAATTTGGTACCAAGTCTACTTAATCAGTACCAGAATTATATTCTACTATAAATTGGTACAAAATTTAAAAAAAAAAAACAAAAGAAGTTTTATTTAAGTAGGTATCGTATTTAGTAAAATATAATTTTTTGTTTTAAAGAATATTTTTTATTAAAACAAGCTTTCTTTACAATATTGAAATAATAATAGAATACTATTAAAAATAAAATAGCAACAGTTATATAATACTGTCAATTTCACTTCCGTTTCTTACTTGTCTTGACATGGCGTCTTAGCAGTAAAGAGAGCGGAGTGCTGTCTATTAAAAATTATATCAATTATAATATGAATTATTTTTAAAAAGTTTTGAATAATTTGATTTAATTATTAAATCAATTAATACAAATATGGATTAACGTACATTCAGTAAAAAAATTTTGTACTTACACCTATGTCGCTTATAGTATAAGTCTGTAAAACATTCACGATAACATGCATAATATTTACTTGTACCAATATTATAGTTTAACTGTTACAGCACTAGTTACACGTGCCGGTAATTGAAGAAAAGTATAGCAACAATGAACTTCATTGAAAAGAAAGGGATGCATAGTCCGAAAATATCCGAAGATGTCCGAATAAATTAATGCGAGTTGCTTGTGACAAATATAGGTTGAGCTCTGATTTAATTTTAATTAATGAATTAGGTAATTAAAATTCACTTATCTATGAAAAGTGATGCCATTATTTTTTAATTACACATTTGGCTACTATTTCCGCACTATTTTATTGTACAGGGAACCATGTTGCGCGTCTGTTGTATTTTGTTTTGTCGAAAATTAACGAGTCACATGCAAGATGTTCACGGGTCAGGGAAGTGGTCGCTACTAAAGTAGATCGCGCGATCGTTTTCTTATATAAGACGTATTTGTCTGATGTGTTGACAGAAAGTGGTCGCCTTTCATGAGGCGTCTATTCGGGCTGTGTAGTCGTTGGCCGGTCCATTGTCACTTCAGCTTTGGCTTAATACTTAAAGGGTGGACTATGTACTCATTAGTCACGCATATTGTATAAAAAAGGTCAAAAATGTGCGCCAAAAAGTGTTGTTGTTTTCTTTATATTGAATATGTCAGAGATGACTGAAATCAATTACCTTATGCAAAGTCAAATCCTTCTGCTGTGAGTTTCGTAGTTTTTCCATATCCCGTCGGAATTTCACCTCTTTGACTGGAAAACCGCCGAGCTCAGCTACAACGGACCCGGATTCGAGGCCCACATCCTCAGTGAAAACTCGACCAAACAGGTCAAGTGACAGCCGCCATCGTCCCAATAACAAATCATGAGACACCGAGGCCCCCAGGGATGGACAAGTACGCCTGTTACAGAACAAACAATTTCAAATCAAATCAAATGAAATAATTTATTCAGTATCAGAGTTTTTACATAGCAGTGTTGTGAATGAGGACTTCTTTTAAGTAAATAAATACTTGTGTTAGAAATCCCCCCTCTCCGTAACATTGATTAACGAATACTAATGTGATACCTACTTACTTCAATACTTAATCTAAACACATATTTTTAATTTAGATTTTTAAAGTTGCTCTAAAACATAGATTAAGAGAGAATAAAAATAAAAATTTTAAACTATTAGTCATATTTAATTTTTAATATGGTTGTTAATAGTAGTAGAACTGCAGATTCAGATTAGCGATTTTTAGATTTGCCATAATATGTAATTATACTTATTAACCTTTTAAGTTACAGCTAATACACTAATTTCTTTTTCATTAGTCATGTAGTAAAGTCTTAAGCATATAATCCCAGTTGAAAAATTGATGTTACTATCATCATTTAACCATTTAGTTAAAGAATTAAACCATTTTAATAAATATTATTAGTTACACTCTAAATAAAAGACTGTTGAAGTTCAGTAATGTAACCTTTTCCAAATCATCTGGAATCAAAATGTACGTTTAGATTCAGTAATTGTGATATTGGTATCCACCATACTAAACTGATGATGAACTGCTATAACAGTCAGTCTTCTATAATTTTGATAAATTAAATCTATACAGATAGTTATAGCTGATTAATCAACAACATTTGCAACCAATGACATAAAAATATAATCAATTTTTTAATAGTTAAAATGAGTTACATACGCTTGAGCAGGTGCATTGAGTACTTGAGGGGGTAATAACGGTGCTGTTGTCAGTCCCGTCGTCTCTACAGTCACATGTGCGGAGATCTCTTGAGACTCTAGGGGATCTGCTACGCTTAACAATTCGCCCTGTAGACAATATTTTATATATAGTAAGTCACCACATTCAAATGATTTCAGGCCAAGCAAAGAATACTCGGGTCTTAAGACGTGAAAGGGACGATTATACGCTCACCCACAAGATTGCTCGGACGTAGATGTACAAAAATAAAGTTTTTTGGTAGTCTTTATATCGCCTTTGAATTTGATACAGAATCTTGCATTTGGTTAAAATGTAAATATGTAAACAAAAAAAATGTAAATGTAGATCAAACCACAGGAGGACCCTTTATAATTGTAGACTTTTCTTTTATAGCATTGAGCGACAAACAAGCACACAGTCCACCTGATGGTAAGTGGATGCTGTGGCCAATGCGTGGGTGACAAAGCCTTTGCATTTTGATTCTTAATTCAGGACTAAGATGGAATGACTCGTTTCCAGTGAAAAGAGTGTCTGATTCTCTACACACATCATACGAAATACAGCAGCATTACGCTGGTATTCTGTGAGAGCGTGGTCCTGCCCCGATCGAGCCGACCCATTTGTGCTACAACTATAATATAGCTGCACGTGGCTCTACTACGTAAAAACTTGACTTTACTACATATATCGTACTTGAAAACAATGTTGCCACATTAACTTACATAGGATAGTGATTCATATGGTTTGGTTATATGAATCGTAAAACTTAGTTTGCTCTTACAGTATATTTTGTTTTTATGTCACAAATAATAACAAAAAATCATAGATAATAACCCACCAATAAATTATTACTATTATTTATGAGGATATCCGGGCGGCAATTCGAAGCGGTTTCGTTAGATCCAATTAGGCCTGTTGCTGTCTAAGTCTATTAATTGTTGTCGCATGTTGACAAGTAAGAGGTGATAAGAGAGAACCGAACCAGAACATTTGCAACCTAAAAACGACTAGAAAATATAACAACTGCGATTGCAAACGAAATATAGTCTTTATAATGTAGTCTGTGGAGAGTTATATGTAGACGTAAAGAATTAATTGCTCTCACGCCCAAATGACCGACCGACAACAGAGAGACAATTGCAACTCGAACCGATTATACAAAATAACAATCTCCGTATTTTCTTGTTTCTTTCGCTAAATTTAGATTGATCCTGTACAATACGAACAAACACATTTCTCTGTTTTTAAACTGAGTAATCAATAGACTAAATATTTTTTACAATACAGTCAATATACCGTCATGATAACATTAGTGATAAAACGATTCATCAGTTAGCAAATACGATTATGATAACATTTATTTCTGTTTTTTTTCTTTTAATCAAACATACTATTATTGATAAAGGAGTATAATATTTATTACCATTAACGAATTCAAATAACGTTTGCTGAGGAATCCATTATCAATAAGTAATTTTAAATTTTTATCAATACAACATGACATTTCTAGCTTTTCGGGCATCAATCTGTTTCTTTTTTCAGTTTGAATCAATCCAGCAGTGGAAAACAACCTCTCCGTCAAAATGCGGACGATGGTAGAATTAATAGACATTTTTTGTTAAACTTTAATAATTGTTATAAATTTCTTTGGAAATGATAGTCAAATTAATAATCGCTAGATAATTCCAATAATAATCAGCGAATATGTTAATCGTGAAATGTCGATAATTGTCGATTAATCGTTATCGTACTCGAAATCGTTTCATCAATAGATAAATGTAATAACATTTTATCCAAATAAATTATTTTAAAAACAAGGCACACAATTTTTTTGAAATTGCACAGTAATACTACCTCTTTCAGATATCTACCAAACAGGAACATAAAAAAACATACATAATACACCTTTGCTTTTAAATAAAAAGTAAAAGCCATGATCACTGGCTGACACTAAGAACAATTAGTAGACGGTGGCTCTTTACTTTTTATACAGGTAGAAACAGAGGAATGCATTTGTATGCACTATATGCTGCTCAGATATACTCTCCTTGAATGTTACTTAACAGAACTGAATTCTCGTTATTTATTTTAGGGAAACTTGGCATTTTATCTAGTTAATAGCAATTTTATTACAGTTTTAGGATTTGTTTCATTGAAACTTTTAGTTATGACAAAAAGTAACAAAAAGTAACATAAGTACATAAAATATTCATTTTAGTCTCGAATATTTGAAATATACAGAGAATCAGAGATGCGTTTACAGAGCTTGGGGTAGATAATCTTGGGCGGAAAACTGGATGTATATTATGTATCAGCCTAAACTTCTTATAGTCAACCAAATCTAAGAAATACATTTTGACAGCTGTCAGACTTATTGCACCAGGCATGCTAACCAAAAAATGGGAACGTAAAATATTCGATTCTAAAAAAAATTGGTATCGATTATTTAGAGTTGGTAATCATTTACTGTTTGGTTTTAATAATACCAGAATAAATTAAATACGTATTTAAAACACAAGATTTATTAGTTTCTACGTATTTGTTGTTAGGTACTGCTTATTTCTAGAGGCACAGTTATAAAAATTTAAGATTATAACTAAATTAAAAATAAATCTATTCAATCACTATCAGTACCATTAGTTGAGCTGTCACTGTTTGATTTCAATAATGCAGTCAAAATTGTCTTTTTTATAGGAAAAGGGTGACAAGAGAGCACACAATCCACCTGATGGTAAGTAGTTTCTGTGGCCCATAGACATCTACATCTATCTTCGTTTGCGAATCAAAATGCAGATGCGTTGTCAGCCTTGAGGACTAAGATGGAATGCCTCGTTTCCAGTAAAAAGGGTCTCCGGTTCTCTACACTCACCATACGAAACACAGCAGCATTAAGCTGCTATTTGACGCTGGTATTCTGTGAGAGCGTGGTCCTTCCCCATTCGTGTTACAACTACACAATTAATACAGCTGCAGCATGGCTCTACCACAAAAATATCTCCTTCAAAGTCATCCATAATATTTTTTTTTGTTTTTTCTACCACTTTTGCCTAATTATCCTTTGTGAAATGGGCACATGCTTCAACAAATATAGAAGAAACGGTCCAAAAAGTTAAAGCCGAGTCACAAAATAAGAAGACAAACACAAAATCACAAAATGACGCACAGTAAGCTCCCGAAATGGCGGGATATTGAAATTATGTAGTGCTTTTTATATCGCGGCCTTGTATATGAGTTTTTTTGCCTACACAAATTTACGTTGACAAATTAAAAAAAATAAACTTGTTTTATTCATGATTCATGTAATTTAAGGAATTTTAAAAATAAAAATTAAATTAAACAAGTAATACATTAAAAAAATTAATGATTTGATTATTTGAATATTTTTACAACGTAAAGTACAAAAAGTTGATATTGGTTATTTTTTAACATTTTGCTTTGTTTGAAAGATTCAAATTTAAATTAGTGATAAAAAAAACTATACACGTTGTGATGAAATATAGATAACTTTATGATTCTTCGGATTTACGTAAATGGTTTTTTTAAATCGTGTGAGTACGCTTGTGCAAAGTTATTGCTGAATGATTAATGTGAAACGTCATAAGGTATTTATTAGATTTGGTTGACTATAGTTAACAACAAATTATATATATTTATGGTCATGCTTCACTTGAACTGAAATATTTTGTATTACTAGTTAAAAGTCCTTTAAGTGCTCTTTTATTTATTAACAGAATAAGCTTGTCCAATTGAAGAGTATTAGGGTATAATTTTGATAAAGAAAAGTCCCCCAAATAAGTGGAGTGACTTACAGCACGTACAATAACAGTCTTGCCGGGGCTGCGAGAGGATGAAGCACGTGGTTCTTGCACCAATCCGCCTGAGCCACTAGGTCCTATCAAGAATAAAGAAAACAATAAATAAGATGATTGAGCTTTTATAAAATTAATTAAACGTAAAAGTTGCAATGATAAAAGAATTTCTTACCTGGTATAGGCTGTTGATGTGGAGCTTCTATGATGGAGCAGGCGGTGTCGACAAGGGTATGAAATTCTGATGGGTGTGAGTTTGATTCCTGGCGTGAGCTGCTACTACCAGATGTTACCGAATGGGGATGTCTGGATCAAATTGTATACAGACATTATTACTGATAAAATGTCACTAACAAAGAACTTATGAAAATAAACGTCACGAACTTGCAATGAAATATGAAACATACCTATGGTGCTTTTTCCTTTGAATTTGTCTTGCTTCATTAGAATCCGAATCAGATAAATACTCGCCATCAGTGTCAATATCCATTTTGGTAACATTTTCTTTCGCACAGGACAAATCCTAAAATTTTTTTCAAGCCACCATTTTAATATTAAGATATAAAATTATTTTGTGTATACCACGTATGTTTGTAACAAAAAATAAAATTTCTAATAATCGAGGCTAGTGCATAATTTATGTAAGCATACATATTAGTATGGCAATATTACATTTTAGAACAGATAACATTGTTCAAGTATTACGTATGCAAGCTTAAGGTGGGGGGTTAAATTTTTCTTACTTTTGCTATAAAAAGGGAACGGGGGAATGTAGAAAATCTTAATAAAATGTATTTCATTTCTTACAAAAGATAAAAAAAATTATTAAACGAAAATATTTTTAAAACAATATCCATAATCTAAAATATTCATATTAATTTTATTATTGTGAAGATGAACTATCAATTGTTAATGATGTAGAAATTTGGATACAGATAATGAACAATAAATGATTAAAACATAATCACATTAATTTTAAAAATAATTCCAAGGGCCCAACCCCCCCCCCCCCCACCCTTAACATGGTAGCGTAATTATGTGAAAAACTACCCTAGGAGGGTACCAGCACCCACGGTGACGGAGAATCCCTCGCTGAGCATCAACGACCAAGTTATCCTACTCTTCCTGCGCGTGGGTGCTCAGGCTGCCTCGCGTATTCTGGAGAGGGTGGGGGGGGGGCAATTCCACGCGCGACAAAAACTGCTCGGAGCAAGCGGAGCAACAACATCAAGGCGACTCTTGCCACGCTATCTGTGATTGTGATGTGATATTTTTGCAACATCAGGGCACTTGATTCCAACCTTAACGGTGTGCACTACCACCTGGAGACGGCGAAGCCGGCCTTGCTCTTTTTAACCGAGATTCGGGTGTCCTCTCCAGGTGATACTTAATATCTCTCGAGTTTTGGCGGGAACTTGGTCGTCGACGGATTATCGCTCCTGTTTTGTCGCTTGAATAATGGTTTGAAGTAGATTCGTAAAAGTGATGCCATTTTGCGAATAAAGTGTCTGCACGTGTGAACTATTATAGAAAACGACGAAACAAGTGCATTGTTGTTGATATAAACCTCAAGTAATTTTGATCGCTTGGGCGCCTTATTAACTTGAGGGGTTACCGTCATTAACTGTTCCCTGGGACTTCGCAATGTGTCGCATCAGCATATTGTGAAAAAAAAAATATATAAAAATGAAGATTCCGAACGAAATAATAGGCTCAAAAGGGCTAGAACCCAAAGCCCTTAAAGCCAGTTAAATAAAAAAATATTAATATCTCTCCTACCCGGGGTATAAATTAGAACATTCCTTTGTGCCCCGGGCTGGAGTTTGCGTATACGTACGTCTTGAAGGTACGGACCTATCCGTCCTATGGCTACGAGTAGACAGCGACAACCATCCCCGCGTCTACGAGTGCCTCTATAGGTCCCATAGCGGTAATGCCGAAACAGACCAACTCTTTGACCACGTCCAAATGGGTACAGATTCCGTGCTACAGCAGATCCCATCCGCAGAGATCGTGATCCTTGGCGATTTTAACGCCCACCACGCCGAATGGCTCGGTTCACGTTTAACCGATCATGCAGGGAGATCTGTTTATGACTTGGCTTTGACATATGATCTGACACTGGATAAGTGGTTACTGCGCCTACGCGGATTCCAGGTGTGGAAGATCATACACCTTCCCTGTTGAACCTTTTTTGAGGTTAAGAGCTGATAAGTTTTTGAAATCGATCAGTAAAGCCGTTTAAAAGTTATTCCAAAAAAGAACAGTTTTTCCAAATTTTTATTTTTGAGATTTCTCAAAATCTACTCGTTCGAATCAGTTCATATTATCGCCAAATCTATTCCACATTGAGATGTTTAGAACGCCGCATCTAAATCGATTAAGACGTCTCAATCAATACGAATCAAGACGTTCAAAAGTTATGAAAGGTTTACATACTTAAACACATACATCCGTACGGACGTCAACGTGAAATTAGTCAGAATAGCTTCCTGGGATTTCAAAACGTCGAGATCTGATGAAAACACGATTTTCGAAAATCGGGTTGAAATCAATATCTTCCCTATTTTTGAAAATTTTCAATTTTCTTAGTGGGAAGTTAAAAAAATTCTTACGTCTTATCATTTGGGGAGGGAGAGTCCGCAAATTTCTTATTTTTTCTTATACAGGGGCGGGTTGGGGATCTAAAATCATGGAAAGTTTGCTTGTGTAATACTTGAACGCCCCCTAATTACAAAATTTTACATTATCGTACATTTAAGGGCGATAAATTCTTGATACATAATCAAAGTCAGCAGCTGCATAGCATGTAACGCAGACAGTGGTTTGTGTATTGACATACCTGTGGCTCGTCGCGGGTCATGGAGTGCGAGTGCGAGTGCGAGTGCGTGTGCGTGGGCGGCGCGGAGGCGGGGCGCGCGGGCGGCGACCAGCCGCGGTCCGTGCCGCGGGAGGATAGACCAAGACGACGAGGCACCACTTTAAACAGGCAGAAAACTTTAAGCTTTTATCATTAGTTGTTTCAATTGCGATCCAATTCAACTGATAACGTTTGGTGAACAAACACGTAGCCCCTGGTAACCGTCACTTGGTTCGCTAAATACATACAAAATAATCTACAAGAAAAGGTAAGTTACAGACTAAATAGGTTTCACTGTTGGGCACAGGTGTCCTCATTTCTGAGAGGTCACTGAGCAATTAGTCCACTGCGTTGCTTCAGTTTGTGTTGGCCGAATTCAAAATTTACGACAAACGCCCACGCCTAATCTATTTACCATCAGAAAGTATATACGATAGTGTGAAATCTAAATGAGATCTCACTAAGCACTTAGTTCACGTCGCCTAAGCTTTCTATCCGTGACGAGAAAATGAAAAATAATATCAAGAAATTTGAGTACTTTTTATTTAATTGCAGCTGCTAGGCCATACAAACTTATATTTATCTGAACCCTCACGATACGCCCAAGCTTCGCACGGGTGATTTTTTGATCTCAACAACAGCGCCACCTAACGGGTCCAATTGTGAATCTAAACCATCCAGCGAACCCGAGCGAGCGAGCGAAAGCACACAAAAAACTTCCATCAAAAAGGTTTGAGCCGTTTTCGAGTTTTAGCAAGACTAACGGACAGCTATTGATTTTTATATACAGAGATTACATCATTACCAAAATACTACAGAAGTGCCATTAGCACTAGGTAAACTGGGCGGGCGTGCCAGGCCAAGTTTACCAAAACAATGTACCAAAAAAACAAAAATTTTGGCAATTCACCTCTGCAATAGATGGCGATAAGCACACACTGATAATGCAAAAAAACTTACTTCCAAGTTCGACAGGTTTATATTGCTATTATACGAATATAAAAGTTCAGTGTGCCTCTAACCATTCAGCGATCACCGAATGGTTAGAGGCACACTGAACCTAAATGTTAAGTTGGAGAGGTCTCGTCTAATGAAGTCAACGCTCCGTCCCCCTCATGCTCTAATCCAGAATCCCGAAACATTTCAGCTCGAGTTACAAAACCGCTTTCAGTGCCTAGAGGATTGCAATGCAGTGGACGATATGAATGACAAGCTCGTGGAAACTGTCCATGCGGTTGGAGCTAAGTTCTGCAAGACCCGCCGCAGAAGAACACAAAAACTCTCCGATCACACTCTTAATCTCATGGCTGTTAGACGGGAGATGAGGCTGCAATCGTCAACAGATCTGACAGCATACAGGCAACTGAACAGACAGATCTCCAAATGCATGCGGCGAGACTTACGCAACTTTAATACTGCTCGTATTAAAGAAGCGATCGAGCGGAACTAGGGCTCCAAAGTCTTTGCCAGAGTCGGAAGAGCCAACTGTCAAGGCTGAAGACTGAGTGTGGCAGCATCGTTTCCGGGACACCTGAGATTCTGAGTGAGATTGAGAGGTTCTATGGGCAGCTGTACACATCATCGTTGGAGCCACACGCAAGTGTGAGTAACGATCCAAGAGCAAGTCTTATCCGACACTATTCCGATGATATCCCGGACGTCAGTCTGAGCGAGATTAGAATGGCTCTCCACCACCTTAAAAACGGCAAGGCCCCGGGCGAGGATGGAATTACAGTGGAGCTTCTGAAAGCGGGTGGAACACCGGTACTTGAAGTCCTTCAGAAGCTCTTCAATTCCGTCCTCCATGGTGGCACTACTCCGGAGGCGTGGAGCAGAAGCGCGGTGGTCTTGTTCTTTAAGAAAGGCGACAACGCTCTCTTGAAGAACTACAGACCGATTTCCCTTCTGAGCCGCGTCTACGTGCTGTTTTCGAGAGTCATTACGAATCGTCTCGCACGCAGACTCGACGACTTCCAGCCTCCCGAACAAGCCGGTTTCTTCTGCGGCAGATTGTACAGAAGACCGAAGAGTACAATCTGCCACTTTGCCTGACATATGTGGACTATGAGAAAGTCTTTGATTCCGTCGAAATTTGGGCGGTGCTACAGTCCCTTCAGCGGTGCCAAGTTGACTGTCGGTATATCGAAGTGCTGAAGTGCTTGTACAGTAGGGCTACGATGGCTATCAGAGTACAGAACCAGAGTTCGAAACCTATTCAACTGCAGAGAGGTGTAAGACAGGGTGATGTTATATCCCCGAAACTCTTCACCGCTGCGTTGGAAGACGTTTTCAAGCTACTGGACTGGAAAGGATACGGTATTAACATCAATGGCGAGTACATCACTCACCTTCGATTTGCCGACGATATAGTCCTTATGGCAGAATCGCTGGAGGACCTTAGCACTATGCTCAATGACCTCAATGGTGTCTCCCAACGGATAGGTCTTAAGATGAACATGGACAAAACAAAGATTATGTTCAATGTCCATGTCACACCTATGCCGGTAGTTGTGGGGAGCACTGTGCTCGAAGTTGTTGACGAGTACGTTTACCAAGGACAAATAGTCCGACTAGGTAAGTCCAACTTCGACCGAGAGTCAATCGACGGATTCAACTCAGCTGGGCAGCGTTCGGGAAATTACGACACATCTTCTCGTCAGGTATACCTCAATCTCTGAAAACTAAAGTGTACAACCAGTGCGTATTGCCTGTGATGACTTACGGATCAGAGACGTGGTCCTTCACTGCTGGCCGTTTGAGGACGCTCAAGGTCGCTCAGCGAGCTATGGAGAGGGCTATGCTCGGAGTTTCACTGCGTGATAGACTCAGAAATGAGGATATCCGCAGTAAAACCAGAGTGACCGACATAGCCCAACGGATTAGTAAGCTGAAGTGGCAATGGGCCGGCCATATAGCTCGAATAACCGATAACCGATGGGGAAGAAAGGTTCTCGAGTGGCAGCCTCGTATCGGTAGGCGTAGTGTAGGGCGACCCCCCACTAGATGGAGTGACGACCTGGTAAGACATGCAGGAAATCGATGGATGCAGGTGGCTCAGGACCGTGCTTTGTGGCATTACTTGGGGGAGGCCTATGTTCAGCAGTGGACTTGTGAAGGGCTGTAATGATGATGAATGATGATGAATATAAATTGTAATGACATCGGCGTGAACACACAATACGGTTATGTTTATCCAATTATAGACGAAATACGATCAGTAAAACATGAACACTTCACATTCCTTGGGTAGAGAGGATTGGGTAGAGAGTTAGAAGGAATATAAATGTGGTGTTAATGTTAGAATGATGATATAATATGAGTGACATCATCTCTCAAGATGAATACCTTCTAAGGGGTTGTTGACGCCCGGCGGCGCGTCCCCGGCGGCGGGCACGGTGACGGGCTGGCGCGGCATGCCGAACAGCTCCTCGCGCCGCGCGTTGGGCTGCAGCAGCTGCGGCTGGTCGGCCAGCGGCAGCGCGTCTTGCATCGTCACTGCACGCACACATTATTTATATTCATTACATACTACTACGTGCTACAACTGTTTTTCTTATGTCTCAAGTAAGGAAACTGAATTCTATTTACAGTGTCAAAACTAATTCCAATAAATTGTATGATGATTGATGATATTGAATAAAATTTTATAAGACTTGCATTAAATAAATATACCATTCCTATCTCAGGCTGTATATAATTTTGTGTTTAAGAGGAGAATGTAACTCCTCATATGCTTAAACACATTCTCTTTTAAAAACAAATTATGAATAACGGTCTTTCAGCGGTATAATCCATAAACACATTTTCAAATATTAGGTATCGTAAAAGGAGAGTAAGAAAATTCGAAATAGCAGAGCAAACAATTTTTAAAACTAGCAAGTAAAAATATTCAAATAGTACAGAATAATAGAGTTGCGCGAGTTGTGCGTTTTTATTTATTTATCGTTTATTGCAAACACCTTCACCTAGGGTTTAGAAAGAGCTGACTCAGCTTTATGGCATTCTCTAGCTTTCAACTCTGTAAGGTTGATGAAAATGACCACAAATTATATTAATATTATTAGGGGTAATATAAATGACAGGTTCGACTATTAAGGCTAATCCTGCCGACAAAGGGAGAGGATACTATTACGGACTGATTATGAAGAGATATAATTGTACTGACTGTTGAAAGGATCAGGTGGCGGGCACCCCAAGCAGAGCGTGGAGTCGGAACGCTGGAAGAAGGAGTGCGTACGGCCGCGAGCCCCCTCGCCTTCGCCGTCAGACTCAGTCGTCGCACCGCCACCGACCACCATTTCCTCATCGCCTTCCTCATTCTCATTTTCATCCTGAAAATAAATTATGCGTCGATGATTATCAGTTTGTTCATATCAATTGATATAACTTTAAAATTACTAAAGCTGTATAAAATTTGCTTATTTATAAGAAACGTATTCATCATTATCATCATCATCATTACAGCTCATAAAAGCCCACTACCTAAAAACGGGCCCCTCCCTTATAGATTGTCTGATAGGGGGTTATTTGCCATGGTACCCGCACTTGGCAGGCAGGGTGGCAACTTTAGTTATTAAATATTTTAATTTAGTATCAGGAAGATAGTGCTAAGCATTCCCTATTTCAATTTCCCTCTGTCGTTTCTAACGACAATCCACGGGTTGATATGGAGTAGTAGATTCTCTTAAGCAGTAACTATATGGCGAACTAATAAAAAAAATTAACCTATCCCATAGTAAAAGCTAGTGATTTGCAGTAATCGTCATACTCGGCAGGCTGGGTGGCGATGGCAATTCTACGCATCTTTCACTTTTATGGATGTTTCTCGTGGGTTATTAAAGTATTAATATACGGGATCGATCTTATCCTCTTTATATATTGTGTAGGTGACAAGATTTTCAGGGTAAGTCACCTTTAACGGTGCGCCCAGGTTCGTTAATGTAAATATGAGGTTAATAAATAAAAATATTAAAATGAAGCAATAGCTTTTTAAATTACTCAAAAACGTTGCGTAAGATACAACAGGTTATTGGTATAGCAATGTGGTTGTCACCATAGGAGTTAATACGGCAATATGTAAATACAGTACAACCTGAGTATAACAAACCTCAGTATAATGATTTCAATCAGTTAATATAAAGACGGTAACTACGGTACGGTTAAATTTCGTAAAAACCTCTTTAAAACGATTTTTCAATTGTAAAACATAAATTTGGAAAATCCAAAAGTGCACACCTCGAACGCTCATGTAATGTTTTGAATAATCAATTTACTTTTATTAATTACAAAAACACGTTTGTATTTCCTTTAAAGTTACAAAAAATTGTTTCTGTTTTATTAACACGATTTTTTTTTGACTGCTTGATACTGGCGATTCGTATTTTATTACTAAAAAAAATTGTCAATTTAGAATAGTGAAATTCAAAAGGCTTCCTAAGGATTAAAATCAAAACTTAATATAAAAATCAAAGTGATAAGTTCAGTTTTTCGAAAGATCTGACGTCCAAGTGAAATTATTTTCAATTAAGTTGGTGGAAATGATTTGAGTGGATCGCGACCCTTTTTGATTTTGTGATAATAGAGCACTATATCTACGCTTCGCATTCGATGTTTGCAATAGAAAGTATAATAAATATACTTTCTTAACCTCTGTATATAGTATTCCACTAAAGCTAAACCATCTAACAAACAAACATTCATGCTCAACAGGTTCAAACACGTTCAATTTATTGTTAAATAGTTTCGGATATGAACTCTCATAACAGGTTCATATTTAGTATTGTAAGGCCAAGCCATGTAGTGGCAGGCGGTGTTAAAACATCCACTACCCTATATCATCCAGCGGGTGTCATAAGAGGCATAGACATAAAGACATAAACACTCACGCCTGTCACCCAGAGGGGTAGGCAGAGACTACAGACTTCCATTTGGCACGATCCTGATACACCTCTCTTGCCTCCTTCACATCCATACACCTACGCATACATGCTTGTCGGTTAAGGGTACTCCTAATTTGGCCCGTTTTCAATAAATCGCCAATTTGGACGATAAATTTTCTAGGGACGTCCTAGGCGAAAATTTATCGACCATTTATTATCAAAAATATTATATTATATTTCATTTATTAATTTATCGACCATTTTTTTTAATTTATCGACCATTTATTTTTCGTCCCGTCATAAGAGGCGACAGACGGAAACAAATAAGATGGGCGGCAGCATCTTCCTAATAACGACTAAAAATAAAAAAACTGCGCTTGCCAACCTGCTTGCCAAGCGCGGCAACTACTGCAAATATCCACCCTATGAGGCAATTATCAATTGGGGAGGCATATGTTCAGCAGTGGACTTTAATGGTAACGGTTGTAAGGCATTCATTACAATGTTTTACTTTTTTAAGTTTGCTTACCTTGCTAAAACGAATCTTAGACTAATCTAACCTCTATATAACAAACTTTATTGTAATAAATTACTTGGAATAACAAATATTTTCTAATACTCTTCAGACCTATATGTCTGGATTTTAACCCCAATATTCACCTGGTTTCTAAATTCAAGAAACTATTTGTTTTCTGATCTGTGTCTGTCTGTGTGTCTACAGTAACTACTCACAAACAATGACTTGTTCAATTGAGGCAAATTTTTCTTTAAATAATTTTAATGTCTTTTAATTATCGAAGGTACTAAAATAAATGGGCATTAAGGGGATATAGTAACTCAGCTCAAATTCTAATTTCGCCCCCACTTCCCCGCGCGTCGTATGCTATGTACCGACATGTTTGTAATCACTGACTGCCTTATTAATAAAAATGCTTATTCCAAGCTTAATTCGAAGTTAAACTTGGACTAGCTAATCTCAGAGTATTTACTTCGTTACGACACACACACGTTCGTTAGACTATTTACTTCGTTATGACAATGTTATTAATAAGCATGGAGTAACCTCGGACTAACTATACATTCCTTATGCCGGGATTAACGGTTGCGCTATGGCAACCCACTTATTTTAAAAGTAAAAAGAGTGAGTCAGTGAATGATTAGTGAATGAACTCAATGCTTGATGATGACATTAATGACAGTGACAGGCAACACTTTGAGTTTGACAAGAAATAAGTATTACATATTGTTCCTTGTTTCTCGTGTTGTTTTCGGACTCGGTGGAAAAACTAAGTTCTAAATATAATCATTTTTAATATTATTTGTAACGAAATTTTAGAATTAAGAAAAGAGCGTGAAGGGCAAAATTGATTAAATAACCATTGTTGTTTTGTTTTTTGATGATAAATAAAACTTTTTGTACATGTAATTATTGTATATTTATTTAAAAAATCGTTAGTAAATGCTGCCCGAACAGATGCAGCTTTCCTCTAACGGGGTTATTTACTAATTGTGTGACTGATATATTTTCATCATCTTATACTACATTCCTCAAGCAGATCTTGCTTTTTGTATGCTCTTATTTAGTATTTAGTCCTCGCAGTAAACACCGAAACCTTTGCTTCCCTACAAAGCATTGTTCTACAGTGTAACAGGGCCACCAGATGTGCGACCGGTTGTACATCCTTCCTTTTGTTTATTAGGACGCAGGATAGGAGCGAATAAATAAGGAGTACAAGCATAACCAGGATCTCCGAGAAGTCTGCCTTTAAATTCTGACTGCTCAAAAGTTTGTTTTAATGCGACTTTCTTAAATATTCTTGAGTCATGTGTGCTGCCTTGCAAATGTGCCACTGTATCCACGAATTCTAAATTTGCATTTGAAACAACTTGGAACAAAGCACCCATAACTTCTTTAATATGAAATAATAGATTGAGGTGATTGTGTTGAATCTAAGAAAATAACTTAAGTACCTATACGGCAAAGATGGGCTAGCTAGGTGCTATAAAACTTACTTGTACATTTATTGAACTGTATCCTTTCCTGTTTATGTAGTATTGTTCGATGTTTCCAGCGACTTTCGGGATTAGAATATATAGCAATCAATAGACCCAATCACTTGTCTAAATCCATATAATGAATAAAAACCTGCAATCACTTTGTTCTGATCCACATCACTTCTTGGCATTTTAATCCAATATGCTGTTTTTGTTACTAGAGCTTACAACCTTATGAATTTAACACGGGTACCAACGCGTGTAAACTTAAAGTTTACAAGGCAGAGCTATGCTTACTCAGTCGTTAAACCACAGAATAAATAATAGTACTATGTACAGAAGTTGCACTCCTTTGATGTCGACTGCTTACCGACGTTTAATAGTCTACATTATTATTATTAATCTGATAAATCGCACACGCAAGCTAAATAAAACTTTATCGCTGCGCGCTAGTGTCCATATTACTTTGCATCTTTTTTTGTCACGGCAGACTCTCCGTGGTTATTAAGGGATGTCAATAGAAAGTAAAAAAAATACATTGCGAAATGTTAATTATGTTACTTAGGTGAAGTACTAACTAATATTCTAATTGATTATGATTGAACCATACTTTCGCCCACATGTGAGTTCTGCGATGCCTAACGCATGCAAATTGCAAGGTTATTCGTCGGGAATCGTAACGCTTGGGAGAAATAGGTAGATAGTGTAAACAACAAATAAACCTGAAATACGATTTCTAACAGAAATGTGATCTATTCTATTTAGTTAAGACGGAAGGAGACTTATGGGATTTGTAGTTATAAAGATCTTGTTAGTATACAAAGTTTTAATTTCAGTATTTTGTGTTATTATAACTCAAAATATTTTAATTACAAAAGACAAGTATAGGTATGTAAGTAAATACTTGGAAAGTGAAGTAAATTTTAACTAATTGTTGTAATGAAGTACTTAGGTATTTCTTCTGTAGACCAAATTATTACTTAATTCTTTTTTGCTGTGAGTACCTATCTAACAAATAAATTAAATAAATGTTTTAACCTTTTATAACTTCCTTCTAAAATTCTTCGGTAACTTAAAGAATGATATGAAGCCTTTTGTTGGTCATTTCATTTAGTATCCATTTAAGCAACAGTTATAGTAGGAACGACGTTTTGCTATTATAATTTATCAAATAGGTAATATAAATAATACCTATATAATTTTTAAAATACATTAAAACTTTTACAACTATTTTTACCTACAATTAAATATACTAAATACTAAACAAAAGCTATTTCAACAACTATTTACATAAAACTATTTACGTAAACAGCGGCAAAAAACTTTAATATTCGATCGCCACCAACGCGCCAGCCCTGACTGCGTTATTTCGCCCGGGCGCGTCGCGATTTTAGGTAATTATTTCACGCAGGTAGCAAGAGTGATAGAGGCCTGGTTAAACTAGGTACCGCCAAAGATTAACTTTTATTGCGAGAGTAGATTCGGATTAATTTACTCCCTCCTTACTCTATGTTTATTAATACTGAAATTAGATATTTTAAGCTTTAAACTAGAAGTAAAGTTAATCTTTCTCAAGTCTGTGTTTATTAATAGGGCTGTTTTACTGTAAGTAGTCTGTTTCTTTACACCAACCCAGTCGCTTCTTATTTTTATTACGGTTATTTCCCATTTTAATTTTACGTCGTCCTGTTGCATAATATATATCCTGATCGTAAATGACACAACTTCTCCCTTCAAAAGCCGAAGCGAAACTGACCGGACGGCAGGAAACAAGCTTCAAGACGCCGATAATTTAGGTAATTTCTTTTTACAGTGAAAATAATGGTAATTTAAAAAAAAAAACATAAGCCCTGCTTTATAGTCAGTTCATTTTTTTATGAATAGCAGCGGTTTATTTTCAGTTTGGAGGTAACTTTGGATTTTTTTCTATTAAGAAAATTATACGGAACCGTGTTTTCGTCTAACATAGTACTTAACATTAATCCTCAACTTTACCATATATTTATTTCAAAATTAACGCTGCAATATTTTCGGCATAACGGAGGATCTTGCTAAGCCATTTGAGATAGTATTTTTAATATTTACCCTTAAACAAAGTACACTGTATCGGAAGTGTCACTGACCGGTGTCCACAGATGGTGGTGGTGGTGCGGCTGCGGCTGCGCGGCGCGCATGTAGTAGACGAGCGCATCGAGCACATAGGCCACGTGCTTGAGCGCCGCCACGTCCAGCACCGGCAACTGCTCGGCGTGCTCGGCGCTGTGCGCGCGCAGCAGCGACAGGCAGTACGCCAGGAACTCACGCCGGGCGCTACCCGCCTCCACACCTGCGACCATCATATTATGCGTAAGTGTCACTACACTTACAATAGCTAACTGGTAAGTTAACTAACAATTCAAGCGGTTAATGCGATAAATCAAAGGATACAGTCAAATTAATTTCAGTGACTAATTGTGTAACTCATAGACTTTTTATAAAATTTTTGTAAAAGATCTATGAGATACACAATTAGTCACTGAAACGTAGTTTCAGGAGACATAAATAAGATTTATTATGTACCTTGTTCACGATCCCTGGTGCGTGGTCCTTCAGAAAAACCAATTATGCGAGTGGCAGGCGATGTAAACGAAGTTGTGCGACGAGCTGTCGTCGTATTTGACCGATTGTTGTCCGCGTTTGAGTTTCCAGTGTTGTTTGAAGTGAGGGATGCGCCGAATCTATGTGGAAAATATAAAAAAATATTTCTTTATTTTAAAACGTGCTCGCTTTTTATTACAAAAAGTAGTTTGTTATTAGTCTCAAGTTTAAATTAGAGTCTGTTTCAAGAAAGAAGTCCCATGGAAAATATGCGAACTGAAAGCAAAGGTCAAATTTCGTGAAGACTTTGGGGTCGCGGATTAGGGACTTATTTTTTTTTTTTTTTTTTTTTTGCGGGTGTTTTTTTTTTACCTCTAAGCTATCAAGCGGCCGAATTCGGTCGCGGCGATGATCCGTCAAATACCAAGTGACCGAATTCGGCCGCACCCACCCACAGCACTTTAACCCATAAAAACTAATGGTTGATACTACTTTTCTATGAAGAAATTTGGCATTATAGGCTCAATATGAAATTTTATATCCTCTACTGGAATAAAAAGTCAATTACTCTATGGTTATTTATTTATAATCTACGTTCACTACGTACGCCATTTTCGTATGGATGTTATCGTGTTTTGTTGTGTTGATTTTTGGATTTTTCTAGTGTTTTAGTATAGTGTTTTATTATAAAATTGGTATAAAAGTTTTTGTGTGACTATAATTTATCTTTTTACGTAAATAATTTCGAGTAATATATAGAAATAATAGTGATTTTCACGCTGCCGACATCCGCTTGGTAACCCGTTTTTCGTAATCAAAATACAATAAAGTCTTTTTGTAATGAAGTAAAATCTGACTTTTGTTTAGACCACAGAATAGAGAATTTTGTATAGATTTTATAATGCCAAACTTCTTGATAGAAAAGTAGTCTCTATATAAGTTTTAATGGTTTTAAGTGCTGTGGGTGGTTGCAGTCGCATGCCACCGTTCGGGATTTGACGGACGCTTGCGACTGCATGGGATTTTATGAGGATTGAAGGGTTAAACAGGAGATGGACAGCAGCATTTCCTGATAACAACTAAAAATAATAAAAACCATGAGGCGACCTGTGGCGTAGGTCTATGTTCAGTAGTGGACTTTTAAAAGGTTATGATAAAAATATAGTTGTTTAGTTGTTCATGAGACAATCACTAACAGACGCACCCAAAAATATATACAGATTAAATAATATAAAATGTAAAAAAATTGCAATGCTTAAGCGCACCAAAAACATGTTAATAATTATTGATACTAATTAGATTGTAAATTAATAATTTGGGGTATTTACCTTAATTGCGCTTCTGTAGCATCCATAACAGTAACAAGCCAATCCCATGTGGGTTTCAGTTGACGTTCTAGATAGCATTGTAAGCGCAGTGCCTCACGATATGCCAGTGGCACCATGCGAGGCATCGGCAAGGTGAAACGTTCATACTCCCACAGTAGATCAGCAATTTGACGAATTACAATTCCTTAAAAAAATTATATAAAAATATTTATTAGAAATGTATCAAACTTCTCATAAAATTTTATGAAATTTTACTATTGGCTTATAGGACAGAGACAATATGGAGATAGAACTCAAGTTATAACTTAGGATCTATTTAATGCATTAAAACATCTTGGCTACGTTCTAAGTAAGCCCTCTCTCATACATGTGATTCACATAGAAAAAGTAAAAATTCTAAATATTTTTGTGTTAAGATTATAAATAAAATAAAAAACTCAAGCCTAGGTGCTCACCGAATTTTTATTCAAAAATCTGAAGTTACACTCTACTTGAATTTTACTTTTATATGTCAACTATCCTGCAGGTTTAAATGCTAGCTGGAGATAAATTGGAGTGTACACATTTCTGATTTCACCCGAACCTAACCTACACTTACATTTTTCACTTGTTGCACTAAAATATCACCTGTACAGTTGATATAGCTTTAAGTTATGCAGACGTAACTTATCCAATAGTTTATTACAATTATTATGTTTATTATAATAGTTATGAATAATGTTAATGCTGACTCGACTAACATATATTTCAAAACAAGTGGTAGTCGGTGAAAACTACGGTAGAAATGGCAGCATATATAGTGTTTATTGTGTTGGCTGATAAATAAACACTATTTGCAGCATTATCATGCAGCATATATCGTAGTGTTTATTTATCAGCCAACACAATAATGATATATCATCGAAAATATCGGGAAATATTTTGTGCAACCTGTGATGCTTTTTCATTGACCGACACGACACCAATATATTCATGGAGGTTAGAGAGAAAGAGAACGGACGCTACGTACTAGGCGTGCTGCCGTCGGTAATATAGTATCTGCGAAGTTAGCTGTTTATGAGTACAAGTAAATGAAGTTAATTGAATAATGTACAAATTCTCTTCGCGGCATTAGTGAGAAAATAATCGTGCGCCATAATTTTTTAATTTTTGGCAAAAAGAAACATTAAAAAATGGTGAAAAATATTATAAATTATAATAATAATAATAAATCAATAATTTATATTTGTAATAATTTATAATATTTATAATAACTAAAATTATAAAAAACATAATTTATGATTTACTTTTTAAAAAATTACAATAATAATAACAATAATAATTTCGTTTTCTTTTTTTTCTTTGAATTATATTATACACACGTATATTAAACGTTGATAGACCATTTCAAACTAGCGCACAGCAGCCCGCTTTTATTGAGACAACTTAGCGATCGCAGCGCCTCACTTATTTTTTCACACACTATTTTCTACAGCGATCTTTCTCCTTTTCTCTAACCTCCATGAATATATTGTTGATGACAGGTTATCGTTGACTACATGTCGTACTCGCATGTTTTACTGGTAAAGAGTTCTGGTCTGGTCTATATTAGTTCTTAGGAATCATATCACATACAACGACGCGTCTACATTTTTCACAGCATTCACTTACCATAAGGTGGAATGTATGCCTGTTTATTACTTTTATTCTTTAAAAGAAAAGTCTAATTTCCACTACGTCCGTACCGTGTCGTTAAATGAAAAGGTCTAGAAAGTATTAGTGTCCGTGAGGTAGGTTGGTGCGTTAAAGTAATATTATGTACTACGTACTAGAAGATATGCCGTGACTAGGTTATTTGCAATATGCATTAAAGCCCACGTGTTCGAACTTATGTAGCCTGTGCCACGAAAATGTTCTTTATGTCTCCTTCCACGCACCTTGCACTGCCTTATTCGCGGTATCTGTTCTAGTATATACAGAATAAATTTTACAAATATGTACCAGTACATGGTAATATAGGTGAGTTCAGTCATATTTTACCAGTAAGCATGCAAAAATACAGAATTATAAACTAATCTCCTAAATTATAACAAAAAGAAATAACAACACAGAATCAAACATAATTCAGATTTTTATAATAATAGACTGTGTCTTAATCTCAAAAGAAAAAAAAATTCAGACAAGAATTCTGTTATGCTATGTACGCTTTGATTGTCAAGAAGCTTCGAAGCTTTTTTTAAATATCGATAGCGGCAATTCTTTCCAACTTTTAATTATTTTATCATATATGACTGGAGCAAAAATTATATAACCACTTGACTGCGCATACAGTGCCCCGACGCTCGAAAACTATTAGTATTTTGTCGCCTATGCATCGGCTATGGTACTATTAACCATTTTAGTATTGTCCAAATGTTAGACCTGTGTGCACGCTAAATTAATGCAATTTTTTATAACTTTTATGCAATTATAATGCATCAAAATGCGCGTTGAAGTGGTGTGGAAAACATTCCAGGACAGATGTCTAAGAAGAATGAAGTAACTTTTCATTGCTAAGTAAAACATACGAAAATTATTGTTGATTAATTCAGATTATGAGCAATTGTAGGGGTCTATCTAAAACGGTCGCCGGTTAAATAACGACATGGTTGAGTCGCGCGTTGATGTCTTTTGGAAAAGTCTCGTTCTATTATTAGACAATTCCAATGCTTCTATCCCTTTCTTTCCCTTTGTATGTTTATCGTAAACATTAGGACTTACTGTTACCTTTAATAGCTGAAAGTCGATATCGAAAATAATAAAATTAAAACGAATAAAAAGATTATTCAATTCACACACTGTGAAAAAATACTTATCTACTTTTAACCGTCTTCAGAAAAAAGAGGAGGTTCTCAGTTTGTCGGTATTTTTTCTTAGTTAAAGTTTATAGTTACCTAGTTAAATTAGTTAGATTGGTGTACCAAATCAGAATGGCTTACAATTTCAAAAGGACACTAAAAACAATTTATTGTACGGATCCACTACAGTAATATATATTTGTCGTCGTTGTAAAATTTTTAATAAGAGGGCAATCAGTGAGAGTGGTGGAGTGGTCTTCGAAATATAGTACCAATTATTTTATGAGAACGGTTTTTAAAATCTCTGATTAGGTATTATTGATTCCCGTATATTGATTTTCATCAATTTGAAATAGAATCAATAATATATGAAATAAATCATTTAATTGAATTAGCAAGATGCATAATTTACAAATATGTAGACGCTTGTTTAAATTTTTACAAAGAACAATCACGACCCTTAAACTTTAATTCGAAATAAATATAACAAATTAATTCATTTTAAAAATCAATAATAATATAATAAATAAATGTTTTCGTTGTAACTGATTGATTTTGATTAAATATTATTTCTATGATTTTAATTGAGTATTTTTCATAATGATAAAAATTTTATCGATAACGAATATTTTCCTTTATTAAGAAGAGCAACCCTAAAGATAGCCATAACAACGCAACTTGACCATTTGCAGCCACGCGTTCTTCCTCGTCCCCCGGCCCGCAGTAGTGAGTCGTATGCTTAGAAGAAATCTGCCTATACGCTCTCTAGTGGTTATATTCTCTATGGACTGGAGCCATGCTGTAGACACTTTTGCTGATATTAGTACTGTCCTAGCAAATTTGACACAAAAGGGTACTGTCGCATCTAATTATGTAAAACTACACGGGCAAGACGTTTTGGATGCAAGTTAACAAACACAGCTACTTCTAGTATGCATAAACAAGGTAGTAGTAGGTAGTATATATTACTTTAATGAGTCATTGACGAAACATCATTATCGGGTATCGGCCAATGAAAAAACACTTAATGACCGCTCAACCCATAGCGACGCCCGCCGCTGCAACCCTACGTCCCTGTTGAACAGCTCACGTAACAATGTTCGTCACAGTCATAGCACAATATATCATCATGTGGGTTACCGAAGGCGCGTGCGAGGAAGGCGGCGGTGGTGGAGGTGGAGTGCGGGTCGTGCGCGCCGGCAGCGGCCGCGGCGGCCGAGCGGCGCAGCGACGCCGGGTCGATGAACACCAGCGACGAGCCGCCCGTCAGCCGCACGCCGCCTGTGCTGCTCGTGGTGCCGCGCGCCGTCTCACGCGAACTGTGTACATGCACAAGCACAGGTAGCGTCACGGCGTTAGAGCCACGCTCATAGACCAACGTAATAACAGAATAGCAGCAAATAAGGGTATCCATCACTTTTTTGCCTCCAGGACGGCACTCCACTTTAAAGCGAGGGTAAATATTTGACAGATTATATGGCGAAGAATTTAATTTGTTAGGAAAATGTAAGGATTAATGTTTCTTTGCGTAATATTAGTTGTATTTTATATTAATTAGATAAGAAATGAAAAACCAAACAATAGATATTCTTAAAAGTAGGAAAATAAAAAAGAGAGTGTTTGCTTACCAATACTGTACTATTTACTACTATTGGTATTTATTTGATATTTTTATTTCCATAAACCATTTTTGCGGTTTTCCTAGAGATCCGGACTTAAAAAATACATAGCTGACATACACACTCGATCGATTAATGATTACGGATGGGTTGAATTGTTAAGGCCTAGTAAGCTTTTAAAAATGTTATTATTCCATAATTTTGAATAAATAAAATTTATTCAAAATTTATTATTTTATTTTATTATATTCCGTAAATATTGTCTTATTTATTAAAGGAAGTAAGTACCTTTTTAATAAGCCAACATTCATTTTTATTTAGTTTTATATTCATAGCAATCTATTGCAATTTGTGTATGTTAACTAACTTAGATAAACAGTCCAACACGTTTCAAAGATAATAAATAATACAGAAATACTAATTTAAAGAACGTTTCGTTTTTACGTTTTCGTCCACATGAAACTCAGTCATACCACGTTATCTCTTTGAGGATAAAAGGTAACCTAGCCTTTTTAATCGTTCCAGTTATCTGAATACCAAATCCCATCAAAATCGGTGAATGGCTTAGCATTTCTTATACAAAGTTCTATACCCATTTCACAGTTTTTATCCAAATTGTCAGTTTAACGGCTAATAACGACTGAACTAGAGTAGGCTTTACAGCCTACTTAGTTGTGAGAGCACTTTTTTGGCTTAATCAGGCATTAAACCATCTTAACTTTATCAAAATAGATTATCAGCGGTTTAGCCATAATCGCATTATAATAGTAAAGTATGGATTTCTCATACACATGATTGTGAACAATTCTATTTATCTATCTTTAATACATTTTGGCAGCAAATTACGTTTTTTTATTTTTTTTTATTTTGTCTTATTTCTTGAAGTAAAATTTTTGATTTTTTAATCAAAAAATTTACAAAGAATCGTGTATTCGGAAAATACAAAACATTTTTGTCATAGCACTTGTACAAAGTGAATACTTTAGTATTTACCTTTTAGTATAAAATTGTACAAAATTTTACGGGTGCTTACCAGTTACCCGTAAATCACTAAACAAGACTACATCCCTAACAGTGATACCATCATATCTACAGTTTGCTTACATGCACAGACTAATATAACATCTTAAACGTGTTCAACTACTTTTTATTTACAATAAGAAAAAAATGATACTAATTGCGATTGTATTTACGATTAGTTTGCACACTATTTACAAATAAATATGTATTAAAATTTAAAAAATTAATTTTTTAATGACGTAATAAAATGCTATACAACATTGATTTAAAAAATAATCGTGCTCCGTATTTTCTTAATTTTTGACAAAAAGAAACAAAAAAAAAATGGTGAAATATTGTATTGTGTGCAAGTGGTTTAGCATCTGAACGGAAAAATAGACTGAAAAACAATTTGCGTCAATCATCGTTATTTAAAGTACCAATCTTCATACGTTATCGATTCATAGCTGCACATTGAAATATTGAATATGTAAAATCATTATTTGCTTAATTAATCATGGTTTCTTTTACTAAATTAATCTTTATTGAATTTTTAAGACATGTTGAAATTAAGGTTAATTACAAGATATTTATAAAAAATATAATTTATTTATTAATTAATAATAATAATTTCGTTTTTTTTCTTTGAATGATATTATATACACGTATATTAAACGTTGACAACTTAGCGATCGCAGCGCCTCACTTATTTTGTTAATGTTTCTGGGACAGGCACTATTTTCTACAGCAGTCCTTCTCCTTCTTTCTAACTTTCATGTACAATATAATCGACATAGTCGGTGTAAACTATTTAGAAGACACCTATCGCTTCGTTTTTGCCGAAAGTTGAAAAAATTCGGATTTTTTTTTAAATACATTAAAATTATGTTGTTTGCAAGTTTATTTATAGACATATTTTTCACATACTGATGATATGAATTGTCATATTTTTTTTACAATGCCTTTTGTCCTAGTTGTAGCAACTCTACACAAGATAAATTTGTTTCTTTGCTTATAAAATTTTCGATCGTCCCTGCAACAGCAGATCGCGCTACTAATTTCCTTTTGGGTATAAAGAACATTTTAATGGTGCGTTTTATTTCAACGCACATTCCGCCTAGTACTTACACAGTAATATATAAGTCTATGTTATCTATACAAATAATTAAAATTGCAGTGTCTGTTTGTATTGACAGAATAACATTTTTTTACTAAATGCATATGAAAGTGTATACGGTACTTATAACCAAAAAACATTTTTTTTTTAATTTTAGTCTGTCGGTCTGTCTGTTTGTTCCAGCTAATCTTCGAAATGGCAGGATCGATTTGACGGGACTTTCACTGGCAGATGGCTGATGTTATAAGGAGTGACTAAGGCTACTTTTATTTCAGAAATAGATTTAGGTTGCCGCGCAAAAAAAAAACATAATACCCATAATATTCAATCATAATAAATTGCAGGCGGATAGAACAGCTAGTACAAATACAAGTGAGGTGTGTATCTCACTAACCGTATGGCCCACTGCATGGAGTGCGGCGCGAGGTTGGGGCGCGCGGGCGGCGCGGCGCGCCTCTCGAGGGGCTCGCCGTCGTGCAGCGGCGCCTCCGCCTCGCCGTCCTGCTCGTCCGTCTCGCCCGCCTCCGAGTCCTCGTCCTCCGGCTGCGTCGAGTCGCCGCTCTCGTCCTCTGGATACATTAGCAGCGATGCTATACCTGTCGCGGTCGCGCCCTGCATTACTTTTAACATTTCTAACGGCTACTCATCGAGCGGATACCGACCGCTTCCATGTTGGATCCGCGTCGCTTCACGATGTCGCATCAGCCCCACCATGAATCGCGTTACTTCCACTTACTCCTTTTTTATTTAGGTACTAATAATACCCATTTCAAAAAATTATATCAAAAAAAATAAAAAAAAATAGGAAATCAATGAAATAAAATGAAATAGAAATTTCACAGCACAAATAAAAACAAAGAAGAAAACAAACAAACGGGACACATTGTGAAAGTGTACACCCCGTAAGCCACTATATTAATATAGTACAATTTACATACCGGCATCAGAACCTTGTGTAGCACCAGTCTGTACACTACGTTGCGCAGATTCGGCATTGTCCTGGTCATCAGAGTCACTTTCGGTCTCCACTTCAGCCAGTAAATCTAGTTCACTTTCACTTTCACCACCCTCCGCACGTTCTGTTCCATTTTCAACCACCACATGTTGTTCTTGTCCTCTAAAAAATAAGATCCACAATTATAATATTGTTGATAGTGTTAATAAAAAATATATAAAACAAAATCCAAATTAGATCCCAACGCTAAAATTAATGATTGCAATATTCATAAATTTTCAGACATGATAAAATATAAAGACCAACCAATAAATCAATGACACTAAAGGTTGTTGCATTTGTGACAAGCCCAGCCTAGGCAAATCAAGTCTAATGGGATATATATGCAGACAGTTTTTGAAAAATTGTATCATAGATATAGCATAGCAAAAATTAATACGCCACAAATGCTCTGATGTGACGCAGACGTGACATGCACAGAACGGAAACAATATCGTAAGCTCTACTTAGCGAGTATTACGTAGCGTCAGTTCTTCTTGAAATCTATGTATAAAGAATATAAAGAAAGATAATAGAATAATAGATAATAGAATAAGAGAATATATATATATATATATATATATATATATATATATATATATATATTTTTTTTTTTGTATGTGGTGTTAGTAAGAGAAAGAATGAAAGGAAAAATAATACGTTATGGTGGGATGATGAGATACGTATGGAAGTTGAAGCAAAGAAGAGAGCTTGGCTAGATTTACTAGCAACAAAGGCTGCTAATTTTAGTGCTATGAATGGTGATATTGAAAGAAAAAAGGCAGTCTTTAGACATCTTAATAAGAGAGTAAAAGAAGTAGTTGAAAGAAAAAAGCAAGAAAGAACGGATAAGAATGATAGAAGAATATCGGATAACTTCCAGGCAAATATTAAAATGTTCTGGAAACTTGTAAGAACTGCCAGGGGACATTCAAAACAGCCTATGATGAATGCTATAAGAGAGGAGAATGGCTATATTCTGAATGATGAAGTTTTGAGTTTAAAGAGATGGAAGGAATATTTTGAAAGTGTGTTTATGAGTGAGGAGACAACGTGTGTACTAAGTGAAGTAGAAACACCGAAAGAAGAGGAAAGAGGTAGCGAGATAAGTATAGATGAAATAATGAAAGCAATGAAAAGCATGAAAGCAGGTAAGGCTGCTGGATATGATAGAGTTTCACTCGAAATGCTAAGGGCTGGAGAGGAACTGGTGGCAGGCCTGCTGCACACCTTGTTTAATTTATGCTGGGAACTGAAGCGGGTACCGGTAGACTGGTGCAAAGCCGTGATAGTCCCAGTATATAAAGGAAGAGGGTCGCAGCAGGACTGTAAAAACTACCGTGGCATCAGCCTTCTTAGCATTGTGGGAAAACTGTATGCTAATGTACTGATTGTAAGGGTCATGAAAGAAACTGATGGAAATTTTGGATGTGCAAGCGGGATTTAGAAAGGGAATGGGATGTACAGATCAAGTCTTTTTCCATGCGCATGATCGCGGATAAGTTTCTGGCCAAAAACCAAAAGGTTTTTTGTGCATTCATGGACTTGGAAAAGGCCTATGACAGAGTGGATAGGGATTTGCTATGGCAAACACTGAACTCATTTGGGTTGAGCGCTGGCTTGATACAGGCATTGGAGTCTCTTTATAGGGACTCTAGTGCTTGTGTTAGAATCAACGGGGTCTACTCGGACTGGTTTGACATCCATAAAGGTGTCAGACAGGGCTGTGTGGCTTCCCCGTGGCTGTTCAACCTATTTATGGACAGTTGTTTGCAAAATTTGAAAGTTGAAGAATGCGGATTAAGAATGGGTGAGTTAACCGTCAAATGCCTTTTGTACGCCGATGATCAAGTTATTCTTGCGTCGTCGGCGGCCGAGTTGCAAATGATGGTTACATTAATGAACGGATCATTAAAAGAAAGGGGTATGAAAGTGAACGCAAGTGAGAAGGTTATGGTTTTTGAAAGAGAGAAAGTAAAACGACTTGTGAAATAAGAATAGAAGGGGAGTTGATCGAGCAAGTAGATGAGTTTGTATATTTGGGCTGCGTATTTAGCAGGGATGGGAGATATGATAAGGATATAGAACGACGAGTGAATGCGGGAAATAGAGTAAATGGGGCCTTGCACTCTATTGTGAAGAGTCAAAATGTGTCGAAAAAGGCACGTATGGCAATTCACAATGCTGTGTTGGTCCCTACTTTAACTTATGGTAGTGAAAGTTGGGTGTGGCAGAAGAAGCACGAGAGTAGAATAAACGCAGTAGAAATGCGGTCGTTAAGGAGTATGTTAGGGCTGAATCTGAATGACAGGGTAAGAAATTGTGTAATAAGAGAAGAGTGTGGTTTGCAAGATGATGTTGTGACCAGGATTAAGAAAGGAATGCTTCGGTGGTTTGGTCATGTGGAAAGAATGAATGAGGAAAGAGTGACAAAGAAAATTTATGGTGCAGAAGTGAATGGCAGAGTCGGAAAGGGACGTCCTAGGCGAAAATTTATCGACCAAATTGGCGATTTATTGAAAACGGGCCAAATTAGGAGTACCCTTAACCGACGAGCATGTATGCGTAGGTGTATGGATGTGAAGGAAGCAAGAGAGGTGTGTCAGGATCGTGCCAAATGGAAGTCTGTAGTCTCTGCCTACCCCGCTGGGTGACAGGCGTGAGTGTTTGTGTTATTTTTATGTTATGTTATATATATATATATATATATATATATATATATATATATATATGTGTGTGTGTTTGTGTGTGTGTGTGTGTGTGTCATATACATACCATTCTCCTTTACTTCACAAAGGCTGCAGCTAATTCATCATCATCTATACAGCAGCAATGAATGTCAATTCTCGAAGTACATTGTCCCATGTTGGTCTGGGACTTATAGGTCTAAAGTTTACGTGGGACTTACAACAAAAAAGTATGTACCACCTATATTATTACTATAAAAGGCAATGAACTGTTTATTAGATTGGTGATTGCGTGGACGATGCCCTTTATCACTTCCTTTAAAAATTTCCGACGAAACCCAAATTTACTGGCTCAATGTAACCCGATTAGGACCATGTTTAGGCAAAAACTAAGCGTTTCGACAACGCCGTTATGTATACACTCAAATTAGGGTCGCAATATAAGTTACCTTTCACCCATAGCGTCGTCATGCTGCGCATCGGGAGCGGGGACCGGTGCTGGTAGGCTAGGCTCGTCTGTCTCTGAGGCGTCATCGTCGCCGCCGAGCGCTTCGCCCGCAACATCATCCGCGTACTCTGTGGCCACGGGCGTTGATGATCGGTCGGGAGCCATCGTGGAACTGCCCATAGACGCGCCACCAGTAGTGGCTCCGCGACCTCCACCCGTGGTTGATTCTCTGCTCATAAACAAGTCAAAATTATTAAAGAAATAATCCCTTACATATTTCACTTTAACACTATTATTAATCAGTTTATTGTATTGTTAACAGTTTCAGCAGATTTCTGATCAGCGGGATTAATGTCAAAATTATTCTTCAATTGTCAACGCTAAAAGAAAACAGAATGGGTGCGTTTGGCAGAAAAAAGCGCTAGTAAGCGCTTGTAAGCATAATGGCGAAACTAAACAGTTTTCAAGCCAGGACACGTTTGCTAACTTCAGTAGCGCTAACACAATCCGCCATTTTGCTTAATTTGTTTGTTTTGAAGTAGAGTTTATAAATTGTTTTGTGCAATATTAGTTTTAAGTAATATAATGACATGAATTGACATATACATGTTATTAAAAATTCATGATCGGTAAGTTTTTAATTTGAATACTTTACAAACATATATTTAAATTAGGTTAGGTTCCCCGGTTAAAACTAACTTCGTGTTCGTAGAGGAAAATAGCTACTTACGATTTGACAGCGCTTACCGCTTACGATGGCTATTTTGCTTACAAGCGCTTTTTTCTGCCAAACGCAACCATTGAAATAATACTAGTTTTTACGGAATTTATCGCGTATATTTTACTTTTGGGGATACTGGTATTTAAAATATTATTATTATAATGAATCATTATGCAACCATTGAAATCAATGTTAAGTCACATGACAGATGATTGATGACAGATGAGACATTTCAATTTATATTTTTATAGTTCAAGTATAAACATTATCAAGTAAGTAGGAAGTTAACAGGCAAGACTCTAGAGATAAACTGATTGCGGAAAATCGGTTCAAGAACGATGAACACAATATCACTCGAAAGTATCCTCTGCTATGTGCCACGCTGCCACGCCAGCGTGATGAGTATTCTCAAAAGCAATGCATGTCAGCTGAAACATTGTTGAACAAAAGCCAGCAGAGGCATGTTAAAAACTGCACTACACAAAAAACTAAACATATACCTGCGAGTATGGGAAAGCCGTGTATGTCCCGTAGAAAGAGGTTCGACTCCAAATAAATCTTCACTGCCATTCACAAGATCTACGTAAGTTGTGGCTAGTGGGAATGGAGCTGTCGGTCGCACAACACCAAGACGAACTGGAGCGAGTAGTGCGTCTGCTGCTTCTACAAGTTCTTCCACGGCGAGAGCTACTAGTGCTGCGAATACACGTCGACAGCGGACTAATGATGATGTTATAGATAGAGGCCTGTGTATAAGAAGGAAAGCGAAATTTCACGATTATTCTCAAATTAGTTTTAAAAACATTTAAATGTAAAAAAATATTTATTCCATTTACAAATATTGAATTTCTTATATTATTTCATATTTGAATTTAAAAATGGCGTCACATCAGCATTTCCACAGTAACATTGTGTTATTATTTTAATTAATATTGTAACTAAATAATTGTAAGTTGATAATTATAAGCTTACCCTTTTTTCTTCGCTGCACCCGGCGCCATTTCTACGCTGAAAATAACGAAAATTCTAGCAACCGAACGCACAAATCGTCGTGCCACTTCGCGTGCACGTTCTGCGCGTCCCGGTATCGAGTCATTTTGTTGTTCCCTTATTAGCGTATGCAATAGTGTGTCTAGCATCTGAAATAAACATTTACATTTACAACACAAAATAGTTGATAATTATTTCAAATAATCATTATTATTATTATCTTAATATATATAAATTACGTGTCACGTTGTTTGTCCGCGCTGGAATCCTAAACTATTTAACCGATTTTAATCAAATGTGCACAATATGTGCAGTTTGATTCAACTTGCAATTTTTTTGCTAATTTAAGGACTTTTTAATAGGACATGACAAAGGGTCATCGAAAAGGGCAGAACAACGTCTGCCTGGCAACCTAGTAAAATATAATAATTAATCATTCGAAATCTGTGTAAAGCGCTTTGAATATTTCCAGTAACTGACACAAGATTTTACCTGAAAATAACCAATGATGTCAAGATCAACATTATCCTTTCAGTAATACTTCCTTATTACCCTTTAATAGTCACTTTTAAATATAGGTACCCTTTTCTCTGGCAAAGCTACTTCCTATTTCCTATCACTGCATTGTGATGGATTTGAATATAATTTGAGGTCAGAATATCTAGATGAACTTTCTGATTTGATATATGCTATATTTCTGCTATGTCTATATTTGAATGGATTTTTTTCATGTTGATATCCCTCTTCCACTTTAGTTGGCATCTGCACCTTTGGCATTTGGATGGTACTTGGGATCAAAAGTTGGGTGTGTATTTTACAATTATCTTTATTCTTCTTTTTCCTGGGATTTGACTTATTGTTAGTCGAGTGTATACGAGGTAGTTTTAATATATCGCAATCTAACGTAAATTATGAGATTCTTCTGGCATTCCCATAGTCACCTATTACACACGGAATAGAGTGAATTGTTCTTTTAAGACGCCACTACACGGCTACACATAGTTATAATGAATAACGTTTTAAATCGTTAGTGTAGTGCTTACGTCGTTGGTGCACTTGACGATGAGAGCGTGTGTGAACTTGTCGAGCAGCGTGGTACCGGACTGATTGAGTGAGGGGCTGTTGGGTCGGCCCTCACTCTCTCCGCAGCTCGCGCCGCACATCACCGCCGCCTCCACGGCAGCCCAGTCGCCTGTTACACAAAGGAGTTGCAGTAAGTTAAGAAGTTTAGATTATACATTTTTTTAACAATTTAATTAGTAGAGATTATTAAGATACTCGAATAATTACTTGTTAATAAATGATTTATTTAACTTTTTCTCTGTTAATATTTTGGGAGCTTATTTAAAACATACTGACAAGATAAGCTAAATAAGTTGGAAAGGTACAAAAAGTATATTCTGCACGGTCACTACAATAAGTTCTGATTTTAGCCTTAAGATGGTGGTAAGATTAACAGAAACAGAAACTTTTTTATTCAATGTAGATTATGAACAATATTTATTGAAAGTCAATTTTTTCATTTAGCACTTACCACTGGTTCGCAAAAAAAACCTCTGTTCTGGGAAGAACCAGCAAGAAACCCAGCGGGACTATTTTTTATTAGCTAATGTACTTCGCAGTTTCGATAAGTTTAGCCAGGTCCACCGTTTTTGAAATTTTTTACTTATTATATGCTTGGGCTTGACTATAACCCCACATGGTAATAAGTGGTAGATTGACCATCTAGGGCTTCATCACCACACAAGCCTATTCACTCTTGCTTGGGTGTCTTTAACCTAGATTATAATCAGACGGAAAAAAATGCCTGCAAATTATTCCACTGGTATAATTAATAGCTGTAAGACAATAGTCATTACTTATTGCAGAATCAGTAGCGTGACTTTAGTATAGTGCTCAATTATTTTAATTGTGTCTCCATGGACAAAACAAAGGTCATAAGTAATTGAAAACTATCTTCGAAGTTGGAGAGTATGTTTACACAGGAAAATTGTCGGAAAATGTAAGTTAGACTTCAACAAAAAAGTTAACTGGTAGAATCAACTCAATATAATCTCCTGAATGCTGCTGGACAGCCACACATCTTGTCAGATATCCACCAAAACTTAAAAATACGAGTGTATAATAATGCCAGTGGCGCCATAATATGGATCAAAAATGTGGTCATTAATTGCTGGCAGTATAAAGAAGCTTAAGGTCCCTCAGAGGCTATTAGGAGGACTATGCTTGAAGTTTCTCTGTGTGATTGAATTTGCAATAAAGATATATGCAGTAGAACCAGAGTTACTAACAGAGTGCCCAAAGAATCAGTAAGCTAACGTAGCAACGGACCTGCCATATAGTTTGAGAAACCAATAACAGATGAAAAAGGTTTTAGAGTGGCAGCCTTGTGTATGCTTTGTGGCATTGCTTGGCAAGTGTTCAGCAGTGAACTTATGTTGATGATGAAAATGATGCTAATAAGTTATACGGGTGAATATACGCTATTTGAATTCCAACGGTCCATAGACAAATTTCATGTTAAGCTTATTATATTATTATTACTGTATGCTTAAGCAATAAAGAATAACTTCTTTTATTTAGTCGATCGATGAAAATTATTTGATATGAAGCATTAATAGTTTAAAATAGTTATAAATGTATACTCCCTTGGCCTCCCCAATTATCAGATTGTGTAATTTTAGGGTCATCATTTAAATACTTATGCCATTATGTTTTCTTTTAATATGATCATATGCCAAAATAAACATCGAAACCTATCTTATCAAAATACAGTGTAAAAAATATTTATTAATATAAAAAAATATATCTTATTTTCATGTCACGTTACAATTCTGTTTTCCTCGCCTGGAGTAACCGAAAGACTAAAAATTTAACATAAAACCGCTAAAGTATGTTTTTACCTTGAACTACGCGTGTAGTAACAACCCCGTAGAAAAAAACTAAAATAATAATGCGTCCGCTTTAGATTCACTGTAGGAAAGCGTGTGTGCCAGTCGTTGGAGTATTTCCCTTGTTAAATATATGTTTTTGTATTTTGTCGTTACGAAATTGTAAATTTGCACACTGCGATTTTTATTGTGTGTAGATGTCATGTGTTACGTTAAACTGTGGTCAGAAAAGTAATGTTGTTTATGTAGGTTATGTGCGATTTTGTCACTTCCCTGGCGTCACTTCTCTTGCATATTGCATGCCAGAAGAAAAACAAACACACCAGGGAAGTGATAAAATTTTGTTTATTTAATGTTATAATGCTTCATTTCATTAGTTCTAGGTACTCGAAAATAATCGAACAAGGGAAGAGATGCTAGAAAAAAAATGAAAAATTATGCTACCAAAGAATTAAAAATGATCCGGTAAAAAATGCTGAATTAAAAATATAAATGCCGGTTAAAAAGAAAAGCAGAACTATAAAAAGGAAAAGGGACAAATTAGGATCATTAATGATATGATAAAATTGAACAAAGATATGTTAGAAAAATATGGAGAGAGAAGACTAAAAGGGCTAGAGATCGGGTGGAGCTATAATGTAACAAAAACTATCCATTAACAAACACCATCTACGTCCGATAATGAAGAACAACTTTCAATTCCACAAAACAATGTTTTTTGAAATATAGAATAAAGGTGAAAAACGTGGAAAAAAAAGTGGATACTCTGGCCAATAGACATCTTCATTAATCCTTAATTAAGAATCAAAATGCATATGCGTTGTCACCCCTGAGTACTGAGAGGAAATGCGTCGTTTCCAGTGAAAACGGTCTTCAATTATCTACACTCACCATACGAAACACAGCAGCATTTAAGCTGCTATTTTATGCTGGTATTACCCGGGTCAAGCCGACCCATTTGTTCTACAACCATAATAAAGCTGCAGCGTGGCTCTACCACGTAAAATATAGCAAATCTATTAAATATAATAATAAATATAGTAATATTATATTGTAGTAGTCAACTGAAATTACGAAATAAAGTTATAAAACGCAAAAATATGAAACGAAGCGGTTACTTTAAATGGTACATGAATATCAAAAGAAGATAATATGTTCGTCAGATTTTTATGAAGATGAAGGTTAGGGTTACTTTTCAAAAGATGTCCAATGAAAATTGAAAAATTAAAGTCTAGGATTGCGGACGACTAAATCTAGTCCAATTCAATCCCCAGAAGACACAAGTTTTACACGTTTACTGCTAGAAAGAAACCTTTTGTCGTATCACCTCAGTTTCAAGGCACCCACTCCCCTTGCTGCCTCAGCTAGCATCGGAATCATCGGCGTCGATATATCGTAGTAGCTAAATTGTAATATAATATAATGACTAAATTGGCCTCTAAAAAGCTGGGCGTGGTCAGCAGAGCGAGACAGTATTTCATGCCGGCACATCGCTTGCAACTTTACAAAGCGCAAGTTCGGCCTCATATGGATTACTGTTCTCATCACTGGGCCTGGACACCCCAGTGCCAGTTTCTTCCACTTGACCGCATCTAGCGCAGAGCGGTTCGAATCGTCGACGGCAAAGTTCTTTCTGATCGGCTCGATTCACTGGCGCTGCATAGGGATTTTGCATACCTTTGCATTTTCTATCGCGTCTACCACAGGGAGTGTTCTGAGGAATTGTTGGGATTAGTTCCAGCCGCCAAATTTCACGAACGCACATCGCATCAAAATTCACGATATGGTATCGTCCTCACCATCTGGATGCTTGGTGGTCCACCAGTGTGCGTTTTACTAGGAGTTTTCTTCCTCGTACAACTTCTTTGTGGAATTGTTTAGTCTCATTTTTTATTAGATAATTACTTAATTTGTTTGAATCACAGATGAGACTGATAGCAGAAAATATTAATTCTGTTATTTCATTCGTGTTTGCGCGGAAAACCATTCGTATTTTTATTTTATTCGACGGTATGCTTGCCAAGCGTTGTCCTTCCTTCGACCTATCCCTTCCGTACACACCGGGGTGGTGGGGTGAGAGGGGAAAGAAGAGATTCTAGAATGTCGCGTGCTTCTCGCAACCAATGAGAAGAGCGCCCGACTTCGGTGGGAAAGAAGCCGATATAAGCTCGCGCGCTGGGCTCGAGCGCTCTCTTGCCTTTGCGCCGCTGGTTGGAACCACACCGCCTGGGACAGTCACGTCCTAGAGGGCTCTTGCCCTCGCGCACCGCTAGTTTCAAACCGCACCAACCTGGAGCAGTCGAGCTCCAGGAGTAACCGCCTCACCTAGTGTGAGATATCATCGCGCACCGCTCTCTTCCATCGCACCACCGACCAGGACCGCATCCCTGGGGCCCCAGGAGATCCGCCAGAAGTAGCACCGCAGCGTCCAAGCCGCAACGAAGTCACACCCCGGTACGTGTGCTTCTTTCCTATGACGCCTGCTTGAATATTTGTGTTTTATTAGTTAATCCGCCCCAATTTCATTTCTCCTAATGTGCTCAAGCAGGATTCCTTCATAAACCTTGGCAAGCAATAGGTTTTTTTTGGAAGAGCGAGTGCATTGTCAAGGAACCGCATGCTACAGCCGCCATTTTGTTGAAGCAGAAGAAGCCATCCGCGTATAGAGTCCATCTAATATAACATCTCGCGTAGTAGGGTCAAGTCTCGACAGGGGAATTGTGACTCGGCAACCTTAAGGCCCGCCGTTCAACCAATTCCGGTAATTGAAACTTAAGCATTAATATAACAAATAAGTTTGCACTTAGAAAGTATTAAGACTGAATGTATTTTATTTATAAAAATATCCAGATTATAATTTTTATGTGTTTTATTCAATATCATTCCCGTTTCTTATCCAATAATCAATGGCCTATCACTTCCCTGATTTAATTTGTCACTACTCTGCCAATAGTGTCACTCCCCTGATGGCACATTTTCCCCTAGTGTTAATAAAATTTAAAAAATGAAAAAATCTTGTGGCCCTTATCATTACAAATGCAGAAACAGTGTCAAATAGTGATATTATTAATATTGAATTAAACATTTCCTTCAGGGACACAAAAAAATCAAATACCGTATATTCACCTTATTATTGTGTTAGTCAAGTAGTAATGTTGGGTATACACTAATTGAACGAGAACAAGCAACGGCTAATAAACAAATGTAAACAAGTGAGCGAGGCCATTTATTAAGGCAGGCGAATTCGTGTGAAAGCTTTCGTTTGCTTTTGCCTTTCCTTCATCTGTCGATGTTTCGAGAGAAAATAGTACGAATGAATACGCGGTGTAGACGCGCGGGCGAATGCTCATTCAGTAAGGATGAAGGACATACGATCACAGTGTTCTTACTCTGTTGACTTCGCTCGCTTTCGTTCCGTTGTTCTGCTAGTAGAGCACACTATACATAATACAAAGGGAGCGTACCGAGCAGGTGCAGGAGGGCACGCCTGGCGAAGCGCGGCGGCTCGAGGTCGTGGTCGGGCGCGTCCACCTCAGCGTCGGAGCCGGGCTGCTTGCGCGGCGCGCGGCCCCGCCCACCGCCCGCGCGGAACTGCCGCTGCTCCACCGTCTGCCGCCCCACCGTCTGCACCAGGAACAGCAGGATCGACTCGCCCCTGATAACACCATACCAACCACACATTACTTACACACTAATGTGTTCCTGTTCTTACTTTACATAGTGTCGCATCACTTGATCGTTTTCCATTTTTAGATTTTTTTTTTTTTCCAAAATATACTAATAAGATGTTTATATAATTACAAGATGTTTTTAGACATTGTTTACTATTATTTTCAAATAATTTCTATAATAAAAACATCGATTTTACAATTACTATACAATATGAGTAACACTTCATAAAAGGTCTAGTAAACAATATTGTTTAGTAGACCTTTTATGGGGTGATAAATTTAACAATACTAAAGGTAAGTTCCGAGCGTAAGGAACACATAAAAGTGCTCTAATGTCAAAGTAATATATTATTCTTTGGCCTAACATGGCCAAACTTTACACATCGTTAGAAAAAAATATTTTTACGGATTTTCAAAAAAAGAATACTAATAACAGCGATACTATTAAACCCCATTAACCATTACAAATAAGCTTAAAATGCTCATATTGGAAGTGGTTTATCACAGTTGTCGACAGGGACATTCGGATAGACGACTTTAGGAGTTTGCAGTCCGCAATGTCAATCTCTCCTGGACACTTCCTTGTCTGAAAACCCTTTCAGAAATAAGGGGAGGCCTGTGTCCAGCAGTGGGACGTATATAGGCTGTAAATTTAACTTAACTGTTATTCATAAGGCTGTTGTCGTTTTTCGTAAATCTATCACGAACTTATCTCCAAACTTTAAAAATAAAATATTAGTTAAATACAAAATTCTATCCAAACCATTAGAGCCGCGCTAGAGAAACCTATATGTATATTAATAAAGATAAATTTAACTAATTTGTACCTGGAGTTAAAATGTGTAGCTAGTTGGGTGTCTCTCGCGAGCCTTGCTAACAGATCACATCGTGCAGTCCAATTGCCTCCAACAAGTGCCTTGCATCTGCATTTCTCCCAACAGTCGCAATAAGCTGTAGGCGACGTACGCTTCAATTTGCAATCATGACCTTTGTGACAAACCTAAAAAATGGAACAAAATAGTAGATTTTTGTATCTGCGGAATTCTTTATTATAATAGAAACAAACAAATATAAACCTTAGCGCATTCTGTGCAGCAACAAAGAGATCCAGTTAATCCACAGGTCTTGCATTCAAAAATGTCCTGTTAAAATGAAAACAAATTTTATTATAACATATTGTAGTCTGGATGAAAAAGTTCAACAATTTTAAAAAAAAGTTTAAAATTTCATAAAACCTAAGCCGCACACTTCGCGATAGAATTCTAGCGATAAAACTTCGCCTTCGGCCTACGGCGAATGTACCTGGCCATATTGCGCGTTGTTAAGTTTATGTAAGGTTTATCGCGTTATATACAAAGAAGTTGTTGACGAGTATGTTTACCTGGGACATATAGTCCAAATAGGTAAATCCAACTTCGATCGAGAGGTTAATCTACGGATTCAACTCAGCTAAGCAACGTTCGGGAAATTACGACACACCTTCTCGTCAGATATACCTCAAAACCTGAATTGAATTTGAATGAGATTTTATAACCAGTGCGTGTGCTAGTGATGACTTATGGATCTGAGACTGTCCTTCACTCCTTGCCGCTTAAGGTCACACAGAGAGCTATACTCGGGGTTTCACTGAATGATAAACTTAGAAATGAGGATATCCTCAGTAGAACCAGAGTGACCCACATAGCCCAAAGGATTAGGAAGCTCAAGGGTTCTTGAGTGCCAGCCTCGCATCGGCAGGCCTACGGCGAAAGTACCTGGCCACATTGAGCGTTATAAGTTTTTGTAAGGTTTATCACGTTATATACACGCTAAACACAAAATGGACGTTGCAGTCGCTTTATATTATTTGGCATGCAATAATTATTTTTACTACCTTTTGGCAACAGGGGTCAGCTTTAGACGCTTCCATTATTCATTCAAAATATCTGATTAAATTATTCATCTTCTAATTACTTCAAAAAATTGTGATGGTCGAAAATACCGCGCAAACGCTAAATTACTTCAACACGTTTGCTACGCACGATGTCTGTGGGATGCCTAAAGTGTGGCTGCACAATCGAAGTTCATCGCGATAAAATGCTTGGATGTGCGAGAGTTTACCGACAGCGAAATGATGTGCTTGCGACTTCACACTAAGTGACGAATTATTTACGATTATTTAGTCATACATATCGCGATAATGCGAATATATGCGTTAAAGCGACGTGTGCGGCCTAGGCATAAAAGAAACAATAAATGAAATGATGTCGCCAGATATTTCCTGTAAACCAGTATTTAATATGGTATGGTATATTACGCCTCCCGTCATTATACATTTATTAAGTTGGCATGTTTGTCTTTAAAAATAAGTCATTGTTTATTTATTCAAGCGCATATATATATATATATATATATATATCATTTTCGTTTCGGGGGGTATATATATATATATATACCCCCGAAACATCCCCGAAACCGACGTGACCCAGAAAAACTAGTTCTAGATGTTATTCCTAGATTCGTTAAATACAACAAAAGTTGCCTAAATATGTGTATAAAAATATTTACTAAAGTACCTAATGAATTTAAATTATTAAGCGAAAGATTATTTAAGAAACATTTGTTTAATTGGTTAAAAACCGAATGTTATTATGAGATAAAAGATTTTTTAGATTGTAATTAATTAATATTGTTGATTCTGTATTTGCATGCTATTTACCATTGTTAGCGAACACAATTGCCCTAGATAAACTGTAAGATCTTTTTTATACTAATCACAAATAAAAAATTATGATTTATGAAATACCTGGTTGATATGTTCCTGTCCAGTCCATGTGAAGCTGCATGTGTCATTGCAGCATAGTACCAGTAGGGGTGAATGATCTGGGTGAGCATTTGGCGGGAAAATGGCCGCTGAGCGCTGCGTTTCGTCTGCGTCCGGACACGAGCGAATGGCGTCGAGGAGTACGAGCGCAGCGCGATACGCACGCTCCGCAACCGCTGCCATTAACGGCGTTTGACCCATTCCATCCCTAATAATCAACACATTTTTAAGTTTGATAATTAACTCTCTGTTACATATTCGTGCATATATTTTTAAGTGCTTGATATATGAAATGTTAAAGGGTAGTGCTATATTCGTTATGCCTTGCAGGAAAAAGTAAATAGATGTTGCAACATTGTTTATATATTATATGAAAATATATGTTATATACAGGATGTTAGTGTAAACACCGTTATCCTTGAAACCAGTGGTTTGGCTTCACTTATAGAACTTAAATTCAATTAATTTAAAAAAAAACGCTACTTTCTTTCATAAAATTTGAAAAAGTTTCTATCCAACACCGTCCGTAAATTCATGGATACCCTATGCGCCCGAGTGACGTAATCACTGTAAAGATCACCACCCGGGTTAGCTACCTACACAACATTCCAATAAAAACACAATAAGTACACATAACCTGTGATGTAACTTTTCCTTCATACTTTCATCCTGGCTTAGAACAGGCAAAATTTGAGGAATTAAGGAAAAATTGAGATTTTACTAAAAAAAATGTTATTTTTCATTGAATTCACGTTCTATAAGTGAAACCAAACCACTGGTTTCAAGGACGGTGTTTACACTAACATCCTATATAATTATGTTACATGGATGCGAAGCATGGTTGTTATTATTTCGAGTTTTTGTTGTAGGGAGTAAATGTATCAGTATGGGTTATATGCTGATGTCTTTCATTTTTATATTGGCTATAACTGTATTTATATATTGTAGAACAATGCTACAGCTGTATTATGGTACTGGATATTTTTACACTGTCAGTATATTATGAATATAGGTACTTACTTAGCAGTGAGTAGCTGCATGAGATACGGCTGTAGAACGGGGCTTTCGCACAATGCACGCAACGCAGCCAGAGCGTTTCCACGACGCTCAGCAGGATCCGCACTTACCGCCCCAGGGCCGTTGGCGCCCCCGCCCGATATTTTACTAGGTGAAATAAAATTTCACTGTTATTAAATTCTGCTCCAATTCCAATATGAAAAACTTAATTTGTGTGATGATATTTAAATGATGATGTTAACCAAAACTTAGTTTTCATATTTTGAAGAATAATGAGTTTTCATTTCACTTAAAAATAAACTTAGGCATACTAGATTTCAAACTTCAAGATTCTAAAACATTAACCAACTGATATCATATAGTTAAATAATAAATATTATATTTTTTACAATAGACGTTTGCTTTAATATCCTTTAAAATATTTGGAAAATTGTTGTACAAACAGAGCTAATTTTAAATGACATAATATTTGAAATCCTTAAGTAAAACCATTATTTGACCTTAGTTTTATAGTTAATTTTTGATTTAATATTTAAATAAATTCCATGAAATATACGCGAACCAAATCAACTCACATACTTATCTTTGATATAAAAAATACTAAATTAAATATATTTAATGTATTTTAAAAATTCTTCTGGTTTAATTATTTTGGAACAAAAAAACTTATAAAATCTATTTGTTTATTCTCAAAAATACATCTAATATGTCAATGCTAACCTGTTGTTGGTAAGTCCCATCAAACTATCTTCATCACCAGATGCTTCAAAGGTTTCCGGTGGCCAAGATATGGCTGGCACAGCTTCTTCAGCATTTGCTCCACTACCACTTGTTCCACTAGGTATGTTCGGCATTGAAGGGTTTTCTACTATTTAGAAAATATAAAGTGCTATAATACTTGGACATAGATGTTTTACACAAATATAACGAAGTAAATAGCAATAATGTGATCAAAAATTGCTAATAATATAGGTATGTAAGGTAAATCTTTTTGTTTGATGTTTGCTCTTATTACAGCAAAAAAACTAAACATTTCGGCATTTTTGTAAGACGTCGATTCAGCCGCGGAACTTGATTTAGTCTAGCGAGCGGTGCCCCTAGTACCTCGTGTACTTATTCTTTGAAAGAGAGGAACGCCTGCGTACGGTTGCTCCACATGTATTCGCCGGTGGGTGGCTCGAGTTGCTCTATGTTTTATCTTACAATGGCGGGTTAAACTTACTTGCGAGTGTAGTTGCACATGCATTGTTTTAGAGCACATAAGCTCGTCAAAAATATAAAAATTTTTGGCGGTGATGTTGGAAATAATGTTTATAATTACGTATTGCATAATTTTGGGGATTTCAAATAATCGCAAAATTGTATAATTTTCACAAAACAAAATAAATTCATGCAAAATATTCGAAATCTAAGCTTGGATTTAAATTTAAATAAATTGTATTTGGTGTAAAAAAAATTATATGTGTATACATATTTAGGTGGCTTATATTAATATTATTTTGTTCAAATATAATGGGGTTGGTGAACGCTACGCATTCACCTGTTGTTATGCAAACGAACGTGTGTTCCTACATCGTAATTACTGCATGTAAAGCTCGTAGACATAGATAATATAGAGATCTCATTATTCTAACAAAATTGTTATCAACAAATAAATAAAACAACTCATAGTCCACGATAGTGTTATTAATATACTCACCAATATCCGGTTCCTTATTTGAGGTTGGTGCACACATATGTACACAAGCATGAAGGATATTTCTGTTACCATCACAGCGCTCTTGAAGAATAGAAAGTATTTGTTGTTCTGGAACAGGTATTTCATATTAAAAGTTATCCCCAGGTAAACCAAATGTTATATTAAATTACAATAATGTCATTTAAAATTCAGCAAAATGTTTCATACCTATTTTTTATTTTCATTAGATACAAAATTAAACTCACTATTGTTATCAGACTCCAGCAAATGTAATAACTGACGCACTCCATCTAGGTCGCAGCGTAGGACACGGGGCATCATAAATTGTGGTTCTGGTACAATTATGATCAGCGCCACCTGTTGATTTTTTTGTACACTTTCATGTTTATAATTTTAGATCATATATAAAATAAGACTGAAGTTAAAATGCTAATATTTTTTATGACTGGAGACTAAAATAATTAATAGAGATATTCGTTTCATATTCGGTATTCGGCATATTTGGCAGCTTTACCGAATATTCGTATTCGGCCGAATACGAATTTACGAATTCGGCGAAATCACCGAACATTCGGTAAAGTAGTATACTTATTGTTAACTGTATGGAAATTTACGAATTGAGTAATGCCATGTCTTTTATAATTTTACTGTTGAAAGTATATGTTATTTATGGGTTAAATCTACTTGTAAAGCGTTATGTTTTTGAAGCACTTAGACACTAAGATTTATTTCCAACTATAGCAAATAGAATGCTTAATAAAATGTTTTTGGAATCATAGTATCATACTTTAGTATATTTCAAGTCCAAATAGGATCTGCCTCACTCACTCATTTTTATCATATAATTATCAATTTTCACTAAGAATCACTACGAAACTTTTTTCGCACAAAAATAGTCAAAACATAAGCATATGCGCGGGCAATTTACTCAGTACAAGATGATTGATGATGCAAAGGCATGTCAGGCGTGGTGAGGGAATGAAGGGCAGGATCCGGTGCAAATCTCGCTCGCTTTACGGTAACAAGTTTCCAAAGAAATTGGTTAGGTTCCTGTCGAATAATGTTCGGCCGAATATTCGGTTCGGTAAAAGTTTTACCAAACTTTCGGCCAAATATTCGTATTCGGTGAAGTCTATGTTCGGTCCATCCCCAGTAACTAATTACAGTGTAGTAGCTGCATAAGTATATTCACTACTCCATACCATTCCGTGGGTGTCGTAAGAGGGGCGACAAGGGAACCAAATCAGGTGATGGGCAAAGTCTTCCGAATAAGGACTAAAAATAAAAAAATAAAAAGCTGCTGTTGTGTACCCACTTGTCAAGCGTGGCAACTATGGCAAATATCGCCCTCATTAGGCAATCTATGGGGGAGGCCTATGTTCAGCCGTGAACTTTAATATTCGGTAACGGAGTAGTTAATTAATCGGTTGTCATACCTGCGATTTGACTGCGGCGTGATATTCGTATGTAGACCGACCGGCAAGGAGGTAGTGTGTTAGTAGGAGGTGCAGCGGAGGCCATGCCTGCGACTTGACCGCGGCGTGATACCCGTGTATGGACCGACTGGCAAGCAGGCAGTGAGTTCGTAGGAGGTGAAGTGGAGGCCCTGCCTGCGACTTGAGCGCGGCGTGATACCCGTGTATGGGCCGACCGGCAAGGAGGTAGTGAGTTAGTAGGAGGTGCAGCAGAGGCCGTGCCTGCGACTTGAGCGCGGCGTGATACCCGTGTATGGGCTGACCGGCAAGGAGGCAGTGAGTTAGTACGAGGTGCAGCGGAGGCCATGCCTGGGACTTGAGCGCGGCGTGATACCCGTGTATGGGCCGACCGGCAAGGAGGCAGTGAGTTAGTAGGAGGTGCAGCGGAGGCCATGCCTGCGACTTGAGCGCGGCGTGATACCCGTGTATGCGCCGACCGGCAAGGAGGCAGTGAGTTAGTAGGAGGTGCAGCGGAGGTCATACCTGCGACTTGAGCGCGGCGTAATACCCGTGTATGGGCCGACCGGCAAGGAGGCAGTGAGTTAGTAGGAGGTGCAGCGGAGGCCATGCCTGCGACTTGAGCGCGGCGTGATACCCGTGTATGGGCCGACTGGCAAGGAGGCAGTGTGTTAGCAGGAGGTGCAGCGGAGGCCATGCCTGCGACTTGACCGCGGCGTGATACCCGTGTATGGGCCGACCGGCAAGGAGGCAGTGAGTTAGTACGAAGGTACAGCGAAGGCCATGCCTGCGACTTGAGCGCGGCGTGATACCCGTGTACGGGCCGACCGGCAAGGAGGCAGTGAGTTAGTAGTAGGTGCAGCGGAGGCCATGCCTGCGACTTGAGCGCGGCGTGATACCCGTGTATGGACCGACCGGCAAGGAGGCAGTGAGTTAGTAGGAGGTGCAGCGGAAGCCATGCCTGCGACTTGAGCGCGGCGTGATCCCGTGTATGGGCCGACCGGCAAGGAGGCAGTGTGTTAGTAGGAGGTGCAGCTGAGATCATACCTGCGACTTGTGCGCGGCGTGATACCCGTGTATGGACCGACCGGCAAGGAGGCAGTGTGTTAGTAGGAGGTGCAGCTGAGATCACACCTGCGACTTGTGCGCGGCGTGATACCCGTGTATGGACCGACCGGCAAGGAGGCAGTGAGTTAGTAGGAGGTGGAGCGGAGGCCATGCCTGCGACTTGAGCGCGGCGTGATACTCGTGTATGCGCCGACCGGCAAGGAGGCAGTAAGTTAGTAGGAGGTGCAGCGGAGATCATACCTGCGACTTGAGTGCGGCGTGTTACTCGTGTATTGATCGACCGGCAAGAAGGCAGTGAGGTAGTAGGAGGTGCAGCGGAGGTCATACCTGCGACTTAAGCGCGGCGTAATACCCGTGTATGGGCCGACCGGCAAGAAGGCAGTGAGGTAGTAGGAGGTGCAGCGGAGGTCATACCTGCGACTTAAGCGCGGCGTAATACCCGTGTATGGGCCGACCGGCAAGGAGGCAGTGAGTTAGTAGGAGGTGCAGCGGAGGCCATGCCTGCGACTTGAGCGCGGCGTGATACCCGTGTATGGGCTGACCGGCAAGGAGGCAGTGAGTTAGTACGAGGTGTAGCGAAGGCCATGCCTGCGACTTGAGTGCGGCGTGATACCCGTGTACGGGCCGACCGGCAAGGAGGCAGTGAGTTAGTAGTAGATGCAGCGGAGGCCATGCCTGCGACTTGAGCGCGGCGTGATACCCGTGTATGGGCCGACAGGCAAGGAGGCAGTGAGTTAGTAGGAGGTGCAGCGGAGGCCATGCCTGCGACTTGAGCGCGGCGTGATACCCGTGTATGGGCCGACCGGCAAGGAGGCAGTGTGTTAGTAGGAGGTGCAGCTGAGATCATACCTGCGACTTGTGCGCGGCGTGATACCCGTGTATGGACCGACCGGCAAGGAGGCAGTGAGTTAGTAGGAGGTGCAGCGGAGGCCATGCCTGCGACTTGAGCGCGGCGTGATACCCGTGTATGCGCCGACCGGCAAGGAGGCAGTAAGTAAGTAGGAGGTGCAGCGGAGATCATACCTGCGACTTGAGCGTGGCGTGTTACTCGTGTATTGACCGACCGGCAAGGAGGCAGTGAGGTAGTAGGAGGTGCAGAGGAGGCCATGCCTGCGACTTGAGCGCGGCGTGATACCCGTGTATGGACCGACCGGCAAGGAGGTAGTGTGTTAGTAGGAGGTGCAGCGGAGGCCATGCCTGCGACTTGAGCGCGGCGTGATACCCGTGTATGGGCTGACCGGCAAGGAGGCAGTGAGTTAGTACGAAGTGTAGCGGAAGGCCATGCCTGCGACTTGAGCGCGGCGTGATACCCGTGTACGGGCCGACCGGCAAGGAGGCAGTGAGTTAGTAGTAGGTGCAGCGGAGGCCATGCCTGCGACTTGAGCGCGGCGTGATACTCGTGTATGCGCCGACCGGCAAGGAGGCAGTAAGTTAGCAGGAGGTGCAGCGGAGGCCATGCCTGCGACTTGAGCGCGGCGTGATACCCGTGTATGGGCTGACCGGCAAGGAGGCAGTGAGTTAGTACGAAGTGTAGCGGAGGCCATGCCTGCGACTTGAGCGCGGCGTGATACCCGTGTACGGGCCGACCGGCAAGGAGGCAGTGAGTTAGTAGTAGGTGCAGCGGAGGCCATGCCTGCGACTTGAGCGCGGCGTGATACCCGTGTATGGACCGACCGGCAAGGAGGCAGTGAGTTAGTAGGAGGTGCAGCGGAAGCCATGCCTGCGACTTGAGCGCGGCGTGATACCCGTGTATGGGCCGACCGGCAAGGAGGCAGTGTGTTAGTAGGAGGTGCAGCTGAGATCATACCTGCGACTTGTGCGCGGCGTGATACCCGTGTATGGACCGACCGGCAAGGAGGCAGTGTGTTAGTAGGAGGTGCAGCTGAGATCACACCTGCGACTTGTGCGCGGCGTGATACCCGTGTATGGACCGACCGGCAAGGAGGCAGTGAGTTAGTAGGAGGTGGAGCGGAGGCCATGCCTGCGACTTGAGCGCGGCGTGATACTCGTGTATGCGCCGACCGGCAAGGAGGCAGTAAGTTAGTAGGAGGTGCAGCGGAGATCATACCTGCGACTTGAGTGTGGCGTGTTACTCGTGTATTGATCGACCGGCAAGAAGGCAGTGAGGTAGTAGGAGGTGCAGCGGAGGTCATACCTGCGACTTAAGCGCGGCGTAATACCCGTGTATGGGCCGACCGGCAAGGAGGCAGTGAGTTAGTAGGAGGTGCAGCGGAGGCCATGCCTGCGACTTGAGCGCGGCGTGATACCCGTGTATGGGCTGACAGGCAAGGAGGCAGTGAGTTAGTACGAGGTGTAGCGAAGGCCATGCCTGCGACTTGAGTGCGGCGTGATACCCGTGTACGGGCCGACCGGCAAGGAGGCAGTGAGTTAGTAGTAGATGCAGCGGAGGCCATGCCTGCGACTTGAGCGCGGCGTGATACCCGTGTATGGGCCGACAGGCAAGGAGGCAGTGAGTTAGTAGGAGGTGCAGCGGAGGCCATGCCTGCGACTTGAGCGCGGCGTGATACCCGTGTATGGGCCGACCGGCAAGGAGGCAGTGTGTTAGTAGGAGGTGCAGCGGAGATCATACCTGCGACTTGTGCGCGGCGTGATACCCGTGTATGGACCGACCGGCAAGGAGGCAGTGAGTTAGTAGGAGGTGCAGCGGAGGCCATGCCTGCGACTTGAGCGCGGCGTGATACCCGTGTATGGGCCGACCGGCAAGGAGGCAGTGAGTTAGTAGGAGGTGCAGCGGAGGCCATGCCTGCGACTTGAGCGCGGCGTGATACCCGTGTATGTGCCGACCGGCAAGGAGGCAGTGTGTTAGTAGGAGGTGCAGCGGAGGTCATGCCTGCGACTTGAGCGCGGCGTGATACCCGTGTATGGGCCGACCGGCAAGGACGCTGTGAGTTAATAGGAGGTGCAGCAGAGATCATATCTGCGACTTGAGCGCGGCGTGATACCCGTGTATGGACCGACCGGCAAGGAGGCAGTGGGTTAGTAGGAGGTGCAACGGAGGCCATGCCTGCGACTTGAGCGCGGCGTGATACCCGTATATGGGCCGACCGGCAAGGAGGCAGTGTGTTAGTAGGAGGTGCAGCGGAGATCATACCTGCGACTTGTGCGCGGCGTGATACCCGTGTATGGACCGACCGGCAAGGAGGCAGTGAGTTAGTAGGAGGTGGAGCGGAGGCCATGCCTGCGACTTGAGCGCGGCGTGATACTCGTGTATGCGCCGACCGGCAAGGAGGCAGTAAGTTAGTAGGAGGTGCAGCGGAGATCATACCTGCGACTTGAGCGTGGCGTGTTACTCGTGTATGGACCGACCGGCAAGGAGGCAGTGAGTTAGTAGGAGGTGGAGCGGATGCTATACCTTCAACTTGAGCGCGGCGTGATACCCGTGTATGGGCCGACCGGCAAGGAGGCAGTGAGTTAGTAGGAGGTGAAGTGGAGGCCATGCCTGCGACTTGAGCGCGGCGTGATACCCGTGTATGTGCCGACCGGCAAGGAGGCAGTGTGTTAGTAGGAGGTGCAGCGGAGGTCATACCTGCGACTTGAGCGCGGCGTGATACCCGTGTATGGGCCGACCGGCAAGGACGCTGTGAGTTAATAGGAGGTGCAGCAGAGATCATATCTGCGACTTGAGCGCGGCGTGATACCCGTGTATGGACCGACCGGCAAGGAGGCAGTGGGTTAGTAGGAGGTGCAGCGGAGGCCATGCCTGCGACTTGAGCGCGGCGTGATACCCGTATATGGGCCGACCGGCAAGGAGGCAGTGTGTTAGTAGGAGGTGCAGCGGAGATCATACCTGCGACTTGTGCGCGGCGTGATACCCGTGTATGGACCGACCGGCAAGGAGGCAGTGAGTTAGTAGGAGGTGGAGCGGAGGCCATGCCTGCGACTTGAGCGCGGCGTGATACTCGTGTATGCGCCGACCGGCAAGGAGGCAGTAAGTTAGTAGGAGGTGCAGCGGAGATCATACCTGCGACTTGAGCGTGGCGTGTTACTCGTGTATGGACCGACCGGCAAGGAGGCAGTGAGTTAGTAGGAGGTGGAGCGGAGGCCATGCCTGCGACTTGAGCGCGGCGTGATACCCGTGTATGGGCCGACCGGCAAGGAGGCAGTAAGTTAGTAGGAGGTGCAGCGGAGGTCATACCTGCGACTTAAGCGCGGCGTAATACCCGTGTATGGGCCGACCGGCAAGGAGGCAGTGAGTTAGTAGGAGGTGCAGCGGAGGCCATGCCTGCGACTTGAGCGCGGCGTGATACCCGTGTATGGACCGACCGGCAAGGAGGCAGTGAGTTAGTAGGAGGTGCAGCGGAGGCCATGCCTGCGACTTGAGCGCGGCGTGATACCCGTGTATGGGCCGACCGGCAAGGAGGCAGTGTGTTAGTAGGAGGTGCAGCGGAGGCCATGCCTGCGACTTGAGCGCGGCGTGATACCCGTGTATGGGCCGACCGGCAAGGAGGCAGTGAGTTAGCAGGAGGTGCAGCGGAGGCCATGCCTGCGACTTGAGCGCGGCGTGATACCCGTGTATGGGCTGACCGGCAAGGAGGCAGTGAGTTAGTACGAAGTGTAGCGAAGGCCATGCCTGCGACTTGAGCGCGGCGTGATACCCGTGTACGGGCCGACCGGCAAGGAGGCAGTGAGTTAGTAGTAGGTGCAGCGGAGGCCAAGCCTGCGACTTGAGCGCGGCGTGATACCCGTGTATGGACCGACAGGCAAGGAGGCAGTGAGTTAGTAGGAGGTGCAGCGGAGGCCATGCCTGCGACTTGAGCGCGGCGTGATACCCGTGTATGGGCCGACCGGCAAGGAGGCAGTGTGTTAGTAGGAGGTGCAGCTGAGATCATACCTGCGACTTGTGCGCGGCGTGATACCCGTGTATGGACCGACCGGCAAGGAGGCAGTGTGTTAGTAGGAGGTGCAGGAGATCGGCGTGAACCCGTGTAGGACCGACCGGCAAGGAGGCAGTGAGTTAGTAGGAGGTGGAGCGGAGGCCATGCCTGCGACTTGAGCGCGGCGTGATACTCGTGTATGCGCCGACCGGCAAGGAGGCAGTAAGTTAGTAGGAGGTGCAGCGGAGATCATACCTGCGACTTGAGTGTGGCGTGTTACTCGTGTATTGATCGACCGGCAAGGAGGCAGTGAGGTAGTAGGAGGTGCAGCGGAGTCAGAGGCGGGTATACCCGTGTATGGGCCGACCGGCAAGGAGGCAGTGAGTTAGTAGGAGGTGCAGCGGAGGCCATGCCTGCGACTTGAGCGCGGCGTGATACCCGTGTATGGGCTGACCGGCAAGGAGGCAGTGAGTTAGTACGAGGTGTAGCGAAGGCCATGCCTGCGACTTGAGTGCGGCGTGATACCCGTGTACGGGCCGACCGGCAAGGAGGCAGTGAGTTAGTAGTAGGTGCAGCGGAGGCCATGCCTGCGACTTGAGCGCGGCGTGATACCCGTGTATGGGCCGACAGGCAAGGAGGCAGTGAGTTAGTAGGAGGTGCAGCGGAGGCCATGCCTGCGACTTGAGCGCGGCGTGATACCCGTGTATGGGCCGACCGGCAAGGAGGCAGTGTGTTAGTAGGAGGTGCAGCGGAGATCATACCTGCGACTTGTGCGCGGCGTGATACCCGTGTATGGACCGACCGGCAAGGAGGCAGTGAGTTAGTAGGAGGTGCAGCGGAGGCCATGCCTGCGACTTGAGCGCGGCGTGATACCCGTTTATGGGCCGACCGGCAAGGAGGCAGTGAGTTAGTAGGAGGTGCAGCGGAGGCCATGCCTGCGACTTGAGCGCGGCGTGATACCCGTGTATGTGCCGACCGGCAAGGAGGCAGTGTGTTAGTAGGAGGTGCAGCGGAGGTCATACCTGCGACTTGAGCGCGGCGTGATACCCGTGTATGGGCCGACCGGCAAGGACGCTGTGAGTTAATAGGAGGTGCAGCAGAGATCATATCTGCGACTTGAGCGCGGCGTGATACCCGTGTATGGACCGACCGGCAAGGAGGCAGTGGGTTAGTAGGAGGTGCAGCGGAGGCCATGCCTGCGACTTGAGCGCGGCGTGATACCCGTATATGGGCCGACCGGCAAGGAGGCAGTGTGTTAGTAGGAGGTGCAGCGGAGATCATACCCGCGACTTGTGCGCGGCGTGATACCCGTGTATGGACCGACCGGCAAGGAGGCAGTGAGTTAGTAGGAGGTGGAGCGGAGGCCATGCCTGCGACTTGAGCGCGGCGTGATACTCGTGTATGCGCCGACCGGCAAGGAGGCAGTAAGTTAGTAGGAGGTGCAGCGGAGATCATACCTGCGACTTGAGCGTGGCGTGTTACTCGTGTATGGACCGACCGGCAAGGAGGCATTGACTTAGTAGGAGGTGGAGCGGAGGCCATACCTTCAACTTGAGCGCGGCGTGATACCCGTGTATGGGCCGACCGGCAAGGAGGCAGTGAGTTAGTAGGAGGTGCAGCGGAGGCCATGCCTGCGACTTGAGCGCGGCGTGATACCCGTGTATGTGCCGACCGGCAAGGAGGCAGTGTGTTAGTAGGAGGTGCAGCGGAGGCCATACCTGCGACTTGAGCGCGGCGTGATACCCGTGTACGGGCCGACCGGCAAGGAGGCTGTGAGTTAATAGGAGGTGCAGCAGAGACCATGTCTGCGACTTGAGCGCGGCGTGATACCCGTGTATGGACCGACCGGCAAGGAGGCAGTGGGTTAGTAGGAGGTGCAGCGGAGGCCATGCCTGCGACTTGAGCGCGGCGTGATACCCGTGTATGGGCCGACCGGCAAGGAGGCAGTGTGTTAGTAGGAGGTGCAGCGGAGATCATACCTGCGACTTGTGCGCGGCGTGATACCCGTGTATGGACCGACCGGCAAGGAGGCAGTGAGTTAGTAGGAGGTGGAGCGGAGGCCATGCCTGCGACTTGAGCGCGGCGTGATACTCGTGTATGCGCCGACCGGCAAGGAGGCAGTAAGTTAGTAGGAGGTGCAGCGGAGATCATACCTGCGACTTGAGCGTGGCGTGTTACTCGTGTATGGACCGACCGGCAAGGAGGCAGTGAGTTAGTAGGAGGTGGGTGGGGTGCAGCGGAGGTCATACCTGCGACTTAAGCGCGGCGTAATACCCGTGTATGGGCCGACCGGCAAGGAGGCAGTGAGTTAGTAGGAGGTGCAGCGGAGGCCATGCCTGCGACTTGAGCGCGGCGTGATACCCGTGTATGGGCTGACCGGCAAGGAGGCAGTGAGTTAGTACGAGGTGTAGCGAAGGCCATACCTGCGACTTGAGCGCGGCGTGATACCCGTGTATGGGCCGACCGGCAAGGAGGCTGTGAGTTAATAGGAGGTGCAGCGGAGGCCATGCCTGCGACTTGAGCGCGGCGTGATACCCGTGTATGGGCCGACAGGCAAGGAGGCAGTGAGTTAGTAGGAGGTGCAGCGGAGGCCATGCCTGCGACTTGAGCGCGGCGTGATACCCGTGTATGGGCCGACCGGCAAGGAGGCAGTGTGTTAGTAGGAGGTGCAGCGGAGATCATACCTGCGACTTGTGCGCGGCGTGATACCCGTGTATGGACCGACCGGCAAGGAGGCAATGAGTTAGTAGGAGGTGGAGCGGAGGCCATGCCTGCGACTTGAGCGCGGCGTGATACTCGTGTATGCGCCGACCGGCAAGGAGGCAGTAAGTTAGTAGGAGGTGCAGCGGAGATCATACCTGCGACTTGAGCGTGGCGTGATACCCGTGTATGGGCCGACCGGCAAGGAGGCAGTAAGTTAGTAGGAGGTGCAGCGGAGGTCATACCTGCGACTTAAGCGCGGCGTGGTGCGAGTGCGCGGCACCATGCGGCTGCAGCGGCAGCGCGTGCGCGGCGAGCGCGCGAGCCGGCGGGAGGTTGAGCGGCGGCGGCTCGCGTACCATGCCCACGCAGTCGCGCGCGATCGGGTACAGCGCGCCGTTGCCGTCCACCATCATCACCACTGCCTCGCTGCCCTGTTGCAACATAACACTAAATGAACATATTGCAGGGAAGGCGGGAGGTACTCTTTATACTTTTAACTATAACTATACTATACGTGTGGTATTCGTATAAGAGTATAAAGCTTAGGTGACGTGTAGTATTTTTATTTTTTTTTTTTATAGTAATATTTCGCTATAATAGTTGACTTTGTTGTTATTTAAACTTTATTTGTAGTGTTAAATAAACTGTGCAGTGCGCGTACTCTTTTAAACACTTTTTAACCATTTTCATGAGCTGTAAACACATGTTAGGTCAGGTTAGACCACGCGGTTACCGCGTGGTAACCTTAGGTTAAGTATTCTTATTTCATTATTGAGTGTATTATTCTGTTTTCATTTGGACTTTAAACTGTAAGTACTTTTATAATATTTCGTGTAAGTTTAATTATAAGAAACTGATTTGCAATCGAGGTTAGGTTTTGCCGGCACGTGGGTGTTGTTTTGACACTGACAGCTGTCATTGTATAAGACACTAATAGTGACGTTGGCAGCTGTCATTGTGGGTGACATCTCATGGACAGTGCCATTGACAGGGTGACCTGTCATTATTTTCGCTAAGTTGCGTTCCATTTAACTATATTTAGTGGACTAGTGCAAAATTAAAATGGCGGACGACGACGAGGGTTTTACGCCCAGGAAGTCTTTGGCCAGGACCCCGCCGGGACCACTCGGCCGGGCCGGTCGCGGTGCCCCACCCCCACCGCCAGTAGTGCCGGATTAGCGGCCACTGGCGTCTCCGGAAGAAGCGCAGGCATCTTCCCAGCGACCAAGGGTGGGCAAGTGCACTGAGTCGCGCCGGAGTGTGGCACCGGTGGCAGGTTTATTGACAAGAAATGTTGAGGAGTCTGCTCCAGAAACCGAAGAAGAAGACTGCTCCAGGGAGACAACTCGGGGTGCGAGGGGGAGCTTCAAGGCTACCACCGCGGCGAAGCTGGAGGTCATTGACCAGGTGCGGGAGACAGTGAGGGGGATTTTGATCATCATAACAGGGCCCGGCTCCAAGCTGAACAAGGCGGAGGTGAACAAAGTTTCATCATACGGTCATGACCTCATCGCCATGGTGGCGACTATGGAAGTCCACATCTCCAAGCTGGAGCTGGCCAGACTTCGAGCGGAGAAGGAGAAGCTGGTAGCAGAAGGGAAACTGGCGCAGGTCGACGCCGGAACAGTTCCCTGCCACACGACGGACCCGACACCGCAGCGCTCGTACTCGGCTGCACTGAGGCTACCTAAGGGAGCAGACCAGGTGCTGATGCCTGTCAGCAAGGGCCCGGTGGTTGCTTTTTATCCGGCTGAAGCTGAGGGGCCAATCAAGACTGCGGAGAACACAAAGTCAGAATTGAAGAAGGCAGTGAACCCGAAGACCAGCGGCCTGGAAATAGACCGGTTGAGAAAGGTGGGAAATGCAGGTGTTGTGGTGCAGACCACGTCCCAGGGGGCAGCTGAGAACTTAAAAACTGCAGCCCCTCCATCATTGAGGGTGTCTGAGCCCAGGCAGCGCCTTCCCCTGGTTGCCCGCAGGGATTTCGAGGAGGACCCCAAGAATGAGGAGGTATTAAGCGGCCTCTACGAGCAAAATCTTGCTGCTTGTGGCTGGAGTGAGAAGAAAGTGAAGGAAGAGTGTAAGGTGGCCTTCAAGAAATCTTGGAGAGGAAGCAGGCGCACCACTGTTATACTTCAGTGCTCGGCAGCATTAAGGGACGTGCTGGTGGGGCACAATCGCCTCTACATTGGCTGGGGCTGCCAGAGGTGCCAGCAATACGGGCATCCATCAAAGTACTGCTGGTCCAAGGAAATTGTGTGTGGCAAGTGTGGGAAGACGGGACACGAGCGTGGGGCCTGCCAAGCAAAAGAAGAAAAGTTCGCTACCTGCAAGAGATTTGGCCGGCCCGACTCTGGTACGCACGTGACATGGAAGGAAGGGGGGTGTGTCTAGAATCATACAGTGGGTTGATCGTGAACTCACCTGGACATTGTTTTTGTTCAAGAACAGTACTCCCAGGCTGCAGGAATCGTCCAGGTGGGTGGTCACCCGTGGGCTGGCATCTATCTTGCCGACCCAACAATTGGAGTAGCTTTGCTGAGCCACCTCAGCAACGAGTTCTGTGTGGTGTGCCACGTAAACCGATGGGACCTCTATGTGGTGTCAGCGTACTTTAAATACAGTGACACCATCGATGACCACCTGCACCACTTGGAGGTCACCCTGATGGTGGTCATCGTCGGCCTCGACGCAAATGCGCACTCGCCACTTTGCGATCGCCGACACTACGTGGGATGAGGACATACTGCAGAACACCGGAGGCAGCAAGTGGAGGCGTTCATACTTTCACAGGCACTAACGTTGGCGAACCAGCCTGACCAGCCCTATACCTTTTCTGGGCCAGGTGGAGAGTCTAATGCGGACCTCACATTATCGACTAGAGACATGTACCTTGCCGATTGGCGAGTGCATAAAGGAATCTGCGCCAGCGACCATAATTTAATTACATACACGGCCACTACCAGCAGGCCGACCACTTGCGCTGCACCCGTCAGGGATCCACCACGTTTTCGTGAACGTGGGGTGGATTGGGGCAGGTTCCGGGCGATCATCAAATTAAAAATGGGATGGTTGCATGTGGAGAAACCCGCGGCCCTCCTGGCGGAGGAGTTCTCAGGGGTCATCATCCGCTCCGCGGAGGAAGGCCTAGGGGAGCGTCGCCCTAGGGGTTCCGCGGGGTATGAATGGTGGAATTCTGAACTGGATAAAACTCGGAAGCTGCAATGCAAGCTCAGGCGTGTATGGCAGAGTAAAAGGCGTCTGGGAGGTAGATCAGAGGAGATAGCCAGAATGGCTTTTCATCGCGTGCGTGCGATATAGAAAGATGATGGTGGAGGTGCAGCAGTCGCATCACACGAGGGTCACCAATACTGGCAATGAGGACCCTTGGGGCCTGGCATACAGGTTGGCCAGCGGGAGGGTGCGTCCGCCTGCGAATGTGATCAATGGGATTGCATTCGCGGGTGGGCACCCAGATAGTCTGGGAGCCGCAATGAAGAGCTTGATGACTGCGCTCTGTCCGAATGACGACCCTGGCTGTGACAAGCCTTACCACCGGCAGGTTCGAATGCTGGCGGCATTTATGCCCTCTGGTAGAGCTGCACCTCCACTTGCGGTTGAGGACCTGGGAGGCATAGTCAGGGCCTTGCCCAACTCGGCTCCGGGTCTCGATGGAGTGAGTGCGAGAATCGTGAGGAATGTTTGGATGGCTGCATCGAGGGAATTCCACTCGGTGTATACCAAGTGTGTAATAGAGGGGGGTTTTCCCCCAGGTATGGAAGTACGGTAGATTGATTGTCATTCCTAAGGGTAATGACAAGCCACTCACTGACGTTTTTTGTTTTTGGACGATGATGATGGTCAAAGCTAAGAGGGGTGGATGTCCACCTAACATTTATAAAATGTTGGTGGACTACTTCACCTCCAGGCGTATGGGCCTCTACATCGGGGACCGGGTAGAGTGGAAGACCTCGACCATGGGATGTCCTCAAGGCTCCGTGCTGGGCCCAACACTGTGGAAAGTGCTGATGGATGATTTGCTCCGACTCCCTCTGCCTGAGGGAGTTGCCATGACTGCCTATGCCGATGATGTCACAATCTTGGTCGAATCGGAAACGAGAGCTACCTGCTCTCGTTTCCGATTCGACCAAGATTGAATCCAGGGCCCGGGTCACTCTGGGCCTTGTACGGGAGTGGGGGCTGAGGAATCGACTGAAGTTCTCCTCCTCAAAGTCAACCACCATGACTGTTAGAGGGAAACTTCAGCGCCCCCCCGTTATTAAACTTGGTGCGGAATCTAACAAGGCTGTGACTACCGCTAAGGTACTAGGCGTGGTTTTGGACTCTGGACTATCATTTGTGCAACACGCTTCTGATATCTCTGAAAGAGCGACTAAGGGATTTGGCAAAATGACTCGCGTATCGACTTCGTCATGGGGCATGCGATACCAGAGTTTAAAAATTATTTACGGAGGAGTGTTTGTGTCCACGCTCACGTATGCAGCAGAGTGCTGGTACGAGCGGGCGAACATGTACACAGTGCGTAGCGTACTACTGAGATCGCAACGATCTGCACTTGTCTTGTTGACCAAGGCGTACCGGTCCACTAGCACGGCGGCCTTACCGGTGCTGGCTGGCGTTCTTCCTGCTGACCTGGAGGTCATTCGTGCTGGTAGGATGGGTTTGGAACGCTTGACCGCGCCCAGAGAGGAGTTGAGCAGACGAAAGCGCGATATCTGGACTGAGGTGATTGGCGTATGGCAGAATCGATGGAAGAACGAAACGAAAGGACGTGAGTTAAATCGATTTTTCCCGGAGGTGGCGTTGAGACTCAGGTATACCTGGGTCTCACCAGACTATCAAACATCCAAAACAGATTCTCACTGGACATGGATGTTTTCGGAAGAGACTGCATGACATGCGACTGTGTGAAACCAGTATGTGTGAGTGTGGTACGGCAGAGGAGGATATTCACCATGTCCTATGGGAATGTCCCCTGTATGACGATCTAAGAGCGAAAGTTTTGAATGGGCTGGTTCGTACGGTTCAGGGACCGATTTACTACTCGGATCTCGTCAGCGATGGGGTGAACTACGGGCTGTTGCGTGAGTTTGCGCATAGGTGGCACGATCGCAGGACAAGGCAGGATAGGATGCTGGTAGGAAGGCCCGACGACGTAGGCGTTATTGTGCCGTCAGCCCCAGAAGGGGGAGAATGACGTTAAACTGGGACAAGGAACAGAGTAAATATTTGTAGGGAGTCAAGAAAGTGCGCGCGGAAAAGAGCAAGGTGCAAGTACCGCGCGCATCTCTCGAGATTAGGCCCGTATGACCTGAGGGTCGGTGGGGCCATGGGAGGTGGTGGGTTGCCCTGTTGCAACATAACACTAAATGAACATATTGCAGGGAGGGCGGGAGGTACTCTTTATACTTCTTAATTATAATTATACGACACGTCTTTTTATTTTTAGCGGATAGAACGAAACGTCAAAAGCTGCACCTATATTGTATGGAAATGGAGAAAGTCAAAACTAAGCTAAGTTGCCAGTAACCCATTTTCAAATAGTGTTTTAAATGAACCTAAAGTGGTAATAAACCACTTTAATTTGATATATATATATATATATCAACATGTAACATAATTAACGCACTTTGAGAAAGCTTAGCACTGCTTAAGTTAATAAAACGATATTGCAAAGGAATAAAATATTTTAGGATGTTTAATAATGACTTATCATCTTTATTATCTTTATTTATTATTTATTCAAGTGCCAATTGGTTTAAATATGAGAAAAACTTGGTTAACACTGGCAAGAAGAGACCCGAAGACACTGTATACAAAAACTAGACTATACTTCTGTGAAGATCACTTTGATGTAAGTATGACTTACATTTAATTATCGTTTATACAAAACAAAACAGCATGTATATAGTATCGCAAGTCAAATTTTGTAAAATATTATGTTATCTTGGATATAACTAATGATTGCTACTGATTGTTATCATAGATATACTTAACTATGTATTATCAAAAGACACTTTAACCTGGTATTGTGTTTTTATAAACTAAAATTGTAATAGATATTTACATTGATTTTTTTAACATTCTTTAATTTAGCAGAATAAAAATCGGCATTGCATGCTAAAAAATTAGTCACCATCAATTTATTTATCCTTGGTAGATTAGTTCTTTCTGCTTTTACGGATCCCTCTTCCATGATGCCATTTCAATAAAATACGGAATAAAAGGTAACAATCCTGACAACTTAAAAAAATTCGAAATAACACACACCACAGTTTGTTTACGTGATCAGTGTCGTCACGACGGAATCTAATAGGGCGGATAGCATTTTGGAGATTTTTGAAGATTGAATTATAAAATTTATTATGCATTTTTATAAATAAATATCATAATTTCTCGTCTACTTTTTATAAAACCTATCATAAATATGTATTTTTTTACAAGGTGTAAAATACACTATCTATCGGAAATTATTTCGGAAAATCTTTTCAATTAAGAATAATAGTAAACCGGCAAACACAATTCCGTGGACATTTTTAGAATAAATAAATTATAGACTATCTAAAAAAAAACATGGGTATTTTACAATGTGTTGTTAACTTAGATAAGTTAACCTAAATAAAACTAGACAATAAATTACTTTGTGAGTGCAAATATTTTGTATTAGTATTTCAACTATTTTTAATTTTCACTAACACTAGAAAAAAAAATTGCCAAACCAAAACGATCGCATGAGAGTCGCATTACATACAGACATATGACATATAATAAAATAGGTTTAGGCACTGACCTCTAGCTTACTTGTATATATAGAGGTCAGTGGGTGTAGGTGATTTGTGCACTTTAGCGACTTTCCGCGTATGTCCCACGTAAGTCAGCAGACGCTTTTATATATGTAACAGATACTCTATAAACGTATTTAACTATTATTCACACCAGCGTTTTCCACAAGTTTATGAAAAGCCTTGAAAAACAACAATTTAACCCAATAACGCCAATTGTTAAGTTCCTACCATACTAACCTCTGCAGCAGTAGCAAGTTGTATGCCATGACCATTAGATTGCCCAAGCAATGCACTGTGGTCGGTTGGGAAAGTGCTATCTGTAAGGGCACGGGTCGCACCCACTGCGTATACTGCATAAGCAAGCGCGCCACCGGGACGACGAACGACGGCGTGAACGCCGCGACTGTCCACCTATAAAGTAAATCATTAATAGTATTTAAGTTTCATTCTTCGTGGAATGTCTTAAATTACAACTGTTACTAAACAGAGTTGAACTTTCATGTGAATTTCATCACTTAGCAATCACCACTGCAGTTTATTTCTCCTGATGACACTCTTGTTTAAAGGCGAAACACTTGTCTTATTATGGATGCTGGGGTGGGGTTATTTCTTATGTAGTAATATTCAGGATGATAGTGCATGTAATTAAGCACTCGTTTCAGATGCTCTTCAAACTAAGTAAGACACTATTTCTGTTTTTCACATGAACATTAGCTTATTAAGTTTAACATTTTTAATATAACGCGGATTTAAGCTATTTAACACTTGACTCTATTATCTTAAAATAAACTTTAGCTTTACTTTTCATGTAAGAAATACACTTACAGCAATGGTGATGACTTGCAATTCTGGTGGTAACGCGACTTTCCTAGGTGAGCGCTGCAAGCAATCTGGACCACGAGGTCCTGAAGCACCTCCCGCGCCCCACTTTACAGCTACTAAGTCATCTTTGCGCACTAAGCGGCAATCTTGAAGTAAAGTCGTCCAATCATCTGGTGTTGGCGGTGCAATCTCCTTGCCATCCTTGCCCACTGTTGGGAAGCGGACCGCGGCATAAGCTCCGTCAACTTTCAACACGCGGCCCAACGGAACGCTCTTTACATCTTCTAAGAACACGACTTCCTTCAGAGGCCATTCTTCTTCGTCACGTTTAGTACCGTCATTGGAAGAACCTTCTTCACCACGTACGGTAACGCGCTTAGCACGTTCTGTAATAGTTAATATTTTGTATGATTTAATAACAAGAGGAACAATTTTTTAAAAAATCACATAAATGCTACAGTTACCAAAATCCACGCCTATTGAGTTATTTTAAAAATACTTACTGTGTGATGTGCTAGTATCACTGCAAGTAGATGAAGCAGGACTTGGCGGTGGTGGCATGTCCAAACGATCAGCCATATCTTTGTTACTGTCTTTACCACCATCTTTTCCACTTCCACCTGAAGAAGACGCTTTCACCGACGAAACAGTCAAGGGAGACTGATTCTAAAGAAAAAAATAACACTTATGATTTAAATATAACAAAGAAAGAATGTTAGCACTTTTATGACTAATTTCATTAATGCTACATATATTATTCATTTATTTACAATCATTTTTTCACTTATATAGTATAAAATTTATTAGTACCTGTATATCCCTCTTGTCTTTTTCGGAGACGGAGCGGTCAAGTTGCGGTGGGGGCAAAAGTTTGAAGCGGCACATGTCGGATAAATTCCATGCAGCGTTTTGTAGTACGCCTACTTTCGGTACTCCAGTAGACATATTAAAACCTGTCACAAAAATAATTGAAAAAATAAAAGTAGTGTAGTGTTACTGGTATGTAGTATTGTCGGATAAGAGTCATTTGGAAGAAGTTGAAATATAAACGCACTACGTTTTAGAGGTCATAAAATCTAGGAATGCTTTGATACGTCTTTTTGCCGATACGATACCGATGCTCTTATAAAAATATCGGCGATACCGATACCGATACGCTTATTGAATTCAAAAATGAAGGTAACATAAAACACAATTCACGTAATTTTTTTATTAATATAAAAAGAACAAATAACAGGACAAACTAAGTAAAACTGTTTAAAACTATAGAAAGGTTCAGATTAGTTAATAGTTTTCGTAATAAAAATTAACATTAATCAGATTTTTGTTTCAAAAACAAAATATCTAAAGGTATGTGTAATGTGGCCAAGCTACGAGAAATCGTTACGATCAGACTGTACAGTTCGAATGGTACCAATAAATCGCTACATGTATGTTATAAAACTGTACAGTTTCGCAGTCGAACGGAACAACCCGAAAATTTCAATTGATTAATCGGAATCGGAAGAACTGTGTCGACTGATCGTTACGTATATGCGCTCGTTCAGTTTTCGTGTTCAATTTTGTCGTCAGTCGCAGTTCGGATGGACGTGCGCACGCGTCATGACGTCTCAAACTAATCGCGAATAGCTAGAACAATTTATTGAGTTATATCAATGAGGAGCGCAGTCGTAGATACAAGGGTTTACCGGGGGTCCAACGTAGGGACGGATCATTACTTGGTCTTATGTCGAATTAATGGTCTTTTCAAGCGTTGGCGGCATCGGACATCTGTGTCTACCACTGCGTTACAGCGTATAAGAATAGAGAAGTTACAAGATGAAGATGTGAAAGAGAAGTATAAATGTAGACTGAGACGAAATATTAGATGTTTGAATGAGTTGTGTATGAATGATTTAGACTTGAATAGTAAAAGAAGTTGTTGAAAGGAAAAAGAAAGAAAGAACGGATAAGAATGATAGAAGGATATCGATAATTTCCAGGCTAAAATAAAAAAGGTCTGGAAACTCGTAGGAACTGCCAGGGGAAATACAAGACAGCCTATAGTGAATGCTATAAGAGACGAGAATGGATGTATTCTGAATGATGAAGCTTCGAATTTAAACAGATGGAAGGAATACTTTGAAAGCGTGTTTATGAGTGAAGAGTCGTCTGAATTAAATGAACTAAAAATTCCGAAAGAAGTGGAAAGGGGTATGGAGATAAGTGTAGATGAAATAATGAAAGCAATGAAAAGCATGAAAGCAGGTAAGGCAGCTGGATATGATAGAGTATCACTCGAGATGCTAAGGCTGGAGAGTGAGTGGTGGCAGGCCTGCTGTACACCTTGTTTAATTTATGTTGGGAATTAAAACGGGTACCGGATGACTGGTGTAAAGCAGTTATAGTACCAATATATAGAAAAAGGGTCACAGCAGGACTGCAAAAACTACCGTGGTATCAGCTTGCTTAGTATTGTGGGTAAACTGTATGCTAAGGTGTTAATTAAAAGAGTTATGAAAGAAACTGATGGAAAAATTTGGGATGTGCAAGCGGGTTTTAGAAAGGGAATGGGGTGTACAGATCAAGTCTTTTCCATGCGCATGATTGCGGAGAAGTTTTTGGCCAAAAACCAGAAAGTTTTTTGTGCGTTCATGGACTTGGAAAAGGCTTATGACAGAGTGGACAGGAATGTGTTATGGCAAACACTGAACTCATATGGGTTGAGCACTGGTTTGATACAGGCATTAAAGTCTCTTTATAGGACTCTAGTGCTTGTGTCAGGATCAATGGGGTCTACTCGGACTGGTTTGGCATCCAAAAAGGTGTCAGACAGGGCTGTGTAGCTTCCCCTTGGCTGTTCAACCTATTTATGGGCAGGTGTTTGATTTGTATGTGGTTAAGAATGGGCGAGTTAACCGTCAAATGCCTTTTGTATGCCGATGATCAAGTCATATTTGCGTCATCGGCGGCTGAGTTGCAAATGATGGTTACATTAATGAACTGGGAATTAAAAGAAAGGGGAATGAAAGTGAACGCAAGTAAGACGAAAGTAATGGTTTTTGAAAGAGAAGAAAGCAAAACGGTATGTGAAATAAGAATAGAAGGAGAGTTAATTGAACAAGTGGATGAGTTTGTGTATTTGGGATGTGTATTTAGCAGGGATGGTAGATATGATAAGGATATAGTACGACGAGTAAATGCAGGGAATAGAGTGAATGGGGCACTACACTCTATTATGAAGAACCAGAATGTGTCAAAAAAGACGCGTATGGTAATTTATACTGCTGTGTTAGCCCCTACTTTAATGTATGGTAGTGAAAGCTGGGTGTGGCAGAAGAAGCACGAAAGTAGAATAAATGCTGTAGAAATTCGGTCTTTAAGGAGTATGCTAGGGTTGAATCTGAATGACAGGGTGAGAAATTGCAGATAAGAGATAAATGTGGTATGCAAGATGATGCTGTGACCAGGATTAAGAAAGGAATGCTTCGGTGGTTTGGTCATGTAGAAAGAATGAATGAGGAAAGAGTGACAAAGCAAATTTATATGGCAGATGTGAACGGCCGAGTCGGGAAGGGACGCCCTAGAAAAAAGTTTATCGACCAAATTGGCGATATTTTGAAAAGGGGCCACGTTAGAAGTACCCTTAACCGACGAGCATGTATGCGTAGATATATGGATGTAAAGGAGGCGAAAGAGGTATGTCAGGATCGTGCCAAATGGAAGTCCGTAGTCTCTGCCTACCCCTCTGGTTGACAGGCGTGAGTGTTTATGTATGTATCATTCGTTATAAAAACCTAAAAGTAGCTACAAGCCATTCATAGCCTGGAACAGCACTTCTCATAATAGTGTCTTGCTTCTCGATAATTGGTGCTACCATATTCAGTAGATTTAAGTACGTACATTGATCCATTTAAAAAAAAATTATGCCAGTCTTTTGAAAACATCCTTAATTTTGCCAGACATTAAATTCACGACATGAGAATGAACTCTTCTTTTCATTAGTCATTCTTTGCACCAGATGCTGCGATTTTTCCGCTTCACTTTTTTTCCTTCAGGGCGAATATTCATCCTACAACTGCTAAAACGTCGTCCGTCGAAGCCATCGCTGACACGTGTGCTACGGCACCGTTATTGTACCGTCTCATCGTAATGATTTCTGTACCGTAATGAATAACTGTACCGTTCAAACTGTACGGTCTGATCGTAGCGATTTCTCCTAGCGTATAGAAAAGCGATTTCGCAAATCTGTTAGAATAGGACCTGCGGTGTAAAATAGTCTCTCAGATGCGACAGAACTCATTTGGAAACTAGAGTACTGCTGCGCCATTTTTGTCAAGTTTGGGTATAAGACGTCATTGGGCTAGAAAACGAATGGATCTGCGCCTCTCGATATATTAGGAGACCTTAGATATCTCTCTACATTTTCTTTGAGACAATTACAGCTGTGAGTAGACAGGGGAAACAAGGAAACAAGACACAGCACAGCTTAGTTAGTTCGTGTCTCGTTCGCAAGGAAATAGACGAGACAACCCGCGCGTTTACATTACATTTTGAAAAGTATCGTTGAATCGGCCATAAAAATATCGCCGATGCCGATATATCGGCAAACTTCGAGTATTGCCGATATATCGGCTTCGATATCGTTATCGCATGCATCCCTAGTTAAAATCACACACTAAAGGTGTTAAATGCCGTCAACAATCTTGGGTGATAGACAAACAAGATCGCGCAGAGAATTTCAAATATACCTATGAGTTAATTGCTACGAAAGTAATGATTTTGCATTTAATAGGTTACTAGGGATAAGCGCACAATTGTACGTATGTATAATCGGTAACCATCCATCCATCCATTACAGCATATAAAGTTTACTGCTGAACTAAATCCTTCACCACAGATTGCGTCATAGGGGGGATTTTGCTGTAATTACCACACTCGGCGGAAGCAGAATTTTTTTATAATTTTATGTTGTTATCAGGAAGATGGTGCTGGCCCTTGCTTCACTTTCCCTTAGTCGCCTCTCACGACAGTCGCAGAACGATATGGGATAGTGAACTTTCTTACTACACTGCCAATACGCGTTTATCAGTAATTGGCAACAGATTGTAAAAAAATACGTATCGCATATACCAGTGACTATATGCAGTGATATTATTTATTTAGTACTCTCAAAACTAGACACTTGTTTTGGATTTAGTAGGTACATTTATGGGAAATATTTTTGTGTTAGACTCGCTTCAAGTTTATAATCAAGTTAAAAAGAGAAACAAATATAATGCAAATATCTTTACTATCTTTAGATATTATACTTAGACACTATAATTTCTCATACCAAACGAGATGAGGTTCATTAAAGAAGATTCGTATTATTAGATTTATCCACTCGCATATTTCAGTGGGGTTAGCCAAGTTGGCTTTCTATAATCCCTTAAGGGAGGTTGACTATCTGTCCCAATCTGTCAAAGTCTGGTGTGTGTGTCTGTCGGATTTACCGTCTACTAGATTCTGATTAACAACATAGACAAGATCGGGCGTGTGAGTGAATTGATTGTCATACAGGTTTTACAACAACCTTAACACCCCTGTTAGGAACTTAGCCCAACAGTTCAGTAAGCAGAAATGGTAATTGGCTAGCTAAATACCTTGACGAACCGAATATCGATGGAGAAGAAATGTTCTAGAGCCTCTTACTGGTAAGCAGCCTACCTTAACTTAACATTAAATTCTATATAAATACGCACCAATAGCTCCTGGTTGATACATAGGAGCATTTTTCATAGTGACATCCCTTAAGGGAGGTTGACTATCTGTCCCAATCTGTCAAAGTCTGGTGTGTGTGTCTGTCGGATTTATCGTCTACTAGATTCTGATTAACAACATAGACAAGATCGGGCGTGTGAGTGAATTGATTGTCATACAGGTTTTACAACAACCTCAACACCCCTGTTAGGAACTTAGCCCAACAGTTCAGTAAGCAGAAATGGTAATTGGCTAGCTAAATACCTTGACGAACTGAATATCGATGGAGGAGAAATGTTCTAGAGCCTCTTACTGGTAAGCAGCCTACCTTAACTTAACATTAAATTCTATATAAATACGCACCAATAGCTCCTGGTTGATACATAGGAGCATTTTTCATAGTGACACTCTGTCCAGCCTGAAGATCTTGTGGAGCGGATGAAGAGTGTCCACGCTGCTGTTTGCGGGACCGAGCACGATGTTTTTCCCATAACCTGGCGCGCTGACCCAATGGCAGTACACCCCTTAGGAAAAATATATCTCATTAGTTTTTTAGTTACATTGTATGGTCAAATTGTATTAATTGCATACTTGCTTTTATAATAGAAAAAAGAAAAATATAAACAAGAAAATTAATTTTAACCCAAGCAACTCAATCGCATTGATCAGGGACACTTATGAAATGTACTTTAAGTTCCTTATTGCGAGCATCATATTGGTATTATTACCACAAAATATAGTTAATAACACTAAGGGGATTTAGACAAGTTCAACACATTTCAAAATCCATCAAGGCAAAATGCAGCAAGCATCTGGCAAGGCATATGTTACTGGACTCAAAAGAATAAACAAAGGTTCATATAGACTTTTGACTTAAAGATTTTGTTAGGTTTTGTTATGTCTAATTGAGGAGCTTATTCTTTTACAAGGATAAAAATGCTATTCAAAACGATACCAAGTACACCACATAATTTTCAAAACTGTTATTATAATCAATCTTTTATGATTACTTGTCTTAGTTACAATGAGCATTACAAAATAATTTAAATTTTAACTGTAACTCTCTTAAAAATATTTTCCATTATTTTTTGTTTAACAGCAATACATACCACCAATAAAGTGCTCCAGATTCCAATCTTGCAACAGTGTACAGTGAACAAGCATGCAATGATAGAGGTTTGTCATTTCCAAACTCAGAAAAAGTCTGTAAGGGATGCTCCAAACGAGAAGCACCAGGTGCATGTGCTGAAAGAAAAAAATATTTATCACCAATAATCACAAAATGTAAATTTGTTGTTAAACTAATGCAAGTCCAAACTGAACAAGAACAAGCTAATTGTATCAAAATACTTTAACATGTATAAATTAAAAGGAGGGAAAGATTTGTACTATAAATGTATATAATTTTATGTTAACTACTAATGTCATTCCAAAATTTATTTCATTAATTTTCAGTATTTTTGTAAGCACATTAACAAAGGCAGTGTGCTTAAGTACCTAAATTAAAAAGGGAATAATTTTTATTTACTTAAGCACACCGCCGAAAAGTGCATATTTAGGATAATTCGATAACACCTGCGACAGAAGCATTTTAATTGTATCCAAAATAATATGTATGAGACGGCGCCTGGATCGTTGCACGTACTGTACTGTACGCCTTAGGGTAAGCGCAGACCGAACTGCAAAATGCTCGCGCTTGCTCGAGCAAAATTTTGACTACTCGACCATGCAGGCGGCATCCGCGCGCCTCCGTGAGCAAGATTCATTGAAAGTGCTCTGCGTTGCTAGGGGGGCGTGCATTACCAATTTGATGCCAAAATCCGACATTGATAGACGTATTCAATATGATCGATTGAGACTTGGTGACTATCGCCCTTTTGGCAGAGGAACAGGAACATGAAGAACATATTAATGAAATCAGACTTCAGAAAATTAGAAAAACAGTATAGGTAGAAGAAACGTGGAGATTCTTTCCCAAGCATTGGCTTTTAACATACGATCACTGTATGTTGGACTTGATATATTGTACAGACACTCAAAACGCTGCACCAAACTTATCAAATTTTCTTTGTCCATGATTCCAACTTATGTGACGCGCTTATAGGTATAAACTAAACACATATCCAAACAGTTTTTTTGCTGCGGCAATACTGAGCGCGGGCGCCGGCAGCGCGAGCGCGCTCGCGCGTGCTCGAACATGCATCCTGCAAGCTCGAGCATGGTCGAGCATCAAGCTTGGACGTGTATATAATTTTGCACTGTCTGTCAATAGTCATAAAATTAATATTTTAGTGTTCTAAAAAAATGCTCTGCTCTGCTCTTGGTATGCGCTGACCCTTAGTAGATAGTTAGAATTATTGTAAACAACACGTGCACCGCACACCTGCGCGTTGCACTTGCAGTTGCGCCCATCTGGCTACTAGTTTTGCTTGTATAAAACGGACGGAGCGGCCGCCATTAAAAGGGTCTTGGTTTTGGTGTGGCATGGTGCACTTGTATTCCGTTACTAGCTCATCCTCGACTCTTCGGATAATTAAATCGTGAAAACGAATTAATTATTATTCTCAGCTATTAAATTAGTCTCAGTACAATTTATAGCCGGATTAATTTAGTCAATGTAGTCTGTAAATTAATTCTATTTAAAAGAAATGCAGTTGGGTTTCTTGCTGGTTCTTCATAGAACAGAGGTTTGCTCCGAATCAGTGGTCATAGTACTATATTGAATAAAAATGATTCTATTCTATTCTGAAAAGACTTTTCATGTAATCCCATGTTTAATAACTTCCTACATGGTTAAGAATATTTTAGTGCAAGGTTCAAGAATAAAGCCAGCATATTCAAAGTACATAATTTCCACTGGTTCAAATAAATTTCATCATTAAACTAGTGAGACTTTTTTCCAAGTATTAGATAATGTAACTTGAACAAAGAAACTAATGATATGAAATAAAAGGAATAGGAGTGAGGAAAGATGCTTCGTACTTAATACACAGTATAATCACCATTATTATCAAGTATGGCTCGACACCGTGCATGCTTGTTATAAGATTTTCCGCATATGGCTAAGTGACTGCCATATTTTTCTTATCTATTGAGACAGTTGCTTTAATGTAGACATACTTTTCCTGAAGTCTGTGCTTTTGTGCCATTGGGTTCGCATCCGGAGACTGAGATGAGTAAGGTAAAAGCCGGATGCCATTTTCAGCTTTCCATGCCATACAGAGGCGACTGCAGTGCTTAGGATCATTATATTCTTGTAATATCCAAGAATCATTATTTTGACCAAACCATTATTGTGGAGATGTCATAGGCCTTTTCCAAGTCCATGAACGCACAAAAAAACCTTTTGGTTTTTGGAAAAAAACTTCTCCGCAATCATGTGCATGGAAAAGACTTGATCTGTACACCCCATTCTCTTTCTAAATCCCGCTCGCACATCCCAAATTTTTCCATCAGTTTCTTTAATGACCCTTTCAATTAGTACCTTAAGCATAAAGTTTTCCCACAATGCTAAAAAGGCTGATACCACCGTAGTTTTAACTTTCTGCTGCGACCCTTTTCCTTTATATATTGGGACTATCACGGCTTTCCACCAGTCTACTGGTACCCGCTTCAGTTCCCAGCATAAATTAAACAAGGTGTGCAGCAGGCCTGCCACCACTTCCTCTCCAGCCCTTAGCATTTCGAGCGAAACTCTATCATATCCGGCTGCCATACCTGTTTTTCATTCATTGCTTTCATTATTTCATCTATACTTATCTCGTTACCTCTTTCCTCTTCTTTCGGAGTTTCTATTTCATTTAGTACATACGTCATCTCCTCACTCGAAAAAACGCTTTCAAAATATGCCTTCCATCTCTTTAAACTCAAAACTTCATCATTCAAAATATAGCCATTCTCATCTCTTATAGCATTAATTATAGGCTGTTTTGAATGTCCCCTGGCAGTTGTTACGAGTTTCCAGAACATTTTATTGTTTGCCTGGAAGTTATCCAATATTCTTCTATCATTCCTATCCATTCTTTCTTACTTTTTCCATTCAACTACTTCTTTTACTCTCTTATTTAGATGTCTAAAGACTGCCTTTTTTCTTTCAATATCATCATTCGTACCGCCAGAATTACCAGCCCTTGTTGCTAGTAAATCTAGCCATGCTCTATTCTTTGCTTCACCTTCCATACGTACCTCATCATCCCAACATAACATATTATTTTTCCTTTCATTTTTCTCTTACTAACATTACATACTTCAGTAGCTGCATCCACTAAACCTTTCTTAACATTTTGCCATACATTCTCCAAGTCTAACTCATTCATACATAATTCATCCAAACCACTTATATTTTCTTTCAGTCTACATTTGTACTTGTTTTTCTCACCTTCATCTTGTAACCTTCCTGTTTCAATATGCTGTAATGCAGTGGTAGATACAGATGTCCGATGGCCTCAAGGCCTGAATAGACCATTAATTCAGCATAAAACCAAATAATGATCCGTTCCTATGTTAGACCCCCAGTAAACTCTTGTATCTACCAATGCGCTCTTATTCTTTCATCCACAATTAAGAAATCTATCATGCTTCTATCATCACCTCTATCCCAAGTATACATGTAAATCCTCTTGTGGCGAAAGAAAGTGTTCGTCACAATAAGATTATTTTCCATACATTCAGGTGAGGAGGCGAAAATGGTGAAACCAATCTCATTTATACTTTTATCACTAAACATCCCCAATATTCTTTCATACCCAAGCCTCTCATTAAAATCTCCAAGCATCATCATTAACACCATCCTTACCATTTCCCAAAACTGCTCTCCGATATAAGTGGGCTTAGATATGTCTGGGGCGTAGACCCCTAGCACAAGCAACTTTTTAAGCCCACTTTCATTCGTATCCATAGCAGTCTTGGGCTTACACATTCATACTCTTTCACACATTGGCTCGTTTTTTCTGAAAGGATGACACCTACTCCCTGGCATGCCCATTCGGTCTCATCTATACCAGACCAGTATGTGGTATACATGCCATGTGTAGTGACATCCTTCCCTTTCCGTTTCGTCTCAGTTACACACATAGAATACTATAATACATACATAATAGAACAGGGGAGTGGGCGGAGCCCGTGTAGCCACTAACATGTCAATTCACACCTATAAATGTCAACACAATCAATTGTTTCCAAATTATTTAAAAAATGGCAACTTGTGCAATAATTATGTGTCGAAAGAACAGCGGGAAATAGAATTTAAATAAAGGAGACATATCCTACAAACACTAAGTCGAAACTATTTATATTTTGTAAATATTAGAAACAAAAATAAAGAAATATTGATGTGTCAAAAACATTAATCAAGTCTAAAATGTGTTTGTAGTAGTGCTAACTGATAATACGACGTAACTTGTATGTGTGCTCCCGGCGATATCCTCATATAAAATAAGAGTGACAGCCATTCTTGTGTATTATAGTATTCTATGGTTACACATAACACATCTATTCCTCTATCATATTGCATACTTCATCCATCTTAACATACACTGCTCCACATACCGATACATCATACCACACACAGATATCTTCACAGATGTAATAATAGTTGTCCCTATATATACAGTACAACCATGATATAACAAATCTGAATTGGATTAGATAATATTGATTATACGAAGTTATTTGTTACAGTGAGATGAAAAGAACATATAGCTGACATGGAGCATCAACATTCCGGGAAGTCTGCCGTTTGTGGTCATATCCTAGGCGGTTCTAAACATTACATCAGATTTAATAGACCACAAACCCTCGCGAAAGAAAATAGATTCCTACCAAGGATGATACATGTGGCCATTGAAATTAAAAAACATCCTAATTTCAATAGAGAAAGAGGCTGGGTACTACCACCTGCTTGGGACCCAGTAATTAATAAAATTAAAACTAAACCCAAGCAGAATACTGCAAGACTTTAAGACACAGTAATTTTATTCTGCGTATATCGGACCATAAATAATAATTAAAAAGCGTATCAAATGTACGGAATGGTTGCACGAACGTGTAATTTTTTTAAAAGCTCCTCATCTTATTTACTACTTTTCAAATCACTTATCAGACCACAAATTGAATATGCAACGCAAGTATGAAACCCCTATTATAATAAATACGGTGAACTTCTAGAATCATTACAAGCAAAGTTTCTTCGTTTTATAAATTATAAATGTTACCACGCTAAATCATCGTATCGTAACTTATTAAAAAAGTTTTCAATTCATACTTTAAAAGCAAGAAGAATATATTTTGATCTGATACTATTATTCAAAATAATTCAAAATGATTTAGATTATAGTGAACTACCTAACAAAATATATATCCGTGTCCCTAGTCGTTCTCAACGCATTAGAGACGTGTATACACATAAATTGTTTGCGCCTAAACTATGTAAAACCAATGCAGGTGAACGCGCCCCATTAAGACGTATTATGAAAGCATATAACATGCATTTTTCAAATATTGATCTATTCACTTCATCACAGTTACAATTTCGCAAGAACATTCTAAGAAAGTTGGTAGATATTCAATAGTATCTTTAAATATTTTACAAGATAAATTTGTACTGCTAGCAATTTTTTTAATTATTCTTTTTTCCTTTTGTCTCATTTTGATTTTTATGTTACTGAGTACTGTTAATTTTATTTTATTTTCCCTTATACTCTGTTTATTGTGCATTTATTATTTACTGTTACCAATTTAATATTACTTTGTGGATAACGGTGCTGGTTACATAATGACTAATATTATTTATAAAATGTTATTTGGTTTAAGCATTATTATGTAATTTTTTGTTGTCCTGAATAAATAAAAAAAAAAAGCTAAAGGTACTCCGGATTAACACTGACATCGGGATCAAGTACCCCGTAACCATTGGTGCTGGAGAGCACCCGAAACGTCGGGAATTAAAAATCATTTAATTAAAACGCGATAAAACCCGTAAAAGTAGTTTTAATGTGTAGTGTTCACGTAAATATAAGCAATCGTTAGTTTTAATCAATTGTTACAATGAGGTTTGTTCTATAGTGGTTAGGTTGTCCTAAGATTTATTGTAAAGAATGCCTTCAACACTGTTATGAACATTTGAATTCCTGAATTGTCTTACGTTAATTTGATTGTATATGAACTTGTCAAGACATGAATTCTTGTTTGATGGGAGGACCAAGGTTGTATTGTATAATATTCCTGTCGATATACTAGGAACTTACCAATAGACTCATCGAGAAAAGTAGCAATCCTTCCTGCGTCAGTAAGCACTGAGACACGAATACCGGCAGCACTTATGTTGACAATGCGCTCGCCTGACATCATTCCAAGCCAGTTTCCACGTGGATGATATACACTATTTGCTCCCGATGACTGCAACAATATTAACAATTAAAAAAGTATTAATAATATTTAATTTATATGCACTATAACAACATGTACGCTATAAATAAAATAATTCAATGCACTTAATTTTCTTAAGCCAGGATATACATACGTCATTGCGCTGATAGGGATGTGAATCAGCCCAACGCCACTGATGTAACTGTCCATGAGTAGAGATGGCAATCAGCTCACTGTATGTAGCCGCAATGTGAGTAAAGCGGATGTTGCTGTCCCAATATTCCAGATCTTCAGACACCCAGAGCGGAGATGCCGCCATTGCTGAATCTTTCTTCTTGTTCTCAACTTAAAAATTAAAAACAATTTAAAAGTAAAAAACATTAAAAACACTAATTATAGATTATACTCATAATTTAATATTTTTGAAAAGTACTTTATTACCTCCATCCTTATCCCACGATGTATCTCGAAGAGCCGACTCAAGCCACCTACGCGGCCCAAAGTACTGTCGCTCACGCCATCTACTAAACTCTGACGGTCGCTCTTGAGTAGAACTGCTGCTTTCACGGCTGGCTCCAGCACGGCCACTGCTGCCACCGCCACCACCACCATTACGACTGTATACATTTTTAAATTAAACAAGTGAATTTAACTTAAACTTATTTATATGTCCAGATAAAAGACGATGCACCAAAACATTAATAAAGTTAAAAAATTTAATTTATGTATTACATATTTTTTTTAACTTTATTATTATAATACTTTGATTTAAAATATATGCACGCGATTACCTGGTTATTTTTGTAGTACTAATTTATATCTGGACATATAAACATACTACAAAGATTACCAAAAACAACACCCAATCACAAAAACAACATAAAATGGAAATTGCGTAAGCTTGTCAGCGTGCCAGAGATTGGGGTTGAGGGCTAATTTACTAAGGGTATTGGAGAAGAGGCCGAGGAGCGTAGCATGACAGGTATACCTTCTGATAGCCGCGTACCCGAAGATATCCTCGGAAAACATCGCATCAGCATCGATAATGACAGAGTGGTCCTGTTGAGTAGCATGAAAGCCGCCATCAAGCAGTGAAATGAGATCTTCCGGTACGTAGCCATCACCACCTTCGCCGCCCTCTGGCTCTTCACCTTCTTCGTCGTCGCGGGACAGTAAGTTGTTCACCGCCAAATTAACGTCCAAGTTTGTACGCTGTAATTTGAAGAGTTCAAATTTTATTTATTATCATTAAATAAAATAGTATACATACTCCGATGATTAGCCATTTGGTGGCGGCGTAAAATAATCTATTACCGCTACCCCATATCGTCCTTGCGGGTGTCATAAGAGGAGACTATGGGATATGCGTAATAAAACCCAGACCAATGAGGAGGCTGCGTGCTGATTTACAACGTGCTCGGCAGTGAAGGAAAACATCGTGAGAAAACCGGCATGTCTGAAGAATAAGAAAAAAAATATTTCGAAGACATGTGAAGTTCGCCAACACGCATTGGGGCAGCGCGGCGGACACTTCCTGGCCTTAAAACCCTCTCATAAATGAAAGGATGCCTGTGCCCAGCAGAGGGACGTATATAGGCTGTAACTTTACTTTACAATGAGAAGGCAGCAGCATCAAAGTTGGTCTTGAACTTGAAACGCCAATCCACAAACCACATGTCAATTTTGAAGATTATAAACAATCCACCGCAAAATTACAATTCCACAATTCTATTTTCTGAAAAATTATTATTGTGATGTTAATACTACTAACATAAAACTACAACTTCAATTTACCTGTAATTCTCTTATGATAAGACTTCGACTTTTGCCTTGTAGGACGACTTGTGCTTGTGTTACCAAATCTTCTGGCACAAATGGTGCTGGAACTGAAACAACTCGGCCTGAACTAGAAGCACCGATAATAACGCCGGTGGCGCGACTTGTAGACCCTAGAAAATTTTAAATAAATAATTATATAGTAATTAAGTATGCTTCTTTGTAAAGAAATGTAGTGTATTAGTAGTAGGTGTTTAATAAATTAATCCAAATGACCAAAACACTGTGACATACCTTGTGAGCTTGGTGCAGCACGAATTGAATTCCTCATTATACGGGCCCTAGTACGTGGTTGTTGTCTTGAACCGCAGCCACTGCCACTTCCTCCTTGTTTTCCTCCACTTGTTCCCCCACCACCACTGCCACCCCCTCCATTTCCTCCATTTTTACTAGCATCTGCTTTACTTAAGTCAAGTCTGTCTGGTATGATGGAGAATGCAGCACGACAAATAGTCCCATCTTCTAGTAAACATGCAATGTGAGCTGGCCCAGCGGCAACGGCCCGCACACCTCGCAATGAGCTAAGCGCTGATGACCCCGGACCTGTCCCAAATCTGTTCCATCGCTCGGCTACTTCTTTCAATCTGAAACATAGTTAAAATCATGAACTAAACTGGCAATTTTTTTAAAAAACAAACATTTTTGAGACATTCGGCGACAATTTGAAGTGTTTTTTTAATGATGCGACCATTTTTGTAGCTTTAAGTTGAACTTTCTCAAGTAAGTTGAAAGTTAATCATCAGTAGTATTACACTGAGTCATAACCTTTTCACTGGTTCGACACACACCCCCATCACTTGTAGTCTTAATCTGCCATTCTTTAACTGACTTTTTTATTTGTTATGTGTATAGTTTCAGTGAAATGTCTTTCTTCTTTCTTTTCTAAAAATTCTAAATTTGGCAAAAAAAAATTTAATCACAGATAATTAGCTCATTTTATTATTCACAGTTAAGGTAATCCCACTTAAGATTATTACTTTTTGCATTCCAACAAATGTATAATGCAAGGTTTTCTTGGAAGTTTTGCGAATGTGAAGAACAACACACTTATAACAATCAACTAAATTTCAACCATGTGAACCTTTCGGGTCGCACCTAGACCGATTTTTTTCTCATCAAAATAGTCAAAACATAAGCATGTGCCAGCAATATTTGCTCAGTAATAGATGATGTAATAACATGTCAAGTGTGGCCGGGGAGTGAAGGGCAGAGTCCGGAGCTAGTCCCGCACGCTTTACGGCAACAAGTTTCGGTATAAATTGGCTAGATACCGAGGTGATCCTGCCGAACAATGTTCCGCCGAATATTTGGTTTGGTAAGTTTACCGAATTTTCGGCCGAATATTCGTATTCAATGAAAACCATATTCGGCCCATCTCTATTATTTACCTATATTTTACGAATTTTTTCATCTTAGAACCTTGACATTACATATCATATTATTCCCACTTAATTCTACAATAAATCATATCTTGACAAGTTCAGACATGTTAAGTTCGTAGGAATTTCGAAACGGAAAAAACAGGTCAGCCACACACAAAGGAACCCCGTTTTGCCTGTAAAATTCCGTACGGAAAACTACTGTAGGTGTGTGACGGGTCATTGAAACTTACTATGTTCAGGATTCTGATTCGGAATTCCGTATACATGTGGTGGGCCTAATAAACAAGTTTTCTTACCTTGTTAAAACAAATTGTTTTATTACTTGGTATAACAAATATTTCCTAATTTCATTAAATTTCATTATATCGTGGTTGCACTGTATTTGCTTTTATTTTCTACTCTTCCTTATAATAATAACTCTTTATTCCTGAATAGTCCCATCTCTTCAATCTCACTATAGTTTTCACTAGACTGATGAGGCGTAATTATGTAAATTATGCCTCTATACAAATAAATAAAACTGAAGTGTCTGTTTGCAATGTCAAAAAAACAGTTTTTTACTAAATGTATATGAAAGTATATATGGTATATATAAAAACAATTAAAAATCCTTATTATTTATTATTATATATACAGCTAATATCCGAAACGGCTGGACTGCTTTTAACAGGGCTTTTACTAACAGAAGGCTGAATTTATAAGTAGTAACTTAGGCTACTTTTATTTTCATAAAATAAATAGGGGAACCCTCAAAATTGCAAAATATTAAAACCCATTAAATTGTGAAAAAATCTGATTCAAATAGGGAAGTATGGTAACAAAATTTCTAAAACTATGGCATACAAAGTCCTGAGCACAGCTTGTTACTAATAAAATACTGGATATTACCTTGCTGAGGTGATTTGGATAAATAACTATGAATGCTCACCTTTTTGGCATCAAATTAAACAAATATTTATGTTTAATTTGCAAGAAAGGAATTTTTGATTTTTTAAGCTATCATTTTTAATAATAATAATAATGTTTACTTTGTTTGCTCTCACAAATTCGCACTGCATTAAAATAATATTATTGGAGGCATAATCATTTTAATTTGTGAGAGCCTGGTGTTAGTACTAGGAAAGACCTGTATGACTAATCACCAGACTCTCATCCCTTAATGTAACATTTATAAGAGTAGTTTAAAAACTAAACACTAATTTACATGTAAGTGCTTGTGTGAGTACGTGTTTGTGTGTGCGTGTGTATGGGTGTGCGCGCTCTCCTTTGTGTGTGTGTGTGTTAGTATAATATTTTAAATAATGGGAGTTATCAGGGATTCTGTTTGTTTAAGCCCATAAGCTACTCTGTCTCTGTCTACTCACATTTTTAAGGAATATTTATTCATAGAATATATTGGTATAGCCTTATTTATACTACTGTAAAGAAGACTACTTGACTTTTACAAACTATCCTATCCCTTCCCGAAATTGAAGAAGACATGCTATTGTATGGGTAGTTAAGAATGATTTTTAGAAGTTTGTAAAGTAAACACTTGCATAACATCAAGTGCCCTGCCTTTGTATAGTTCTGCAGTTAAAAATAAAAATGGCAGTGAAAACCCCACTTTTAGAAGGGCTCTTTGCAAGCATTCAAATCCTATAAGATGGGTTTTTGCTGCACCACCCCATAAAGATTATAATGAAATCAACAAATAAACAAGTCATCTAGTAAAGCTAAATATTTGCCACCACCTATACTTGGGGAATTAATTACAAATCAACATTAAAATTATATATTACACTACAATAATAAAATACATTCCCTTTCCATTTGTCCAAGTTTATGCATTAATTACTGCTACAGCTGACTTTCCATTGACCTAAAAGTTACAGCCTATATACATTCAACTACTAGGCACAGACCTACCATTCCTGAGAGAGTTACAATTAAAGACATCAAATGTATATCCTCTGATTTGGATATGAAAAATGGGTGATGATAACTTCAACTCCACTTTCTAAATGAGAATAAGATAAGCACTTGTGGGATTAGGCAGATTTCCCACATAAAAAAGGTATCCAAAATATTTATTGTAAATTAGAAAAAATTCTACATTTCAAGTTTTATTATTTTCCACTCTTCTCAATTTTTAGCTAAATTCATTTGATCTCTAAAAGGTTAAGGTAACATTTACTGGTAAAAGTTGTTTTAATATATTAGTTGATCAGTGAAGTCATCAGGTGTTTTATGTCCAAAGGACCTCTGATAAATTATTTTGTCAACACACTTTTTGTAAAACATTTCCATATGTCTGGTTAAACTATGGACAACTGGCGTATCGTGGTGGGAGTGCCTCTGGCACTAGAGGGGGAGGGTTCAGGGGAAGCCCCTACCCTTCACTATTTGCGGAAAGGTATAATTTATGAGTAATATTTTTTTTTTGTAAAATAATAACCTCACTTCTTTACACAGGATATTGAAACAAAGTTACTTCTGCAACGACTTTGGCACTGCAGGAAGTGCAGCCCTTTTTCCCTTGCATAGCAAATCACATGCACCCCATGTTCGCTGCCGCAGTTTTGGCTTATTGGTCGCCTTTGGAGGCCAGCCTCAATTAATACGGCTCACTCAGAGGCCTGCGATTTGCTATAGTCCACACCTACCGCTTTACAAAAGCACTCCAGGGGTAGGTCAGACAAGACTGTGAAGTCGGGGCATGCTAATTCAGTTTTAGAACAGATTCGACCAATTGTATCTATAAAGTCAAGTTGCCTTAAACTCTGTTATGAAAGTGGTAAATGAAATAATGTAACATGAATTGTTATAGTTTTGGTTTCTGAAAAACCTCTTGACTGCTCTCCACTGTGACTCAATTTTTATATATAAGTCCCATCTTAAGCCACAAATGAATTATCTGGTTCCGAGTGATAAATCTTTTACGAATGTATCTGTGTTAAAAAAAATCAAATTGACATATTTGCGTTCCATTATATGCAATTTTTAGTGTAATTTATTTTTATCGTGTTTAATTCAAAAGGCATTTCCGAAATCCAAAAACAGTGTAAAAGGTTTGAGCTTAATCCTGACAAACCTCCTAAATTGGAAATAAAATTAAAAAACAAGTACCGGACATCTACTTCATAATACAAGAACAAATTGACATATTAGCATTTCATTGTAATTAATTTTTAATTTATCCTAATTAATTGAAAACACATTTCCGACATCCAAAAACAGTATAAAAGGTTCAAGCTTAACCCTGACAAGCCTCCTAAACTGAAAACATAATTTAAATCAAGTACCGGATATCTATAGCCGACCCCCGATGTCCCCCAGATTTGTCACTAGGAAAAATCCAAGAAAACCCAGAATATAGCAGCCCCACCCATTACTGATTAGACCTCACATGGTCTGATGTATTATGATCAAAAAAAAGAAATGATTCAAATTTTTTAATATATGTAATAAAATATCATTATCATTGATCTAAATCAGTACTTTGAGGTTCTTACTAAAACTTTGATAAAATAATAAATACGGTAAAAAAACCACTAAACACTGGAAAAATACTGTGGAGATAAAAAAAAATATTTGGCATTATTTTTATGTTCAGAAAATATTATTACATAAACTAGCAACGAAAAATTCAGCTCTCTTAGAAAAAAGTTATTGCAGGTCTAATCAAAGGTAGTTCAAAAATAATGTAATTTTTCTGACTTTAGATGGGGTTCGCAAATTGATCGCGTACGTCGTGACAAGATAACATTGATTACGCCATTATGCATCTCAGAATTCCTATTAAAATATTAATAATTATAATAGATAAGCAGTGTTTAAGAAGCAAGTAACCGAAATATATCATATTAATTTAAATAAACTTCGAGAAACATAGAAAATGGAGTTATTATTCAACGGCTCAACAATCTTCTTACGTTACTCATCGCATTTGCTTAGAATGTCGAATTTCATAAGACCTTCGTAATGGAGTCAAGTAGAAATCTAAAATTATACAGTTACCTGTCTATCAATTGATCCTCTGTCCCAGGCAAAGGATGAACCACAAAATGCATTGAAGACATTTTTGTAAGACGTTTTGTCTTCTTTTTAATAGTTTTGCAATGTACACTTCAACATTAAAATAGTCCACCACAATGATATATGAACAAAAGAACACCATCTAAAAACTTCCTACAACCACCATATTTTATTTTATTGCTTATGTTTCCACTCGTTAGATATCGTTATTCGTTCTCAAATACATGTGAGTCGATACATGACGAAAAAAGAAGGAAAATATCAACATGGCTTCTATGGCGGAAATGTTGGCAGTCATGACATTTTAAAGTAATTTCCAGATAGGCTTGTCGAAAAAAAAAGATTTATCGATATATCAATATTTCTGTTACATATACCGATACTTTATGGCGATATCTTTTACTTCGATATAAAATATTAAGTATCGGAAATATATCAAACACGATATTTTCAGTAGCAATATCGCAGACTAAAACCACTTAAAACAAAAAGGTATTTATGATTATTTTTAAAAGTAGGCATGAAATGTTAATTTCTATTAATACAAATGCATTATATTTTTATAAATATATTAAGTATATTTTTTAAAATTAAAATTTCTGTCGTGACGTTACTTCAATAATAAACAAATTAATTATTAAACTAATATTAATGTATATAATTAATAAACAAACTATTTAATTATTCTCCAATATTCTTTTCCGTTTAATAAAAGCATGCCGAAGTTTCATTGGAGTGAACTTGAGTTTCCTATCTACCTGCAATTGGATCTGATTGAAGTGCAATGCAGATTTTTCAAATTAAATTAAAATTTTGGACTGACTGATGCTAATTCATCAGAGACCATTCCGAAATAGCGCTTATAATATAAGTATCTGGTACCTAAATTCATCCTCAGTTTCATCAGCTAGAGTGACATCAGCTATTAATCTTAGCGTACCTAACAACACAAACTGACTTAGCAGAGCTCATTAAATTGAGTTTTTCTTTTGGATAATTAGTTGGTTTACATTTAATTGTATCTTCTATTAAGTTCGATTAAAAAGCATTTTATTTTTATCGATGTTTTATTAATTTACGATATTTTCATTACTGTCACATGATAATATGATGATGAAGAAATGTTTCTAGTTTGTTATTTATGTTCAGGAATGATGAAGGTAATACTGACAGATTTTTTGAACTAGACTACTAAAAACAAACGCAATAAAAATTCATAAAATACAAATACTTTTAAAATATTTCAACGGTACATCGATATTTTTCCGATATATCGAAATCGTTATAAGTATTTTCTTAAAATATCGATAGGATATATATGGATATTTTTTGCACTTCCTTCACCCCTACTTCCAGAAAGGCCAATATTCAGAACACGAAAATTCGCGTAATAGCTCCTCTACAGTCTACACGATGGGCCAACGCTGGCCCAGCGAGATGGCCATGCGATGGTTGAAACGCATCTATCTACACGATGGCGGCATTCAGTTGTGATCGAATCGTTTTTCGAGATGGACGTGGAACAATTAGCCGCTGCGGAAATATATTCATACAACATGTCATTTTTTATTGTCTTTTTTTTTAATGTGCACAAGAATAGAGTTATCAAAAAGAAATGGCGTAGAAAATGGTGGATGTTATCTTTTATCCATCGCAATGGAACTAAATACGTCCTGAGTCAATTTAGTTTTCTTTAAACAAAAATAATTAAATAATTATAACTAAGTATTAATAATTTAATAAATAATTTTAATTAATTATTAAAAATAAAAAATAAAATATGAAGGTATATGTTCTGATTTTAGTAGCTCTATGATTAAAATTTTATAACTTTATTAAGTGGCCACATATTCGTCATTTTTAATTCGTTAATTAATAAACAAAGCACGAACGTCCACACGCAGCTGTCGAGCGCGCACAATTGTGGAATGCGCCACGTGTAGATGCGTACCACCATCACTGGCCCACTGATCGGCGGAAAAACCGACACCATCGTCATCCCCAAGACCATCGCATGCGCCATAAACCATCTGACACAACTACGCCCTCCACACGCTGGCTCATCATAGTAGGCCATCGCGTTGGCCCAACGTGTATAGGGGCTATAAGGCCCGCCAAATGCTACATAGTACATATGGAATTTCGCAATTTGGCGGGCTAAATCGGATTCCTTATGTGTGTGGCCGACTCGTTTGTTCCGTTTTGGAATTCCGAAAAGTAATCTCGAAACGGAATTCCGTATGTATGGGGCAGGCCTTATACCCCTATTACACTACCCTGAACCAAGCTCCCTACGCCCTGATTCAGGGTGGTGTAATAAGAGAAAGGGAGTAGGGGTCCCTAATTAGGGTATCAAAAAGAACCCGGTCTGCAGTGCCCTTCCACCGTGCAGTGCAATAACACTAAGGGAGTTAGGCCACTTATTCGATACGCGACTAGGGATGCAAACGATACATCAATTCTTTCAAACATCGATGTATCATTTATAAACATGGTTCTTCATGAGCTATGTTTTATGAACGATGTTTTGCCGTAAAAGGTTACTATAAATAACCAACTATTCAAAGGTATAGAATTCCGTATGTTTAGTTGCGAACGATGATTATCACTAATTTTATGTTGCCAAAAATAAATATTCGAAACAAAATACGTCAAAGTTAGATAACGTCAAAAATTTTAAAGTTAGAAGGTTTACGAGTAATTAGCAGAAATAACTTAATACCGAAAATTTTAATTATGAATCAACAAACAGGCGAATGGGCTTTCAGCCGAAAATAAATGTCATCTATCGTTAATTCCATTTTCGATGTAAACTTGTACTTAGTTATTTTTATTGTGATAATTAATTAAGATAAGTTTACAAATATTGAAAATGGATTGAAATTGTTTCATTCATTTTCTTATTAATAATTATATTGTTTGAGCTTTAACTTAATGAATAGCTTAAGTAAAATCTTACTTTTTACAATCTTACTTTTTTATCGGCTTACGGTACTTCGTATTTTGTTACAATCATTTTCCTGAATGATATAGATTTTTAAGGATTAACGGTTATTCACCTGTTAGTATTTCGGTATAGTTTCGTAGATGTATTCAGAAAATGCGATAGTACTGATGATAACATATGGATCTACCATAAAAAATTAACGCACCACATCATTAGAAATAAAATGTAAGCAGAAGACGAGTTTCATATATTACATGTGGGATATCATGAAAGGGTTATTTCCCGGGCTTCATAGCCTAGATAAGATCTATTTGCCTATCGTGGCAACTTCGGTATCCCGTGAGCGGTTACTTTCAGAGGCTGGATCTACAATCACCCAGGAGAAAAACCACTTACTAGGCACCAGGTTGTCAAAATTGTTATTTTAAAATTCAATTCGAAGGAAATAAACATAAATAAAATATTTAATTAGTTCTTGTTTTCTGTTAACTATTCGGTAAAATTAAATGTGTAAAAATAAATAGTGTAAAACTTTTTAAAATAACATATATATAATGTTTGATTATTGTACTTCTTTGTTTCATTTCTGTTCAAAATGATTATTTATTCCTTATGTATGTATGTATAATATATTTAAATGATGATAAAAAAAAAACATCGAAAAAATCGATATATCGTACATAAGCTTTGATATTTTTAATGAGCGATGTTGCATCCTATAGATGTACTTACTTAGAAAAATTACGACTCGAGTTATCTCCAGTTCAAATTCACACAACTCGAACTAAACTCGAGTTAGAAGGACGAAACACAGTAAATGATTTGTTACAATTACTTTGAAAATATCGATTTAATAAACATATACACTTTTTCACTTGTCCATCCCTATGACTGAGAAAGGGCCTAAAATCAGGGTAGTGTAATAACTGACGTCCCTAACTAGGTGCCACGCCCACCCTTCATTCAGTGCCCTGATTCAGGGTAGTGTAATAGGGGCATTAGCACTAACATTTGTCAAGCGTGTACGTTCCTCGAATGGTCTGTATGTCTATAGTAAGATCCGCATAGATGTTTGTAGCGTATATGTGCGGCTCTTACTTTGAACCTTACCAGACAAAGCAATGAACATGTGCGATGTGAAAGAGAGCAAAATCTTTTTACAGCTGGCGACTTCTCCTGCTACCCAGCTCACCATCGCTAGCGTGGTATTCTCATATAGGAACCCAAAATAGTTTTCATGTGTTTGATGCTTAGACTATTCAACCCAAGGGACGAGTAATGCACCTAATACTTCGAACAAAAAAGCTTTGACACTTTTGGTGCGGGGGAGGAAACACTACATAGACAGTACTGCACACCTACTCAATAAAGTTTTGTGTCATTATAACAAACACAAATCTAAATCTCCAACACTATTTATTACGACCACATTTGCATTTTACGCACGCACATATAGGTTAAGTACATCAACATAGAAAAAGTTATGAGTGTAAGACGGACAAAATAATTGCAATGCTACCATATCGATATTTTATATTGTTAGCTTCCCTATTAAAAAGCGAAAAACTCACAAGCATTAGCAAAATGCACTGGAACAATTAAAATCATCTATGTAGTTGGTCAGCGAAGCAAGTCTTTTTAGTGTTCCGTAGTAACACAACAACGAACGCTTATCTGTCAGTCTGTCCGTTTGTCCGCGACTTAGTGCAAAGACTATTGATATTCTAAAGAGCTGTAATTTGATATGGTTAACTATGAATACCAGAAATAAATAGACTCTAAGTACCAATAACAAACAGTGGAGGAACACGGGAGGAACTTATATTTAAAATAATAAGCCAGTTACAAAAAAATGTTTTAACATAGGCATTTATATTATTACAATAAAATGCTTTTGTGAAACAAAAATAAAGTATCTTAATTTATGAATTAGTACAATAAATATAAAAGAATAATATTATAAATAAAATTAAAATAAAATTAGTTTGAGCTGATCTTAGTGATTCTACAGCATCGTTTACTTTAAAATGCTATTCAAAGAAAAAAGTTACAAGTTTGCTAGAAATACTAGATTCACTGACAGAGACATTTTTGACAGATAAAGAAAACGAACAGGTTCTAGAAAAGATATAAATTGAAGAAAGTGAACTTTTAAAGACACAATTAATAGTAACTTAAAGGTAACAAAAAAACTGCCAAAACTAAATATTCCCCAGAGTTAAAAATGTTTCACCCTAACACATAATTAATACTCATCAAAGGCCACCACGGACATTGACTAAGTGGTACAGTGCCATCGATGGCCCAACAGGGTAACTGACGGCATTAAAATTGAGAATGGAGAGTAACCCTGATATTAAGATTTATTGTACTTTCCTCATGGATGAAATGAAAATTATGCAATTGATGGAATACCACGCCAACAGTCAAAGGCGTTATGGGTATGTCAATCACGGGTTTGATTTCATATTCGATAATTCCGATAAAGCTACTGACGCTTTAGTGTTTTTATTGTTCAGTATAAACACAACATGGAAAGTACATATAACCAACATTTTCATTAAGGATTAGATTAAGGGCTGAATTTAAAGCATGGCTAGTAACACAAGCTTTCCATTTCTTTCACGAAACAGGCATAGAAATAAAGATGTTAACATGTGATTGTACAAAGACCAACCTCGCCATGGCGGAAGAGTTGCACTCTACGCAGACTGCAAAATACTATCTTAGATTCTGCTTCAGGGCAGCAAGTATATTTTTTTCTTGATCCTTTGTCACATGTTTAAATTAGTTCGTAGTTCTGATAAATACTGTGGAAACTTTTTTCAAAATAAAAACCAAATTCAGTGGTCACACATCCAAAAACTCCAAAAATTACAGGAAGAAGTGTTATTTTATATGGCTAATAAATTGAAAGCAAATCATATATACTTCAAAATGAAAAGGATGAAACCTTGCGTCCTTACATTTTAGTGGAAGTGTAGCTAATGTATTGCTGTTTTGCGAAAATGTGATAATTACCTATGTTCCAAGGAGTTTCTCCTACAGCTGATTTCTTGTTCTAATTCATTCATACTTCTAATTCTACACACTTTTATTGTAATAATAGGTAATTTCTTAAGTCGAGTGTTTGATGATAAATTTTAATACTTCTTCGATGAATAATAATGAAAAATTCTTAAAAAAATATGACACCATTTTCATTTAAACAACCCTACAGCGCGTGGATTACAATAGTAAACCACTGTAAAATAATCTCAAATTTAGACATTTCTGGAACCAAATGATTAGAAAAAAATATGTAAAGTTATTTGTGATCTTAAATTTTTCTTTTTTTTTTTTTTCCTTTTTTTTTTTTTCTTTTCGTACATTGTGATAAACTATTGGTTTTTGTTTCCGTTTTTTTAATTTTTTTTTAAAGTTTTTTTCATGTTGGAAATTAGGTTTTGTTTCTTTTTTTTTTTTTTTTTATTTTTTTTAAGTTTCAATCATGGCTTAAAAGCATAAATATTGTGAATGACGTCCGAAACAAAATGATCATATTTGTTCTAAACATTTCACAGACGACTGTTTTATTAGCCATGAGAACTGCACCAGTTTGATAAAGTGCAGTATACCGACAGTATTTTCTGGTAGTACCAGTACCAGTAAGTACGAAAGTATTAGATTATTATTTAGAATGTTTTTTTATTTCTTTATTCCTTATTTTCTCCCAAACTCAAGGCCATAGCCAAGTGTCAAGAGGTCACCTGATGATGTCCAGCCACGTTGGATATGTGTTAGTGGGCTGAGATTCCTCTCCCTGTACCGCTGTAGTCGAGGTGAAGTCGTAAGGGAAGAGGTGTGTTGGTAGGGCGATTGGCGACGCGAAACTCGACTATCCTTCGCGACTTCGGTGAGGCTGCACTACTTAATGCCTCCAAGTGCTCGTTTTTTCTTGCTTCATTCACATATCGGGCTCGGGAAGTCCGTAGTGCAGGTGGAGTTAGAGGCCGCGAAGGGCAGTGTGGCTTGTGTTTCTGGTGCGCCTTATCTGAAAAGGAAAACGGGGAGGAGAAGTCAGCAACTTAGAAGGGGCTTCTATTGAGCTGCTGGCGCTGGAGGGGCCGCGGATGTGCATGAAAGCATTTCCGTGGCCCTCCCAATTTGCGGCGGAGGTAGAAAACCATGGGGTTTTAGTAAGTGCGAGTCTAGAGATTTATTTCTCTCTCGAGTCTCAAGATTTAATTTGTGCTTTAACTTCGTATCGGCCCTACTTTAGTTTCTTTCTTATTTACAAATTCTGGTCATTGTTTATGTCACAATACTGCACTGCCAAAGCCTGAAATCTTAGGAGGATAAACTTAGGAATGAGGGTATCTGCAGTAGAACCAGAGTGACTGATATCGGCCAACGGATTACTAAGCTGAAGTGGCAATTGACCGGCCATATAGCTCCAAGAACCGATAACCGATGAAGAAAAAAAGGTTCTCGAGTGGCAGCCTCGTACCGTTCCCCCACTAGATGGAGTGAAAACCTGGTAAGATATGCAGGAAGTTGATGGATGCAGGTGGCTCAGGACCGTGCTTTGTGGTATTCCTTGGGAGAGGCCTATGTTCAGCAGTGGACTTAGAAGGGCTTTAATGATGATAAATGATAATAGTTTTATATTAATATGACACATAAATGGAACGGAAATTATGAGTACAGTCCATCTATCCATAGAGTTCCTTCTATTTATTTAGGTATTATTATTGTATAGGTAGGGTATAGAATTTTTATCGATATATTTTATCACACTGTCTTATCCCTATTATTAGTTCCGTGGACGTGCACTTCTGCTGTCAGCGCCAAAATGGCTTAAATTAAATCGACTCATCATATCACGGTGTATAGCCAGTCCAGCGTACTTGTATATAAAGAGGTCAGTGGGATGGACTATTTAAACGTTTAAAAAATATCGATGCATTTTTAACGTAATTTATAAATTATGTCCTGGATGCTGATTAATAAATATAAGAATAATTTATAGATAGTAATTAATAGCTAGTTCCAATTTCATGAACAGAAAGCTCAAAATTAGATAAAGAGGAAAGAAACTTAACCACAATAGTACCCCAAGGACCATTAGTACTTACATCAAATGGCACATAAATAGTTAGCCGTCTCACAGAGATTCATTGATATTATTACACCGCTTAGTTTAGCCGTCCTTGATGCAATTTTTTCTCTAAACCTATACGCACGTAGCATCCCACATTAGAGCTTTGCCTTTCTTCCAAAGAACGCTTTGGGTAATACAGTTACGAAGACCGTATCTGGATCACTTCTTACCATTTTTAGGTTGTAGTCAAGTACTGGCTAAATTATGTATCAAAAAGGCTTACCATCTTTATATTGAACAAAACCATTGATACATTGAACACGTCAAAACGTTAAAAACATCATGATGCAAATGCATTCACACGTCACGTCACTATCTATAGCATAAATTTAGTACTAGATCTATGATCTATAGATCAAGTGTTTTGGTTTGTTCAGTTTGTTTCTAATAGGTACATCGTAGAGGGAGTTTCATTCTCTCTCTACGTAATATATACGTTCGTACAGGTCGCGCCACGAAAGATGAAATTAAATGGAAGTGCGCAGAAGCGAAAAATAGGTGTCGGCGCGGTGAGCTGTGTGGTACGGGGAAGCGAAACCATAGCAACGGGCGACGCGTTACTCCTATGTCGTTTCTTCCTGCGTCCCGTCGCCCACGCACCTTCTTGTGTCGTCTTGTGCACTATCGATATCGAAAGTGTTAGCGACTACCTATTATAAAATTTTAAATTTTTGCGATTATTTTTGTACTTTTAAAAATATTGTATATAATATTTTCAAATAATGTGCAAATATTTATTACTTTATAAATTATTTTGAGACTATTTAAAATAGCGTAATTCGTAGTATATTGTATAAAGTTGTAAATATTTTGTTATTTTCTACAAGACTATTTTTTTGCAAATTATTGCATGTAAATTATCCTTATAATCGAAAGCTATCGCATAGTATAGTTTAAGCAGCAATTACAAATACAAAAATACAAATACAAAATATTTTATTTCTTTAACTAAGTGTATATAAAATGCAGAATATTATTAGAGCAGTTAACGATGATTTTATCGTTCCGTTTTCGTGGAGACTGATGTGTAGTTATAATGTTGACCTTTGAAATTTTACATATTAAAATTCCATAATAATTTTTTCTGTTTGATTGTACATGCGCAGTGGACTCTATTTAAATTTTTTTTTTGGTGGCGCGATTTTATTACTTTGTGGTAATACTCGGGTGCGTTTGGCAGAAAAAAGCGCTAGCAAGCGCTTATAAGCGCTAAAATAGTTTCGGGACCGATTGCTACTTCAGTAGCGCTGACACAATCCGCCATTTTGCTTATTTAATTTGTTTGTTTTGAAGTAGAGTTTATAAGTTGTTTTGTGCAATATTAGTTTTAAGTAATATAATGACATGAATAAACATATACATGCTATTAGAAACTCATGATTGGTAAGTTTTTAATATGAATACTTTACAAACATATATTTAAATTAGGTTAGATTCCCCGGTTAAAACTAACATCGTGTCCTGGAGGAAAATAGCTACTTACGATTTGACAGCGCTTACCGCTTACGATCGCCATTTTGCTTACAAGCGCTTGCTAGCGCTTTTTTCTGCCGAACGACCCCGTCCAACCATCGCCAATACGGTTTATGCTTTATGGTTGATAAATAAAAATAATGTCAAAAATGGCGGCCAAGTCAAAGAAGCGGCTGTCTAAAATTGAAAATAAGTTATTAAAATTGGAAAAACTAGAAATTACTGATGTGCTTTGTTCAATTTGTCAGTCTATTCTTGTAGAACCTGTTACATTACCCTGTTATCATGACTTTTGCCTACGTTGTTTTAAGGGTAGCATAGAAAATAATTCTTTGTCTTGTCCCCTCTGTCGCTTGCGTATTGGATCTTGGTTAAGAACAGCAACAAAACAAAAGAATCTGGTTAATTTGCAACTTTGGGATTATATTAAAAATAAGTTCTCATATGAAATAGATAAAAAGTTAAAAGGGGATGATTTAAATTTACCAGAAGGTAGGTTTACTGAATACAAATAATCAGAAACGCCTGTGTACAAATAAATATTAAATTAAAAGTAATAAATAAAACAGAAATTAGATATGCGGACATCAAGAAGTATGTTGGGACTAATTCTAAATGACCGGGTGAGAAATTGTGTGTTATGAGAAAAGTGTGGTTCGCAACATGTTACCAGGATCAAAAAAGGAAAGCTTCGATGGTTTTAGTTCAAAAAGCTTAAGAGCCAGTAAGCGGCAGACTTACGGTATTTCGATAAGCTTTACGTTTTTTTTTCAGTTATTCCCCTATACCTGAGCTACATGTATAAGGACTTTAGTTTGACTGGTGGTCAATACGGTGATTGTGTGCTTATTGGACATTTGTTGTTTTTATAACCTGTAATTATTATTAATTGCAATCAATATTAAACAATGGTATTTACTTTCAATTAATGTAACATTTTTTAAGTTATCTAACAACTGAATTGATGGCTCCGTGGCGCAGTGGCTTAGCAAAGAGTTACAGCGCTACGGGCCGCGGGTTCGAATCCCACACGGAACAAGTATTTGAATGGCCTACAAGTAATTGTTGCGGGTCTGGATGTTTGTCCTTGTGAAATTTATGTTTGTAAACTGCCCCCACGAGACAGGAGAAAATCCTAGTGTGGAGGTAATGTTTATAAAAAAAAAGAATTAGAGAGAGTGCTACATATAGTATGTGTTTGCGGATGCCCCAGAAGTTTGTTGTCTGCCTGGATGATAGAACCACAATATACATCTACCATGAAAATTATACATGTCAAATAATATTATCAACACTATAAATTGCAGCATTATTTAAATAACTGCTTTTCAAGGTATCTGCCATGACCTTGAAACCATCATAGGTGTCTGCCAATGTTATTTTTCATTAATTTTTATTGAATATTTTGAGATATCAAAGTGGCAGACTTATTGCTATCACATTGTATTGTTTTTTTTTTTCACACCTTTAACACCTGAGCATCTCTGTATCAACAGCCAGTCAAACTAAAGTGTCCCCATTTCATGTACCTCAGGTATAGGGGATTAACTGAAAAAAATGTGAAGCTTATTGTAATACCGTAAGTCTGTCACTCACTGGCTCTTAAGCTTTTTTGACACATACAAAGAATAAATGTGGAAAGAGTGAGAAAGCAAATTATGTGAGTGGTTGAAGATGGGCCAAGTTCAGTTGGTACACCAAACCAAGGAGCATATACCAAGGAACATTAATATCCTACTTGGAGGTTCATAGTATTTTTTCAATAATTTTTGAAAATTTAATTAAATAAATTTAAAAATAATTATATGCCAGATTGAAGAATTATGATAAAAAAGGGAGGAAGGGGAATAATGTGCCTTTACTTTCATCAAAAATGCTAATTTTGTCTATACATATTAAAATGTTTAAATAAAAACTAGTATGAATTAAATCAAAAGTTAACTTAAAAAATATGTTACTGGCTAAACTCAAATTTAACACATTAGTTTGTCCCATGCTAAACTAATTTTTCCTAAACCTGGCAGGATGAAAACTACTTTTACTCAAACTTTAGTCAAATATAAATCTGAATGTGTTTGTCAGTTAAAATTAGTTCTGAGTAAGCTGTTAAAGGTGCTTACATATGAAATTGGCGTTTGTATTATGTTTTTATGTTTATATGTAGGGGAGGAATATAAAGTCAATTTTTTTTTAAAATATATTTTATTAATCAAAGTATGCACCATTGTTATCTATGCACTTTTGCCATCTCATAGGTAGTTCATTGATCTCTTTACTAAAAAAAGCCATGGGAGCGAGAATCAATAAACTCTTTGAAGCAGTTTGGACTGCCATATTGGAGTTGAATTTTTTCCCTGTAAGAAGTTGTCCAAATTCTGTAAAAAATAATTCATTAAAAATAATCTGTTGAAGCAAGGTCTGGGGAGTACGGTGGATGTAGCAAACATTCTAATTGTAGCTCATCTAACTTAGTGGTTGTTCATTGTGCAGTGTGTGGTCTTGCGTTGTCATGAAGCAGCAGTAGCCTAGAGCGATTGACCAATCTTGGTTGTTTAGCAGCTAGTTCTTCCTTCATGGTTTGCAGTTGCTGACAATAGATATCTGCCGTAATTGTTTGGCCAGATTTTAGAAAGCTGTAGTGAATGACACCGGTGCTAGTCCACCAAACACTCACAAGTAAATTTTTCTGAGTCAATTTTCGTTTAAGGCAGGATTTGGCTGGGTCTCCGGAGTTTGTCATTGCGATGAGCGCTTTCGATTATCATACAATATCCACTTTTCATCACAAGTAATGATTCAATTTAAAATTCCTTCATTTTTGTGTCTATTGAGCAAAGTAACACAGCAGTTGATGCGTGTTTGCAAGTTCGATTCACTCATTTCATGAGGTACCCTTCATTCAAGTTTTTTTGCTTTCCCTATTTGCATAAAGTGGGTTAATACAGTTTTATCACTTATCCCAAAGCCTGCAGCTATCTGAAGTGCTTTGTGATGAATCCGCTTCCTAATCTTCTAATCTAATTTAAACAAATAGCCTTTAATTCTTCATTTTCCACTTTGGTCTCTGGGCCGTCCACGGGGTTGGTTCTGAAGGTTGAAATTTCCAGAATGAAAATGTTGAAACCAAAACGTATCGTGCCTTCTATTGCGACACCAGCGCCGTACACAACATTAATCCTTCGAGCTGTTTCTGCAGCACTGGTGCCATGGTAGAACTCGTACTTGTAAATATACCAATATTTGATGTTTTCCATTGTGCGGTAATAAGCGACTCCAAAGAAAAAAATAATGAGGAAAAAACAAATGAATGACTGTTTTCAAAACTCAAATGTATCAGCTAAATGAATTTATAAATTTTAATTTTGAATTCTTAACCGAAAAGGAGATATTTCAGATCAAATTAGTCAGCACGACAAAACGCTAATTTCATATGTAAGGACCCAATATTATGAATGTGAAAATGAGTGGTGTGTCAAGATTGTGGCAAAACGGACTTTGTATTTTCTGCCTACCTCTCTGGGTGACAGACGTGAGAGTTTGTTTGTTTTATGTTTTTAATTTAAACAAAAAAATGTGCCATATTAATAATATTTTATTAACATTAGATATATTTGCATTGATTACAGAGAAACCATTACTTCGTTTAAGTGCACCTGGAGAAATTAGATTAGAATATGAGGCAGAACTAAAGAGATTGAGATCTGAAAGACTAAGACTTGAACAGAAACATTTAGCTGAAACAGAGCTCCTAATAAGGTATGTTTATTCATTATTATTGTTAATATAACACTGGTATCTTACACTGTGTGCTTACAATGTGTGTTTTCTTTCTTTTTTTTTTAACTTCCATTACAATTTGCATAAATTGAGTATTTTGACCAGGAAACTTCAGTTAGAAGAAGAAGAAGCCCACAAGAGATATTTAGAATGTGTAAAACAAGATGAAACATTTGCAAAACAATTACAGGAGAAACTTGTTGAAACTACTGCTTCACTGGTTACAAACAAGGAAACTCCCAAAAATACTCACATTAAATCGCATCTCAAGACTAGAAGGATTGAGGCTTATTTATCTAAATTTCAAGCACCTATTAAAGAGTGAGTATCCCTACATTGTATTTGTGGTCTATTGATCTCGCACTTGCTTATTAATCTAGGTGAATTTCCAAAAGTAAGAGTTTAACAACTTCGCTGCCAGCTCCGCGAATTAGCGGAGTGCGGGGTGAGCGCGGAGTGCCGGCCCCGCTAATATGCGGAGTAGCGCCGCTTGGATACTACGAATTAGTACGCGCCCGGCACTGCTACACTTACCAAATGTATTAGAATTTAAGCAAACTACTATATTCTTTGTGTTTAAATACCATAGATAATTTTAAATAAACTATAATACATAAAAGAAACTACTCAGCAAAATTCGGACTTGGGTTAAAATGTCAATCTTAGTGCCAGGTCCGCAAATTCTCGGATTTTTTTTTATTTAGCATTTTCTTACCAAAACCTTCTAAAAATAGTTAAATATTTCCAAAATAACAATATTGAAACGTCCTTCATGCATATTTTACAAAAAAAAAACAACGGATTTTCCCATGACGTCACCATATTCCAGTTGGCAGCGAAGCTGTTAACCACTTTGTAATCTTTGAGTTTTGATCATTCATCTAAGTAATTTTGAGTCGGCGCCAAAGAAGTAAAATTATTAATTACGTAAAGCGTGATTCGCGGCACGATACGCCCCTTCGCCGGAAAATGCCGAGCTTTCACGAAGTTACACGTGAGGGCACACATCCTTGCGAGTGTTCATATGGAAGGCGTATTTTATGAAATGTTAATGTTATCGCCGAAGATGTCACGTTGCATTGTTAATTTGATTCAATTATTTCTTTAAATTTAAGGTAATTTATTGATCTTTGTTCATTGATTGCTTGGCGCCGACTCAAAATTACTTAGGTATACTATGTAAGTAGTGTAAGTAATTTAAGAACTTAGTTATAGAGGTTATTTAAAAACTCTAAATAATTACAAAAATATATACTTAGGTACATTTACATTATTAAGAACTTAGTTATTAAGGTAAAAGAAAAAGGGTTATTATTTTTTTAGTTTTTCGGCAGTTTAACTTTTTTTCTTAAAAGGTTTTTATTTTATAATTTTTTGTGGCTATAATCTCCAAATTACTACATGCTTAATTTTTGATTACTTTTAAAATAGCCACTTACCTTACTTTAGCTATTAACTGTTATATAATCCTACTTTAATTTCTATTATTTGTTGAAAACTGTAATCGACCTCGGAAAGAAAGTGTTTGCCAAAGGGCAGGCATATGTGGCACTCAGTAGAGTAAAAACACTTGAGGGTAGTGCTTTATCTGATCTAAAACCAAATAAGGTATTACACAAACCTCACGATGAACAACCTTTATCAGAAATGCAGATATTGAGAGGTCTACATACAAGAGACTGACGGGTCTAAAGCTCTGAGGTTTTTTTGTAATGTAATGTAATTATTATGTAATGCTGTAATACACAACTCAGCATTAAAATCTGTGAGTAAACAATAAATCACCCCCATTTTCCTACCCTTAGGTAATTTTTTTTCCAAATTTATATAGGACCAGTTTTGAGGTATACACTATTCAATAAAAAAAAGATTCGTCAAAATCGGACTACTCTGTAAAAAAATATGCGTGGTCATACATAAAAAAAATATATATACGTGACTTGAGTAGTTCCTCCGTTTTTCGTCGGTTGAAAAACAGTAGCGTATGTCGTGTGGGTGACAACCGCAGTGCTGTGTTATCCTGCAACTACGTAATAAATCGCTGGCTGCACTGAGGTTAGCAAACGACTACATTGCGAGGCTGTATGTTATACATTCTATATATACCTTCTGTTATATTTACAGCGAGCGTTAACCATATGAGCTACCACGGCTCGGAACGGAACTATGCTTAAAGATGTTTAAGTTGGGTGTTGGCAAACTTGTTTGTAGCAAATACAATGCTATTTACTTGAGTCTGACTGGTCGCAACTTCGATACCCGTTATAAAGAGCAAATAGTTGCTGAAAATAAAGGCGCCGCAAGGCGTAGGTGACGAAGGCTACTGCCTATGGCATCACGGTCCGATGAGTCTCGCACCTCGAAAGTTCAAAGAAATTACCTTCCATAAAAATATTAGCTACAACAATGAAAAGTCATGACATCTATAATATACTCCTATCTTTGCCTTTGAAACGAAAACGTGTCCAGCAATACGTCCTAAAAACCCGTCCGTTACTTTATATTTTGGTATAAGTAGTAACATTTACCGCCAATGAAGCTAATATCTGGTAATTTCCTGTTCCATTTTCTCCACGCTAAATTAACGTGTCTTAAGTCGCAAATAGTTAGTTGTAATTAGACATCGTCTAATGTATCAGTAAAGAATGCACAATGAGCCAGCCATAGCTCGAAGAACAGGCAAACTATGAGAAGAAAGTTTTCCGAGTGGCAGCCTCCTGGTAAACGGAGCGCGGTGACTCCCCACTAAATGAAGATCAAACGACCAGAGAAAACGTTCAAGATGTTGATGTATTTAGGTGCCGCAAGACCGTGACAGTCGTTGGGGGCCAAACTACGGAATTACTTAAAAGTAGAAGTGTTTAAAACATTTGAAAATGTGTAAAAAAGGAAAGAATACAGTACGTGAGCATTATATCTATTATCACACTAGAAACCGAAAACTTTTATTAGAATTGCAACTTTTCAATGATGATGATGATACTGTGAACATCTGTGTAACAAATAAGCTTCACCTTAGTACCAACTAGTGACATCTGGTGATCATAAGGTAGCCCACATTGAAAATATTAATTCGTCGCCAGAGGCCTCGCAAAATTCATCTTGCCCACACCTAATTTAGGTCTTGATCAGTGGCATAAACGAGATGACGACGAGATGATATACTACCAACAATCGAAAACTATAAGATTTTATGGATTTTTTTATATTTTCCATCATACATTCACGGGACGATATGGGGTGATGAATTCTTATACGATGTCATCGCACGGCATACTTAAGTTAAGAGATAACTCTTAACTGGTATATTTCGTATATAACAATTATGAAACACACAGACTCGCGACACGGACGACGTCAAAGGTGCACGTCACTAGATATTTATTTAGTGCTACCCAGTTTTCCCAACAATCTGGGATATTAACGGCAAATCTTTAACCTTTCATTTTTAATCAATTACAGAAGTCCAATATTAACTGATGATAATATAAGTAATGAAGGCACCACTCCAAAAATTGCCACAATAAAATCTAGCAGTAGGCCATCTCCAGAAATAATTCCTAACTATGGCAAGTTACTCAAGAATTTCTTAGACAAGAAAATTAAAAACGGTGTTGGTGTTTGGAATAAAGAAAATGGTGAAAATTGCACAAAGGTATTATTTTTATTTTATACACAGCATTTAATACAATGTGCTTGTTCTATGTAAAATTGCCGCCGTATATGTTAAAATAGTAAAACTGTCATCTAATCTCTAGTTTCACTCAATACTTTTTAAACTTTGCAATAACCGAATGATTTTTTTCGAAAAAAAAATAATTGGTTGGTTTATAATTAATGTGTTCACTTATACGTCCACAGAATAATAAACATCTTAGGCTGGTATTCAGAGATAGTTTCGAGTTGAAACTCGAAACTTTACTATGTAAAGATTTGTGTTACATAATATCTAATTAATTATGTTCTATACTCAAATATTTAATGCAATTAACTATTTCATTGGTGTCGGCAGGGATCGAACCCGAGCTACCGTGGCTCTATATATGCACTATAATAGACTTAGATTGAAATCAATAATAGCGATTTGTGTAAAAACAAGATGTGTTACATTTTTCTACCTAGTAATTATAGGTTGGGGGAAAAGTTTCTTCGTATTTTGATTGTAGTACCTGGATGACCGAGCTTTGCGCGGTATTTTTTTTTTGGAAATCATGTGTTTTGGAAATTATGTTTAGATACAAATTACATACTGATGAAACATGAATAATATTTTTTGATTTTATTGACATAATAGAAAAAACTGAACTGGTTATTTGAATAAGAAATAATGAGTGGAATTCGTTTAACCCTTAAATGCATGATTTTATTTTTAGACTGAGAAAAAATATATTTTGGAGCCATGAATATACTGATTCAGAGTAAAATAATAAAAAAAATCGTAAATATTTTTTTCATAGCTATTTTTATTAAAAACCATATGTTGCAGAACTACAACACCATGCACTCACTAGACAGTAACTACATATGAAAATTTTTAAAACAATTTTTGGTTGTGGTAGAAAAGAGACCACACTTCTCACACCTTGTTTGCGTGTATCCCTTGCATCCAGGCATTTTGCATCTGCTGCGAACACAATTACCAGGCCAGTGACCAACATTATCAGTTCTTATGTCCTTAGGAGGAATATGTTGAGCTGGTCCTCTCCTTTTCTTTGCTTGTATTTCCATTTCAACACTGTTGCTGGTACTTGGCCTTCCTCTTTTGTTGCAGAGTTCAAATGAGTTATTTACTTTGGCTAATACCTCAGCTAGTTCCAGTCTATAGTGACATAAGTTTAGAACTGATGAATTGGCTTCTGTTGTTTTTAAATCTTTATACACAAGCCAAGAATTTATTACCGTCATGTCCAATAAGTGGTAAAAGATACGAAGATACCACTTTCGGCTTCTCATTGCAATTCGGTACCTCCCAATAAAGCTATCCATTAGGTCCACTCCGCCCATATGAGCATTATATTCCTTTATTATATGTGGGCATGAAATTTTAATTCTAGTCTTATTTGCCTTGTCAAATCTTTGTACTTGGTCCACAGGTTCAGCTCCAACATACGAAGATAGAAAAGTTACAACTTTATTGTCCTTCCAAGTAACTGCTGTCAAATCAATACCGTCAAATTCAGTCATCTGCTCTTCATAAGTTCCACGAGGAACAGATTTCTTCATCATTGTTTTTTTGTCCGGCAGTTTGCAGTTCACTAGCCTGTTAGATTGGACAGTACCTAGGCTATAGATTCCTTGTTGGGCAAGATAGGTAACTAAAGGTACAGAGTTGTAAAAATTATCAAAATAAATGCCTTGGGACACCTCTAGCAAGCCGGACTACAACAATTGTTGTGAACTGGCCCAAAATCTGGTTCATCTGGTAGCCGTTCATTCTCTTGGCCAGTATATATTTCAAATTTATGAGCATAACCTTTCACGCTGCACATCACATATAATTTAAACCCCCACTTATGGGGCTTATTAGGTAAATACTGCTTCATGAAGTGTGCCACTTTCGTGGCACACATCTGTTCATCAATTGAGAGTCTTTGTTCCATAGGAACTAAAGCAAATTTTTCATTTAGATGGCTAATTATAGGCCTTATCTTATGGAGCCTATCATGTTGTGGGTGTTCCTTGGGTAAATGTTTCTCGTTATTGTTGAAATGTAGAAATCTACGAATAGTCTCAAATCTGTTGACAGTCATTATGTCCTTGATTGGTTGAAAACCTAGAGTATTTGACCAGTATAGCCGTACATTGGGATATTTTATAACAGACATGTATATCAGTATCGCCATAAACTTTCTTAGCTCAGTTTCAGACGAATTTAATGGTTTAGTCACATTTTTTTGAACGGAATACAAATTAGACTTTTCCACAATCCTTTGAACTATTTCTGATGTAATAAAATGTGAAAAAATACTATAGGGAGTACCAGTAGTAACCTCATCCTTCAGTTCTGGTGGGTATGTAGTGTCTCCATAAAAAGCTGTCTGGTCAGAATTTAAAACAATTTTTTTTACCTTCCGTATAAGTCCTCTCATAGTTGCTCGGCGACTAGCTTGACTTGTTGAGGGGAATGGAACCTGTGGCACTTGATCATTTGCTGTAGCTTCATTTATCAATGGCGGGTCTCCTGCCATGAATGGATCATTATCGGGGTCATCATTTTCCTCTTCTAATGGACTCTCAAGATCGTGAAGCAAATCGTCTCGATTTTCACAAAAATTCTCATGACCTTCTGTATCCGACTCCTCAAGATCATCTTCCGACCTCTCTCCATCATTTATTAGAGCTAAATACTCTTCTATTTGCTTTTGATTCAAGTTTGGCATCTGAAAACCAATAAAAGTGATAGTTAGAATCTAAACAGGGACATTTTCTAGTAAATGCATATTGTTGCAGATTTACAACAACAAAATAAACAAAATTTCCGAACACACCAAAAGTTTTTTTTATAACTTATAAATTGTACTGAAAAGAAGATGAATTATTACGTAAAATAACTAATTTTGTTTGAACTTACCTTCGAAAATCAAATAATTACACTGCAAAGCAAGTACACAATTTTCATCCGCTCAAAAATTACGATCGGCTTTGATTTGTCAATGTCAAGTTTAAATTTGACAGTCGTGAAGAAAAAAAGTGTGTTGCCACTCGATTAAATATATAACCATGATAGCGATAATCCTGCAACAGCATGCAATGAACTCATTTTTTTTTTCATTACAGGCCTTCACAAGTCCACTGCTGAACATAGGCCTCCCCCAAGTAATGCCACAAAGCACGGTCCTGAGCCACCTGCATCCATCGACTTCCTGCATGTCTTACCAGGTCGTCACTCCATCTAGTGGGGGGTCGCCCTACATTACGCCTACCGGTACGAGGCTGCCACTCGAGAACCTTCCTTCCCCATCGGTTATCGGTTCTTCGAGCTATATGGCCGGCCCATTGCCACTTCAGCTTACTAATCCGTTGGGCTATGTCGGTCACTCTGGTTTTACTGCGGATATCCTCATTTCTGAGTCTATCACGCAGTGAAACTCCGAGCATAGCCCTCTCCATAGCTCGCTGAGCGACCTTGAGGGTCCTCATACGGCCAGCGGTGAAGGACCACGTCTCAGATCCGTAAGTCATCACTGGCAACACGCACTGTTTATACACTTTAGTTTTCAGAGATTGAGGTATACCTGACGAGAAGATGTGTCGTAATTTCCCGAACGCAATGAACTCATACTAGTAATTTTATGGTCGTTTGAATGGTATGTTGCAGTTTTACAACTTTATGCATTTAAGGGTTAATTTAATTTTTTGTTTTTAAAAAAATAATAGGAAATGGGCTCGAAATAATAGATTTTCTCACAAAAGAAAGGAACTTGAAAAAAAAAGGAAAAAAGTCGGACCAAAGACAGGACCCGAACCAGAGTATTACGATTTCGGGACCGCCCGATATCCCATTTGAGCTATTATAATCATTGACGCGCTGTCAAAATTTACCTTCTTATTCTAATGATATTGTAGCAGTTTTTCATTGCCTGAAAACACGGATAAAACGACATTTTCTAAAAATGAATCCTAGCTAGATCGATTTATTGCTCCCGAAACCGCCTGGACACTAAATTTAATGAAAATCGTTGGAGCCGTTTCCGAGATTACGATAATATATATAAGACAAGAATCGACAACTGATGCTGGTGTTGAGCTGATTAAATAGGTATATATTTAATGCATTTGAGAATTCACAGGATGCTTTGGGTGTGTTCTGTGACCTATCCAAAGCCTTCGATTGTGTTCACCATGAAACATTAATCAGGAAAATTCAACACTACGGTGTAAGAAGCGATGCTCTTAAATTAATTATTTCATATTTAAGTGACAGAACACAAAAAGTTGTCATTAATAGTATGAGTTCTTTCAGGTCGATTGTACAAATGGGCGTGTCTCAAGGCTCAATTCTCGGCCCCGTTCTGTTTCTTGTATATATTAATGACTTACATAGTAGGGGATAACCATGATATAGTATTATTTGCTGATGATACTTCATTAATTTTCAAATTAAAACGACAGTTATTAAATTACGACGAAGTAAATAATGCTATAGCTATGTTAATCAATTGGTTTAATGTTAATAATTTGCATTTGAATGGAACTAAAACTAAATGTATGAAATTCGTTACTCCTAATGTTAAACATGTCAATACTAATGTAATTTTGAATGGAGAGGAACTGAGTCTTGTTGATACCACCATTTTTCTTGGAATCACACTGGACGCAAAGCTTCAATGGCTCCCCCATATATCAAAACTAGCTAGCAGACTTAGTTCTGCAGCATATGCTGTAAAAAAGATTAGAACTCTTACCAGTGTTGAAACAGCTAGAATAGTTTACTTTAGTTATTTCCATAGCATTATGTCGTATGGTATTTTGCTATGGGGACACGCGACTGACACTGAAATTATATTTATTTTACAGTAGAGGGCCATTAGAGCAATATATAAATTAAAATCAAAAGAGTCACTGAGACAAAAATTTAAGGAAATTAATATATTAACTCTGGCCTCTCAATACATTTATGAAAATGTAATGTACGTACACAAAAATAAAAGTAGTTTTGCGAAAATAAGTGCTATTCATTCTGTAAGTACTAGGAGCAGACACAAGCTTTTACACTTTTACAAATCCCAGAAAATATACAAAATTTGTCATACAAAAAGTTCAAAAATGTTATTAAACTAAGTTTGTATAAAAAGGGTTATTATAATATTAAGGAATTTATGGATGATAATAACCCCTGGGAAGGGTGATCGCTACCAAGCTATTTCTAATTTGTCTTGTGTTGTTAATTGTAAACAGGATTGTAAGCTATTATTGGAAAAAAATAGTCCTGCTGGGTTTCTTGCTGGTTCTTCCCAGGACAGAGGTTTTTTTTGCGAACCAGTGGTAAATTAAAAAAAGTGACTTTCAATAAGTATTGTTATAATCTTCATTGAATAAAAAAGTTTCTATTTCTATTTCTATCGATCAGCAGACAGTATCGAGTAGCAGAACTAAGCTTTATAGAAAATTCCATGCTAGAACTTTCTTCACTTAGTCGATCGGGACCAGTATGTGCTCGAACATTCTAGATGTTTCAGTGGAAAAGGCCTATATAAGGCCGATTTAGACCGCGATCCGGGTCAGTATAGAATTGGCAAGACAAGCAAATACTTCGAAACGATATAACTGCGAACTAAAGAGTTAAGTGTGATTAATTTATTAGTGTTTTACGTTGTAATTGATGTTCGGTAATTAAAGTGTCAATTTTGGTAATTAAATCGACAGTTTTTATTGTCACGAATCCTAAGCTCGTAACAGTTGGTGTCAGAAGTGGGATAAAATCATGCCGATTTTATCTAAGGACGACACGGAGGTTGTCCTTACCCGAAATCAACTCCAGCAGGAGACAGATCAGAGACGATGTGGTGGTGCAACGCCGCAGACGTCGGAGGACCAGCCACCGGCCACGGAGGCCGGCCCGTCAGCAGCTCCTACATCTGCGGCATCTGACATAGGTGCTCTGATGATGATGTTGCAGGTACAGGCCTGCTGACAGGAGGAACAGGCCCGTCGGTTGGAAGATCAGCAGGCGGAACATGCCCGCCGACAAGACGAACAGGCCCGTATGTTGAAAGAGCAGCAGGAGGAACAGGCCCGCCGGCAGAAGGAACAGGCCCGCCGACTGGAGGAACAGGCCCGCCTACTGGAGGAACAGGCCCGATGGCAAGAGGAACAGGCCCAATGGCAGGAGGAACAGGCCCGATGGCACGAGGAACAGGCCCGTCGTTTGGAAGAGCAACTCAAACCCGATAAAGAAGAGCAGATGCTCTTCATAAAGGACCTTCACGCTACCTTCGGGAAACAGATAAGAGAGGTGAAGGATAGAGTTGTTCAATATAACAACCGCCTGTCGGAAGCTGAAACCCGAATCGACCAAGTGAAAAACGTGATGGGTGTCATAAAGAAAACGCTGGATGACCTCAAACTTGGGGATGGAATTACAGCTCTCGTAGTAGCTACAACTTCTTCGCTACGTGGATTCAAAGTGCCGCCGTTCGCGGGACTTCTTCATGGTTGGCCTACAAAATCCAGTTCAAGGCTGTCATGAAGGCGAACTGCTGGAATAAAAGTCAGACCATGACTGCTCTCACACTAGGCCTACGCGTCTAGGCCTTAACCGTTCTGGAAGCTCTCGGTAAGGAAGTGACTTACGAGCAACTCCTTGAAGCATTGGAGGCTAGATATGGCGACGCTCACCTGGAAAGTGTCTTTCGTGCGCAGCTTAAAGATCGCGTGCAATGCAGCAACGAAAACCTGCAGCAGTGGGCCCTTAAGGTGACTACCTATTCAGCTCTCCTATTTAGCTTGTCATTATACCAAGTACAGTTTTAAAAGGGACACTATTTCCCGGTATCAGTAAAATTTTGTTACATCCATAGTACTGTTGTTTTTACACATCAATATCGACTTACTGGTGAAAGGATATACCACTTTTATTGAAATTCCACATCCGGCTGTTTTTCCGACACGTTTTTATCACAAATTGGCGTTTTTGAAATAAATTGCATCCAGCAATGCTTGACACAAACATTGGGCTACGACTGTGACGTCAAAAGAGATGTGTTGCCGTTCATAGGTCTGGGTTGACATGTTAGTGGCTACACGGGCACCGCCCACTCCTTCATTATGTTGTGTATGTATTGTAGTATTCTATGTACAGAATTGCTGGAGGACCTAAGCACTAGGTTCAATGACCTCAATAGTGTCTCCCAATGGATAGCTCTTAAGATGAACATGGTTGACGAGTATGTTTACTTGCGACATATAGTCCGACTTGTAAGTCCAACTTCAACCGGGAGGTCAATTGACGGATTCAACTAGGCTGGGCAGCGTTCGGGAAATTATGACACATCTTCTCATCAGGTATACCTCAAAACTAGTTTGTACAACCAGTGCGTGTTGCCAGTAATTACCTATGGATCTGAGACGTGGTCCTTCACTGCTGTCCATTGAGGAAGCTCAAAGCCGCTCAGAGAGCTATGGAGAGGGCTATACTCGGGGTTTCTCTGAGTAATAAACTTAGGGAAGAGGATATCAGCAGAAATGATTAAATTCTATTCTAAAGCTTTTGAAGCTTTAGAATAGAATTTAATCATCATATGAATGACCCATGAATATCATTAATGAAGAATGAGTAAATTGTAGGCAATTAAGAAGAAACAGAGCTCTGATAAGCTGTTAAAGATAAGACTAGACTCTCCCATACAACTTGAAAAATACTTCTTGTTGTTCTGTTTAATTTATAAATAACTTTTTGATACAATGAGGCTCTTTTCACTATTTAAAGAATATGTTAAAAAGGCATGTATGGCAAATCACAATGCTGTATCAATATGTATGGTATTTAAAACTGGGCAGAAGAAGCATGAGAGTAAAAAATTAATATAAAAAGTATGTTTAGGCGAGAAAAGTGTGGTTTACTATATGATGTGAATAAGATTAGGAAAGGAATGCTGCAGTGGTTTGGATAAAAATGAATGAGATAGATCCTTAACCGACGAGCATGTATACGTAGATATATAGATTTGAAAAAAAAAGCGAGTTACGTGTGACAATATTGCGTCAAAAGGAGGATAGGCATAGTTTCTGCCTACACCTCTCTGAGTAGCAGGCGTTAGAGTTAAATTATGGTATTATGTAATGTGACTACAAAATATGTGTTCTAATTTTTAAACAGATTAATCTTTTCAGACATTGCTGCCTGTTGAAGAGTCTAATAATAAGAAAGAATCTGTAACATCGCAAGATAAAAGTGATGTTAAGTCAAAAACTATGATACAATCATTGTTAGTTTCGCTTCCATTGCCCTATACAGGAATATTGCACAGTAAAAATAACACTACACAAAATAGGCATTTAGAAACTGGTAGTGTTGACTCAATGCAACAAGAATTGTGTTACTTTAAACCTATTGATGGTTCTACACCGATAAGGTTAGTTGTTAATTTTTTTATAAAAAGTTTTCTTTTAGAATGCAAACCGTCTACTCATGGACATGAGCGTCTCCGACTCCACGGGGATTTACCGTATTCATATGGTTGGAATGTAGATAAAAAATCCCAGTACTAGATGTTCTAGATGTCTGGTATCTTCGTCGCTGCTCCCCGTCGCTGGTCTGGGTAGTTTAAATCTGGCATAACCTCTAACTCCATTTTCTTATGGCCATGGGATTTTTCCGGTATTTCCCACAGTCGCCTCAAACGACACCCACGCAACCAATTGTGGCGATAGGTTTCCATAGGCAGACTTAAAAATTTCTTCAAATAGTTTCAAAATCGCTAAGTGTAGCACGAACATTTGTTGCTGTTTTCCATCGCACATCAAAGTAAGTTAAGTAATGCGTGTGGCGCGTTTCACGGAACCGTTGTGTAAACAATTGAGTTATGAAGATACAGTTATCTAATTCTATATTATATAATTCTACACTCATTTCTATTTTATAACCTATATAATATCGACACACTAATCGAATAACATCATAACAAAAACAGTGAGGTTTACATGAGAGCGAAAATACGATTTTGCGCTCTTCACACCTTGAAATTTGGGCATTTTTTATGATATAAATAATGTTTGATATTTAATTGCAGCATTTTTCTTACATTTTATTTAAAGTTATAATTATTTTCTCCCTATTTGCTTTACTGTTAATTTATTTTATTGTTACGAACAGCAAATTTGACAAATATTCAAGGTAGTAAAATTTATTGTATTTATTGTAAATGCACACGCCATACTCCTAACCGCGTATATCTTTTATATATCTTTTGTTTTTGCCACACCTAAAATAACGTAAGTGGACTCATATAACACTACGCTTGGAATTCGGCTGTGAAAAAATGTAAATAAATATAAGCTAACGAAAATATTTGTAGCATAGTGTTACTTTAAACCAAATAATATTGTAACCAAATATACGGAAATTTTAAGCGTTACGATTTTATAGGAAAAAGTTGTATTTTATAAGTAAAATACTATTATTCCATACTATTATTACCTATTCATAAGTGTTAGAGCCAAGCTGCAGTTATACGGTAGTGTCCTCGGGCCGCAGTATCTACTTACCAGCAGGTGAACTGTGTGCCCGTTTGTCACCCTCATTCTTTTTGTATATGTGTAGTTCATTGTGTATCATCAACTATTGACTTCGACTTCTAGGTTATCTTATATAGATAACTTATCGTCCCTTTATCTTCCAAATTATCTCCCTATTTTCTTTGTCATAAAATTTTATAATCGTGTTAACTGCTAATACATCACTCAGCTTCGGTAAAATATAAATACTGTTTCTGGTGCCGAGATGTTCCTTCTCTCTACTTTATTACAAAATCTACTAAACAAAATATGTCTGTTCCCTTTTGTAATGTGCGTATATATATATGGGAAATGTTATACGAACATTACAAAAGGGAACAGACATATTTTGTTAAGTAAATTTTGGTACTTGAGTAGGGTATATATATATAGGGGATATGTCATACATAGCCCTTTTCCCTACACTATTAATCAGTTTATCATTTTGACTCGACTTGATAGTATAGTTCTTTTCAGAGTTTAAGAAGCACGATTTCTATATATATGAACTTTAAATAACAATATTTATCTCATTGAAATTTTTCAGTTATTCCTCTATCTGGACATTTTTTGCAATCTAGCATCGAATCGAAACAAGAATTTATTTCAGTCGAAATTATTTGAAACACAATCTAATTTGTTTGTGATTGGAAGATTCACAACATTCTTCAATTAGATCATAAGTTATAATCATTTCAAAAAAATAATTCTTTTAATTTTTTAAGAAGATACGTAATCAAAATTGCGATATTAAAGACCAGTCTTAAGAATTGAAAAAATAGTAAATTTTATAAAAATCTACAGAAGTAAATTTGTACATCATCTCTAGATACTAATCAGGCGGGCTAGAATAACTTTTGAGATATCTTAGTATATATAGATATATAACATATTATAAATAGGAGGCCAGAGAGGTTGTCAGGATCGTGCCAAATGGAAGTCCGTAATCTCTGCCTACCCTTCCAGGTGACTGGTGTGAGTGTTTATGTATGTATGAATATTATAAATACCGATTAGATATTAAACAGAAAGGTGCATTATTTTCGTATGCCGGACAAATGCATGACAATATTTTGTTAGAATTATTTTTGGAAGAATATTTTATTAAAACTGGCACTTGTTTTAAAATCTGTATACAATATGTAAAGTAATTAACGCACATCCTCAGACACCCCAATTAGTATATTATGTTATAATCATAATACATACACTGAATTTTAGTTAAATATTTTTATGCACTGATTATTTATCAAATTAGTTATACTAATTCCGGAATAATGTTGTGGTCACAGTACAAATCCACGAACGCAAAGACTTTAACATGCTTGAGATAAAGTTCATTTTTCTTTATTTTTATTGCATGACATTCAGTAATAATACAAATAAAACTGCACTCTTAAAAGTCTTATTGCCTTAAGTTACGGTCCATTTCAGTTTGTTTTGACTGTACAGATTTAGTGTGACTGTAATTTACGTAATTTTAATTATTTTTAGGATAAAAATTTACCTATATTAAAAATTATAGGAATCGATTCAGTAAACGATTCTGAACAAACTACTTTCTCAAAGTGCGTTAATTATGTTACATGTTGTATATTGGTACGTATTTTTGCAATGAAATGTTAGTTGTGTACCTTGGTAGTTATAGTAATAAATTGCTAAGAAGTTATTTTTTTATAGGATAGGGTGACAAACGAGCACACAGTCCACTTGATGGTAAGTGGTTGCTGTGCGCATGACCATCTATCCTCTATTACAAATCAAAATGCAGATGCGTTGTCATCCGTGAGGACTAAGATAGAATGCCTCGTTTCCAGTAAAAAGGGTCTCTGGTTCTCTACACTCACCATACGAAACACAGCAGCATTAAACTACTATTTGACGCTGGTATTCTGTGAGAGCGTGGTCCTTCCCCGGTCGAGCCGACCCATTCGTGCTAACCTATACTACTAATATAACTGCAGCATGGCTCTTCCACGTATAATTAAGTTAATTAACCCGATCAGACTTCAAGAGGAAATAAATTAGTTAACACTGAATATTAGACAAAAATACTACATACATTTATACTAAAATATTTATTACTTGTAAAGCTATTTTTTGCTATTCATATATCCACGAAAACAAGATCAATAACATTTTACACCATTAAATTATTTTACTTGCAATATCAAATAAAGCTCTCTTATTTTCGTGTTTTCAGGAACAATTTACGAAACAATAAACTAACGTGAGTTACAAACATATAAAAACGCCGACCAAGCGAAGCGTTTGATAAATAAAATTAAAGGCTTTTACTGGTCAGATTTAAATTAGCTATTTTTCATTTTTTCATTGGAAGAACAACGTATTTTTTTATACAATAAGGGTGACAAACGATCACACAGTCCACCTGATGGTAAGTAGATGTTGTGGCCCATCAACATCTCGATTAAGAATCAAAATGCAGATGCGTTGTCACCCATGAGGACTTAGATGGAATGCCTCGATTCCAGAATAACGACTCCTTGTACTGGAATCGAGGCCTCCGGTTCTCTCTACACCCACCATACGGAACACAGCTTCATTGAACTGCTATTTTACGCCGGTATTCTGTTAGAGCGTAGTCCTTCCCCGGTCGAGCCGATCCATACGTTCTACAACCATATGGCTGCAGGAAGGCTCTCTACCACGTGTAAATATCCGAATACAGTTGCAGATTTTGTCTTTTCTTTGCAAAATTTTCTTTTAAAAAGATTTCATATATTTTGTGCTTTTTATCTTTTAAATTCAAAATGCGTGGTAATGCACTATTTTCACTGATTTTATTGCGCACGCACACATTCGTAAGGGTCGATCGGTAGGCAACAACGTTGTTGCCTATAAGTTACATTCAATTTTGGATGATTTTAAACAAAAGTAAAAGCAAAAGCTGCAACAACGGTATATCATTATTTACATATTTGAACTTAATTGTAAAATTTGGCTACTCTGAAAAATAATCCTGTATACATATTAAGGTCTGACTACTGATTGTAATCGTATTTGGAGCTGTGATTGAAATTGTTATAAGAATATCATATCGTCTATAGAATATTTTTTTTTAAATATTATTCATTAAAATTTATTTATTGTAATCTATTATATTCTAATTACAATCTGCATTTTGATCTGAATTAATTTTATATAAAAATTTCATTTATTAATAAAAATATTATCATCAGAAGCATCTTTAATATATTTTCTTACTCAATAAATTGCATCTATAAATTTTTTCATTTTCAATTTTATTAAAATATTTTTTTAAATATATAAAAAAAATAAAAATGGTTTAATAATGTAGTTAAATGGAAATTTTATCTATTAATATTAACACCTGACAATTTTTATTTCGTCACAAGGTATAAAATATTTAACACATAACTTATAAGGCACTGAAATTCATACTTTATATCAGTTTTATATTAAACAGTGCAATTATCTATTCTTTATATCATAAATCCTTAAAAATAAAAAAATCTAATTAGTTTCAGTTCAAATAAGAATTATCCGTTACGTGTGCCAAGTGTGCGTGCAGTACTAGAAAAAACACCTCTGCAGCAGGTGACTCAACCAAGTCGAGCTGAGTATCTTGAAAGCTTATGCCGCCTACGGAATATATCGCTGGCGCAGAAATTACCCTCTGCTTTTGTTATTGCCCTTGGTATTTTAAGAGTTAAAAAGGTACGTTTTTTTGTCCCTTATAAAAAATAACGTTTTTATTCTATATAATTATATAATTCTTTTCTTTAAAGGACACTTTTACAAAAGCGGATACAAGGTTACGAATTGAAGAAACTGCTGTAACTGCTTGTGTCTCACCAAACGAGTCTATAAAAAGAAATTCAAATACAAACAAACATATAGCGAACATTGATGGAGTCATTAAATTGAACACAGAAAAGTCTTTAAGACGCACCAGATCAATGGGAAGTATAGCGAAAGACGAAAACGAAGTTACGCCCAAGAAACAACTCAAAGATAGAAAGGTCTCTTCAGATAGAAAAGTCTATTTTAGAAGTAAATCAAAAAAGCTGAGTGTGATAAATGAAATAGATAGTGATGATAGCCCACCTTTAGTTATTGAAACAATAAATAACAATAACATAAATTTAGCTGTAAAAAACTTGTCTAGTCCATTGGAGAATAATTGTGATGTTAAAAATATTTTACGGGAACAACTAAGGATTGAAAAATTGATTGAACAAGAAAAAAGTGATTTTGAATTAGCTCAGAAGATGGACGCAGAATGGAATGGCCGTAGGCAGTTGCGTCGGGCGGCTTCCAAACGCCAGGTTACACTCAATTATTCACTAAGGCCTGCCAAAAAATTAAGAGTTTAGTGCTAAAAGTTTTTAAAGTGTTGATTTAAAACATTTGGTTACTAAAATTTTAACTATTTATAGGAATTTAACTAATCAATTTAAAGTTATTAGTGATTTTAATTTTCAAACAAATTGGATTGTATATGTTCCTTTATGGTCATGTAAGGTTTCCTTGTATATTATTCAAAATATTTTGTATAGCAAACAGTATTTTATAATTGTAGCATTACAGTAAAGGAAAAAGTATGACACAGTTTAGCAAAAATGACAATGGATACGCTAAAAGCTATACTACCAAAGCGATGTTTAACAGTTGTTTATTTTAGTTGTAACAATATCAGTTTTTAGTATTTTGTTTTTCAAGATTTGAACTGGACGAGATCTCGTTCTATATGTCATAGCCCGATAGCTTGATCAGTCGATTAGCTATTTACATATCGGCATTAAATTGAATGCCTAAAGAAAGCTTAGCAAAATGACTTACCGCAGTTGATCAATATTTAGCCATTTGGTTAAATAAAAATACCAGTTTGCAATGATGATCATAAGTTTGCGTGTTTTCCTAAAATTTAATAGACATTTATTTCGTATGAATATTTATTTTTCCCAAACCATATAAATTAGTAAAAATAACATGAGATGTTGATGGTTGACGCCATCTTAAAAAAATTCAGTCTTGGCGTCTCTTGATTTCGCCGTATCGAAAGGGTTTACTTTCGTTCAGTCAGAACGTTGTAATCGTTATTTTAATTTGACTAAAAGACTAGGCATTGAATTGAATGCTGGCGTACAACTAATAACGGAAACGAACGAACGAGGAACGAATAACGGCCATTAATCATAAATTTAATCAGCTAATTCAACCATCAGGATGCCATATTATATTATGGCATGTTAAGATTATCGGATGAGTAACTCGCCGAGTTATTCGTGGACAAGTAGGACGCGTTTACATTCGTCTGTATTCATTCAACGTAGATCTTTGAGGTGAGGCGGTCCACTAGTAGATGGAGTTACGACCTGAAAAGACATGTAGAAACGCGATGGATGCAAATATCTCCGGGCCGTGATTTGTGGCATTCCTTGGGGGAGGCTTATGTTCAACAGTGGACTTGTGAATGATGATGAAATATGTATTTTCATTAATATTTATTTAAAACTGATTTCTAGGACCCTGTATCGGGGTTCTCTTTCTCCTCCTTCTCACGGGTTCTCCTTGATAGTCCTATAAAAATAGTGGATTCGTTACTCCAATCCATCACAGTGGAGGAGAGGTATTTTTATTATTTTTTTTAATTATTGTATAAGAAAAATAACTATCTTGAGACACAAGTTCACGGGTCAAGCGAATAATGACGAGTATGTAAACACTGATACAAATGAGCATTTCTTTTACTCGTGCCTAAATACTGATATCGAGTGGAGACCAGGCGAATACTCGGGACGAGTAGCGAGAACACTCGAACAAGGTGTTCTATGTAAGTTCCGAGTATCTAAATGTTGCATTACACTTGTATAAACCATGTTGAACTCGTGTAATAATCCAAAATCAATAGTGAGTTCAAAGACAGATATTCAAAACATTTGTTTTGCTAAACTATGTCCTATGTCGCATATTATTTTACTTAATAGTTAGATCCAAAGTTACAATTTTTTGAGTTTTTAAAAAACTAGTAGTTTTAAAGAAAAAAGCATGCGTCGATTAAGAGAGCTTTGTCGTTAAAATATTTATTAATTATCTTGTTTGTGAATACGATCACTATTTAAAATAGGAGTTAAAATCAAATACAACTGTTATAGTCCTGTACAATGTGATGCTATGTAAATATATGGTTGATTAAAAGCCGATTCATTAGGCAATTGTACTACGTAATGTTACATGGCCTGCTGATACTAAGACCATTTTGAAAAGTTACATTTTTAGCGACAGTTAAAATTAAGGCCGCCGTTTATTTTAAATGAAAAACTAATAATGTATAAAAATAAGTTTTGTTATTCAATATGTTAATAATTAATGGAACTTAGCAGCTCTACAATAATATTTGAAGTCGTAAAAAAACTATTTTGTCAGTTTTTTTCAAGACAAGAGGTCGCATAATCGACTGGGCCTGTGAATTCATGACGATATGTGATATCCCATACATTTACAAGTTAACATTCATCTCCGCCGACTGACTTTATATATGAATAATTCCATCAAGCCAAGGTAAATAATCAGACGAAGATGACAAATTACTTTTATTAATATCTCGAGAACTGTGAACTGGTCTAAGTAATAATTGCAAAACAATTATTAAATAGTACCTACTATACAATGAAGACTCCATTGAATAGGACTAACTTGAGACGTAAAACTTAAATACCTACTGTTGTTACGTACGAGGTGAGGCCAGTAAAATTCCGACTGGTGTGGTGAGAAATCGATATACTTTAAACACTCGGCAAATATACAATTACATAGTTCACAATCTTTCAGAGACCGTGTTTATATATCCCAGCATGAATCATATGACGGACATTCAAATTTTTGGTTATTTTGGAGGCACTACCGTTACTAGTTATACGTTTTTAACCTAAAAAAGGGCCAATAAGCTTTTGATTACAAAGTTAATTAAAAACTTTTTGAAATATTACCATAATAGTCAACAATTTGATTTAATGTCATAAAAACCTTTCTTAACATGTGTGTTGAGAAGTAGTATCTTAACACCTAAAAACCTTGATTAATCAAAATAATCAGTATTCTAATTTACTCTTCTGTATTCGCAAATTTTTGCCAAATACTTGTGACGATGCTGGATTAGTCTTGGCGATTCAAAAATTTTAATCGTTTAGTAAAAACCCAGGACTATGCTATATACATGTGTACAAACTTGGTAGTCTTTTTATTTAATTATTCATAAATTTCAGAATGATACTGAATGTCAGTACAGTATATAAGGCATAAAATTTGCGTTCTACATGGTTTTGAGTGAATTTTTTTCAATATATCTTAGATATCAATTTCGGCTGTTTCTCTAGGCTTTTGATAAGTTAGTGCGCTTCACCATCTTAGAACAAATCACCACCTACCATCAGGCGAGACCGTAGTTAAGCGCTGGCTTAGAATAATATAAAAAAGCCCTAATACATTGCTGAACATAGGCCTCCGCCATAGTTTGAAATTAAACATGCTCCTTAGCCACCTGAATCCATATTAGGAAATAGCAAAACAATATTAAATTCACATTTAACAATGGGTTTAGGTGCGATGAATAAAACAAAGATGTACCTATCAAGAATGTTTTTAATCCTTTTAGTTTTTTATGACTTGATTCATTGATGCGGATTTCGCAACCATACCTTCAGTTTCTAATGTAAAAGGCACTGTAAAGTTCGTGAGGAATAATTTCAAAAATCACTTATTATTTGCACTTGACCATGTGCAAAAAAGTTTATTACCAATGGCAATAGAAGAAAGGTAACATAATTATAATTTATGCAATAAAGTTTATTACAATAGGAATTATAATTAAAAATATATATGAAAATTGGTATATTATGTAACTATTACTGCTAAGTAAGTACTTGCATATATGAGTACTTTATATTGTTAAACTAGATATATTATACTCTCTCATCCAATCAATTTTGTGTTAATACACACATTACCAGGGCTAAATAATTAACTATATGCTTTTAATGTAACTGTAACCTAAATATAGCACTAAAATTGCTTTAAGATTTTCCGGAGATCTCAACACTGTTTGGCCTATATATTATGTAGATTACTTATATTTAGAAAGTCGTGTTTACTGTAAATTCGTTTATGAATAATTAATGATTGTGATAATACTCCTAATTACTGAAAGGGTCAGCAGCAGTTCAATGCAATTCATTGATGTTTTTAAATCTTTTTTGCAATATAATTGGAACCAGACAAGTGTCCGCTACGTTTTAAAACCACATAGTTCTAAGTAAAATTTGTTTGAGTTCTGTTCATACAGTTTTAAATGAATGGTCTTGATGTTTAAATAAAAACGATTTGTGTTCATATCGTTTTATAGTCTTGATGTTCAAAAACTAGATACAAATGAACATATATGTTTATAGTACCTTCATGGTCTATCTAAAACCTTAAAATGTTAAATACTCATAATGGCAAGCATTAAAAAAATAAAACAAGTTACAATTATGTATATAATATTGTAGTGTAAGATTATAACCACATTCAATACTTTATTAAAACACACAGGTTGTCTTAACAATGGAAACTATGACTATCGCATTAAATTTATTTTCAGAGAATAATATAACTAAGTGTACGGTTGCAATCTGTAAAAATACATGATAAATGTGGTTATTTTTATAAATTTTTGCTGTGATATGCCACAAGTTGGATTATTTTACTTTTTTACTATCACAATTATTGACTTCGTTTCATACTTGTGGCAACTGAATTTAGTTTGTGATTAATGTTTCTGTAGTAAATACATTTTGTGTAAATAAATATTTTATTTATAAAACAGCTTAGTTTTTGACGATAGGCACCTGCTAAAATCTTCTCAGCCAAAACAACAGCTCCTCAAAATCTGAAATCAATAATGTTAGATATTAAATAAAAACTAAATTCCATATTTGGCATGTAAGATGTTGGTTTAGGAAACCTTTGAAGACAAAAGTAATAGTTTGGATATTCATAGCATAAAAATAGACCTCAAACACAGTGGCGGATTCACACAATTGCCGCCGTAGGCTTTTAAAATTTGGCCGCCCCTACGGACTTTACAACTCGATACCCTAGTTCACAATAATATATTACAATTTTTTATCAATGAAATTTTAAGTTTATGATTTGTGCGCTACAGTCCTAATCACACCACCTTTTTTGCGTAATTAGTATAATTATTGTGAACCAGGGGATCGATGTGTCAGTTCCTAGATTATTTTTACAACTTAAATATTTAGTTGAGATTGTATATGACATATTTCTGGGTATATTTCTGAGCTAATAAAAACTCAATCATATATTGCTAATA